GTTGTTGTCAGTAAACAGAAATCTTGCTGATTTTCTTATAAATCTTACAGATTGCATTTGAGATGACACTGATTTAAAGCTCTCCTTATTATTTACACCCGAGGAGAGATACGGAGGAGAAGAAAGATACACCGCACATAGAATCTGGAATAAAACTGACTTGAATTTGTAAGGTGAGATTCTTTAAAGGAGTAAGCTGTCACCCTCAACCTTTTCAACAACCAGCATCTAAATTCTTCTTACAATATCATCCCTGAAACACACATTGAGGTTAGGAGAATAAAGGAAATAATCACCAACTAACTTTTCTTGATATTCAGAGAAATTCTTACTTGTCACAGAAATACTGGCCATGTTTGTATTGGAAATGAGATTGATAAAAAAGATAGCTGCTTAATTCAAGTTTTTACCCATAAATTGAAGCATGAATGTTTTTATTCAATCATAGTAAATGATTAGAATTGTATCACAGTAATATTAATAAGAAAAACATTCTATCCTGCTGATATTATTATTGCATTTTCTGGAGCTTTCGATTACATATATGTAGCCGATTCAGTCTAGCTTTCTCCATTCAGGAATTTTTCATGTAATTTAATATATACCTTGAAATAACTGATATTTAGTCTTTGTGTTAATTGAATGACATTTATGTTAGACTTATGCAAGGAGTAATTACAATATACACAGAAAAGTATCTTTTCAATGCACTGAAAGATGACAAATTAATTAGAATATTACTTTTAACTCTTTGTTATCAGAGCTTATTGGTAAATACAGTAGTAAAGTTGTATGTAAGTACTTTTCTTTGGGTCAGGTGTTAGTTTCCTGAGAGTGAATCTGTCCCAGCAGCACAACACTCTGCCATAACAGTGGCATGAACATGGGAAAATGCTTGCTAATTGGTGTGATACATATATGTAACTATTGGGCAAGTGCAGGCTCAATGATAATGTTCAGTCACTGGTGAGTTATTTTTGAGGTGTGAGTGATGTTTTGAAGTTACTCAGGGCTGCATGCAAGCTACTGCCTTTGAACTCAGGAATGAGGTCTTGTGCAAAATGAAGAAAAAGTCTTACTGATGGCAAATGGTGTTGAGCAGCACAAAGTTAGTTGCTTTTTCTTTTGCCTATCTTGAACAACAGTGATCTAAATGTCTATCTCAAAGATGTCCATGTACATCAGTGAAATGTTCCCTACTCTGTTCCTTTTTCTTTTGCCTATCTAAAACAACATTGATTTAAATGTTTATCTCAAAGATGTCCATCTACATTAATGAAATGCTCCTTACTGTTGGTTTTCATAGTCAGTACGTGTCAAGTCTACAAACAGTTCTCCTTTCTTGGTCTCACTCAAAAGTCAAATCTTAAAGAAGTCACATCTTTCCTTATTTCTGTTCATGTTACAGCTGTGTAGTGTTTAGATATTCCATGGGATTTTTTACTCTATGTCTCAGTGGAATGTATTCTATTTGTCAACAGTGTTAATGATCAGGGGAGCAAATATCAAATGCTTTTATCTTCTTCTCACAATCGCCATGTTTTCCATTTCCAATGAAGTTATCTTCATGTAGTACTCCATAAAAAGTGACACCTGATGATAGCAAATTGAGCTACACTGAATTCTTCAGTCTTATAAAAACATCCTCTAGTCTTAAAAACAAAATAGAAAAAAGGGTTTGCTACATGTAGGCTTGAAAACTTTGTTAGAAAAAATCCTTGAAATTTTTGTTTGAACTTGTTTACTCTTTGAGTTATGCAAGCAAGATATTTAACTTTCCCTAGCTGAAAAAGATCAACAGTTGATTTCTCATCGCATTGGTAGTAAATTTTTGAACAATCAACTGAGGTAAAAGGAAATTATCAACAACAGGATAAACTGATGAAGTACCAAAATCTCAGCAAGTAAAAGGTAAAGACATGTATGGCATCCAGTATGGAGAATTGATAATTGGACTCAAATGTTGTAAGCGCAAACGAGGTTTAAATTAGTTTCGTGATTTAGGTGTCCTTTGAAGCTGACACATGATTCCTTTTCTCAGATATGGAATAGCAAGAGACTGTTCCTATCCCCCTGTCCCCCCACCCCTAGAGAGAAATGGAAAAGCTGATATTACCTTGAGGACATCATGAAACAATTTTCTCTACCCCTCCCCTCCCTCTCCCTTGAGCATTTTGTTAGGCTGTTTGACAATATTCTGGTTCTCTCTTATTCTCCTGGGTGGGGAGAGGTACAGTAAAATTACAAGTGCATTGTCCCCATTGGGGGTACTCCTAGTCCATGTTGACGAAGTTGAGCGGCTGATGACTGAAATCTATCACCGGGATTCAATACGAGATCATTGATAAAATAGTCTTCATCAAGATAAAGCCTCACTTTATACTTGCAAACTTTCAAACTATCCAGTCTTAAATTGGGATATTCATTCTACTGTTTGAAATAACACTGTCTAAATTTAAGAGCCTTTTTCCACAAACAACGATAAGTAACTTCACTCCAAACAAAAAGTACGTGAAACGGAGTTCTTCATGTATTTAAAAGGAAATTTCGCACCAGTTTTCAACATTTCAGGTTTGACGTAGAAAATGCCATCCTTGTACAACCCCCTCTCCCCCTCAAAAAGGTTAGTTCAAAACACACCCCCTCCCCTCTTGCGCCCAACCACAACAGCATTACCCTTCTCAAAAGGTCTTTCGCATAAACATTCATTTATCTTTTTCTTAAATTTGATATCAGGAATCCATTGGGTTTCTGGAAGCAATTCCAAGTAGTAATAGAGAGTAAATACGAGGAATTCAAAGTTACTTTTGGCCAAAGGAATAAATGAGAGGATAAAAATTTTTCACGCTGTGTTAGTAAATTTATCTGTGAAAACCGCAATATTGTAAATATTAAAACTACGATTAAAGAACGTAAACAAAACCCTGGAAAACCATACTCAAGTAAATAGTTCGACACATCAACATGAAACAAGTGTAGGGACCAATAAAGAATGAACGAGAAATTCAAATGGTTCGAAGCGCTTTTGAAGAAAAGATCAGTTGATGTTTAAGTGACATCATCGATCAATTTTTCAAAAAAGTTTCCAGGAGGTGGAAAAAGCTCTTAACGCACGTGTCTCACCCAATGAAATACTAGCATTTTGAGAGGCGAATGAAGACTGGGTGTCAACGATTTTTTCGATGAACTTATCAGTTTGAGAAAACTCATAAGCTAGCCTATGGCTCATAATTTGCCCACAAAGGGCCTTTGTTGTCTCATCGAATGTGTGTAGTTACTAGCAACGTAGAATTATGTTTTGTAGTCCTAATAATCTCCAGTCTGTTGGTCGAGGTACAAAATAAACAAACAAACAAAATTTACTAAAAGTAAGCAAAGCTTTCCTAAAGTTCCCAAGCTAACCGAAGCCATTAAGTTGTCTTAGGACACTGATTAATGCTGTTTTTAATTGCCTTTTGTTATTTTATCAAGATTTATGTTATCTTGATTTGACCACACATCTTCGGAATGCAGCAATCAACGGGGCTTTTTTTAGTCTGTAGAATTACTTTGAGCAGACAGGCAGACCCTTTGACCACACAAACTTCGTGCTCCCTCAAGCCAATTTTTGTTGACGAAATTGCTTCTGGAAGGTATGTTCTGAATTTTCTAAGCTGTTAATTCTTCGAAAGTTTGAGCTTCCATAGAGAGAAAGAGTAGAGATAGATTTATCAAAGAAAAACAGATCAGACTTATTCTCTAAAAAGACTGGAAACAATTCGCAAAATACCCTACGGAGAATTTGTTACCGGTTGCCTTACAGGTGTAAGGTTAGACCTGAAATTGTGGGAAAATTACAGCGATAATTTTTGGAAGACTAGAGACAACATTAACGCCCCTTCGCAGAAATTTACATTTCTCAAAATTTGTTCGTAACATCTCTTTTACTTGTTAAACACCGTAGTTTTAACTGACTTTTTTAGCAAGTCTTTCCATTGCGTGTTCTAAGCTTTTATAGTGTGTCCTTTGTATGTTTTATCCCGTTCAAAATGGTGCGGAAAATTCAATAAACTCATCTGTTCTACTCCTAAAATATCAGGTGCTTACGCCTACAACAGACTGATCTCGCAGACTGTAGATACTGGAAGCGCAGTTCATATATTATTAGTTGAGGCTCAATAATGACTTTGCAATCTTTACTTAGCTCGTAGGGTCTCAATATTTTCAGTATCTTTTTTTCGGGGACGTTTTAAATTACCTTAAACGTAAAGCAAATCCCCTATGCATCAAATCAAATTTGTGGAATAACAAAATATTACTGGGTAATGATAAATCAAAATGTGACAAGGACAGTTGAAGGTGTAGAGAGGGGCATGGATTTCAAATGAAAGGTTAAAGAAATTTAGGCCAAAGCTTCTGGTAGCAAAATCCTCTACAGTGCTCTTCTTGGACATATCGATACGAGTTCTCCTTACTGAATGCCATACTTTTCATCAAAATTTGTTTTGAGGACTTAGTGTAGCATGAAAACAAAAGATACTACTTGATAAGCAGCACGAAAGCTATGATAATTCTCTGTATTCTACACAGCTCTCTACTTTCTTTGATTTGTGGGAATAAATTTAGGAGAAATCGATTATTGGTCAGTCACGTCGGGTTGAATTTTGTATCTGCCATTCTGTTCATTAATAGTTTCCGCTTACTTATCTTGGCTTTGGGACGTTCATGCATTTCTGTCACTTAATCTTCGCCATGCGTACCAACGCCTGCTAATTACCCTGTCATCGTATTCCCTTGCAAATGCAGTTATCTCGTCAACTCTGTTTCTTTCGTCTCTATTTCGTCTCATTTCTAAGTTTCACCGCATCAGAAACTAGCACATTAATTCAAGAAATGATTGGGAACTATCTCCAAATGAGTTCATTTGCTTGAATAATTTGTGCATGGATTGTCCACTTTGTTTACTTTCAATTTTATTTATTCCGAGACAAATAACGGAACCATATAAACAAACCTCTCATCTAGCGGCCTTTCTTGTCTTCAACAGCGACCAGTCGTCCTCCTTCGACTTTAACTTCTGTAACAGAAACAAACGAACCATTGAGTGTGGAGTCATTGTATCCTTCACACTTAGCGTAAGAATATTCCTACCTCCGTTCGAAAATCTCTTCACTACGATAATGTGATTTTCAGGGCAGGCTATCACTATCCGCTGATAAGGCGTTGATTTCCGACCTTCGCTGGCTCCTGGAATCTGTGCTGGTTTTTCATTCGATGCATTTTCCATGATGTTTTCGCCTGGTGTAGCTCCACCGCCGAAATTGTCTGTGTATCCCTGGGAGTGTGTTTGACTGCTTGGCGATTTCTCTGTTACTATTTATTAAGGTTGTGAGTTCGAAATCTGCAAAGCTGCAAGCGTTGGGGTATTTTTGCATGAGCTAGATGCTATTTTTCCTTCCCTTGCCAATCAAAAGAAAAACCCTTTACAATGGGAGAATCCCAATAGATTCCATTGTCATCTCGAGGTACAACTATAATGCTGTCATTGTTAATGTGGTTTCTGGGTTTTTCCCTAATTTCGTTTCTGTGTGATGTGCATCGGTCTCTTTCCAATTTTATTTTAACCTCATCCTGTACTTCAAGTCTTTTTAAAGAGTGTTAACAAATTATTTCCTCTCTGCCTGTGGGAGCTTGTGTCAAAAGACGGAGCAAAACTTTCTTATGGTACTGCTAATCATGATCTGCAAGGCAAGATCTTTTTTAGTCTGGGGACAAAACTCTAGCAAGTGACAATCAAAAACTCTTGTAAGTGTCAACCGAAATGAGAGCTACAGAGAAATACTTTCATGTGGTTTCCTCTTCATTCTATTTTGCAAAGTGGTTATACCTTTGAGTTCTGAAGATAAAATCCTGTTGTGTGACTATTCAAATGAAAACTACTGATCAATACTCTCATGTAGTACTTTCTCTTATGCTGCACAAGGTGGCTCTAATTAAGAGCTTGTCAATGAAACTTTGGAGTGTGAACATTCAAATGAAAGCTTCTGAGCAGCAGTAGTTTGCTGTACAAAGTGATCCTAACTTTTACGTCCCTACATAAAAACCGAAACTTTGTTGACCGTTCATAGCTGTTCTGTTGGTTCTGTTGGAGAGACTTCACAAAGTGCTAAAAGTTTTTGACATATCTTGAGTCCCTAAAGGAGTAAATGCAATAGATGTATGTGTTACTCTTCAAGACACTGAAATCCAAGATGTTTGACATGTTTTTTCTGGTCTGGGTTGTGCTGTTACATTAGGATGTTCTAGAAGACTCGATCACTTAGTGATCAGAATGGAGCCTTAACCATCTTTTAGTCAGCCTAATGACAGGGAAAATCAACCCTTAGACTTTGAACAGGCTTTCCTTGAGTGCGTTTTAACAAGGAGTTGGGCATAATTATTGGATCAAATAAAATTTTCATTATTTTTGGTTTAATTTGGGTGATAAGCCAGCTGACTTACTTATACATCTGTTTAACTGTCCTGCAATGCAGTTTAAAAAGTTTAAAAGAGATATTTTAACCATGCAGAGGAATATTATGCTTGCAAAAACGATTTCCGAATATTCATTCTAGGATATTCTTGTCGTTTCTAGAACATCACAATCAACTGCCAATGCCAATTGGTAATAAGAGATTTAAAAACCTTTAGGATACATAAAGCAAGATAAATAAACTTCTAGTCTGTATATTTGCAACCACCAACGTGAAGGTACATAATCTCTCTTTTATAGAGTACTATACTATAGTCTGCGTATAATAGCAATTGCTAGGATAGACGTTCGTCTTCAGTTTTGATTTCCTGACCTTATTGTTTTCCTCCGTGTCGAGTAAACGAACGACTCAGTCCCTGATTTTAACAGCTCTATTGTTGTGCGTGTAATTTTATGAGATGTTCAGTAAAAAACCAAAATTCTGGAGACTTCTGGGAAGACTTCTCATAGCATTTCGGTCGTTCGTTGAGCTGTCAATTTAATGTCACGACTACACCAATCACAAATCACAAATCACAAACAAAGACGTCAAAATTGAATGGCTAGTGTTGTATTAAAGGACTTCGAAATCTCTCACACAGTTGTCTTGCTTGGTGCGTAACCGAAAATGTTGGCTTAGTTGAGTAATATTTGGAAGAACTGTAGTTGATAACTTCAATGCAAATAGAGGTTGGAAATGATGCTCGAAATTTAAGGTGTGTTACTGCTATTCTTTGCTCTAGTTTTTTTTCACTTGAAGCAGAAGAGACTCACTTTGTTCATTTTCATTGAAACATAACAGAACAGCAGCACTTCGTTTTTTAATTGTTTATCTATGTAGTGTAGCAGAGAAACGAAATATTGCACAGCAGCTGATAAAGTTGTTCATGATAGTCTTCATAAGGTTGACACAACTAAAAGGGCAGAAATTCATAATCTCGGTGATCTTTTGTATTGTGCTCTTACAAAAGCTTTTGTCGTAAAGTAAGTTGGTCGCTTGCTCAGCACGCTTACTCTTCTTTTTTTTTTTTGTAAAGGAGCATTTTACTTTTAGGTATGGTCAGTGTTCATACTAAGTGATATTCTTTTCCTTGCGTTGATCGCTCATTCGTACCGCATTTACTATTAGCTTTCAACCAAAGAAACTCTTAATTTCATGGAGTTTATCTCTCCTCGCCTGACTCATCGACAAATAATGCTAATCAATTCCACCCTTTCATGATGGGGAGGAGCTACACGTAAGGAGAAAGTAGATGTTTATCTCTTGCACTTCAGGAGGAATTCAAGTCGTTCGAGGCATTTCGAGTCTTTTCCGAGGAAAACGTGCGTGCGCGTTTTATTTAAACCTTTTGATTGATGGTCGTATTATTCTTCGGCATTTTCGAGGAAATTTACGAGATCAAACTGCAGAATCTTATGTAGTCACACAGAGGAACTTGTTTAAGAAAAAACTCAGTCAGTTCATGGAATTTATTTCGTAGCCATTCTTTTAACAAATTACTTGGGCTAAACATGCTTAACAGGAGCATTCCCTTCACTTGATCGGCCTCAAGAAAGTTTCCTAGATCTAGAGAAAAAAATTGGAGTCTATTTTAGACTTAAAACAGATGTGGAGGTGCTAATGTAATAGAAGATTGTGTAACTGATAGTGTTACTAACACTAAATTCTGTTTATGGTGTAATTCAAAGTAATTTTTTGCTCTAACAAGTAGGGTGAGAAATAACTTTTGCCTTAAAATCGATTTTTTGGTACCTATCTAATGAATCGAATGAATAAGTATCTAAGGAATTTGTGGGTTTTACGACAATATCAAAATTATAGAAAGAAAATTGGTAAATGATAACTAGGCTTACCGAGGAATTCGGCAAATACGTTCTAGTGACAGCGAGTTGGAAGCCATCGTTTTCAATCGTGTATCTTCTATGAACGTCTCCTTTAAAAGACGAGAAGCAATGTTTTCCAAGACGTGGTTATCAACAAATGCAACGAAAAAAAGCACATAGAACATTACCTCGCTTTCCTCGTTTGATTCCTACAGTGTTTCCAGCGGTAGTTATGATTGAAAGATGTCGTCCATTGTGCTCTCTTAAGTCGCTAACCAAGAATCCAGCTTGGGCCGTAAATGCTGCAAGTAGTTTTTCAGCTTAGTACTCGGAGAAACTGTCAAATATTTGGATGAAATTCGACAAACATAAGTCAATATACTTACTTCGGTTTGTTGATTCGTACAACAGTATCGCTTCTGGAGAAGAAGAGGAAGAACTTCTCTTTACAATCACAAACTCGACGAAATCATTGGAAGGCTCATCCGGCTCAGCCATGTTGCATTTGATTGAGAACAGTGATAACGAACGGAGTCGTCTACACTTTAGCAAAAGAGCGCTGTCCGCGTGCTTCAGACGTCCCAGTGACATGCGCTCCTTGTGGGATTGGGGTTAGCATGCTAATTTAGTTGGTGCGTCATGCATAAACATAGGCTGTCAAAACGAGCTCATGTCGCCGGCCAAAAAGGGTTCCTTGCAATCCATAATTCACTTTTTATGGAATACATTTTGAAGCTTTGGTTCTGTGGCCGAAATCTTATGATTTTGACTCTGATAGTTTCCTTCTCGTTCTTAAGTTGAAATATTTGCTTTGAGAGGTGGTAGCCTTACGTTTGTTGTGACTAGTTCGTGTTGCATTACAGTGCGCTTTTAATGAGGGAAATCAATAGGTATAGAAAAACAGGAAGTAGGCTTGAGTCAATCGCAATTCACTAGGACTTAGTTAACGGTTCCATTTATGGTTTTAAATCTGCATTATATTTTCTGACAGAATAACCACAGTTTGCAATCTACTATTTTGATATTACACTCTTAGGCCGCCAAGGGAGCACAAAAGGCTTTTCCCTGAGTGCTTCGAAATTCTTGTGATAAGAGGACGATGATGTAGTGGAATTCCGCCAAAGATTGAGATATTCACAATGCATCCGTTCGTCAAACTACCTAGTTTGTTGTTGTCTCGCTCCACGCACGTTTCTCGCGTTGCGTGCGCGCGAGTCAACTAATGCGCCACAGTCTGTTTACCAAGTCTGCGCGCAGTGTCATCTTTGCTCCTACGTTTGTCGTCATGCTCAAAGAACTTTAACTTATCACTTTACCACTGAGTATTGAACAACACATTGAAATTTAAAAGAAGCGAAATCATTGATCGTCGTGGTCGAAATGTTTACTTGGCATCGATTCTCAGATTTGCTAACCTTCCCAACTGTGAATATTAATTTAGTCGCGAACGATGAAAAGGGGAGGGACTTCAAGTAGTCAGAGGACAGATATTTATTATTTCACTAAGAGTGATCGGGCTATTCTAGATATTGTATCATTTTTTTCTCAAATGCGTCTTTTTTGATCGACTTTTGGCTTTATCTTAGAAAACAACATACAAAGATTTGCGTTTGCTGTTGTGTTTTGTACTGGATAGCCGAGACAGTAATTTCTGCGCACAAAACTCAATGGAAACGCGTAAGCACATGGGATTAAGTAATCGTGTTTGTTCGACTAACAAAATCATTACAGTTCGATTTTCTACATTCAGGAATCGTATCCTCTTCACTCCTAATTCTGCAAAGAAAGACAGCATTCTGATTAAATGAGAAAAGAAGTGCAAAAGACGTAAATTCAAGAATCTTAAGTGTTCCTTTCAGGGAGTAAACAGACGCGATAGTAAGTCACGAGCGAGTGAATGCTACCATTTTGCTCGTGAGGCCCAGTGGAAGTAAAATTCAACAACAGCGCTGAGAACTGATCGGTGATCACGAGGCATAAGCACATAGCTGTAGTTTTTGGATTCCACAATGTGTTTCATCGTGGATTGAACTTATAGTGGGGTGGTGCTGTGCTTCGTTTACAGGAATTGAACAATAACGTAATCATGGCGACCAGAACTCATACTCAAAATGATGGTCTACTAATTGCGCAAAGAGCAAGGATCTTCCTAGCTTGATATCGATATCATATTGTCATTTAGTTTCTGTTACATCACTTTAATTTATCAGCGCGGGGCCTCTGCACATAGATCCTTCCTTCGTAAATGGTTAACGAAGGTTATTCTTCGTTGATCGATGGTATAAAGAGCTATACAGTAGAGCTATATTTTGTACCTCTTACCTCGCTCAAACGTGCACCGTCTTGACTCCAGTCAACTTATATCCCGTTGTTTTCATCCTGTAATCTTAAAAGGGGAGAAATCATGTGCCTGAGTTTTAAATATTTTTTTCTCGTAACAAACATCAATGACAAAGTTATAAGCGAAATACCATTTGTGCCATGGCGCTCGATATCCAAAACGCCTCCCGAAGAAGTCACGATTCGCAGATCTCTATAAAAGCGTCGAGGAGACCCCCAGAAGTCTTTCTGCTTCAGTTCATTGCGAACCAAACAAGCCCCGTGAACTTCAAATTCTGATGTGAATAAGGGGAAAAAAGTTAGGAAACTGAGATTTATCAACTGACATGTCATACTTGGAAAGGCTGCGAACATACTTCCATTTGGTGGCTTGCGGAAGATCGCGGCTACGTATCTACCCAAACTATTTTGGACCTCTGACAGTCTCGCACGTATTAAAAACATAATCATCAGTTTCATACCCGCTCATGACTAAACCAGAAAGCGTATATCTAGAAAGGGATGTTAGCTTGTTTGCTGCCGAGTTAAGTTGTGACGAAAACGATACGAGTAAGCCCTTTCTAATGCAGAATTTACTCATGATATCACGATTCCCATAATGCTAAGGAACACGGCGTCACTGGGGTACAGCGGTTACTGTAGGAGTTTATATATGAGGATACGAACAAATTGTAATTGAAACGTAGTAAGCAGTGTCATGCTTTTGAATTACACCCAACTAGCACCAAAAAAGTGTTTCTTTTTTCTTTTCTCCCATGTAACCATATTTTTCCTGGTATCGCTCAATGAGTTGAAAAAACCCACAGGGCAACATTAACTGACCAAGAAATATCAATTCTCGAACTTTGTGTAGAACAGTAAGATGGATGAAATTTTATTTAGGTTGTTCGTCAATAAATGGACGCAAAAAGGCGCATTTCTTTCAGCGGAAAAGATGGTATTCACAATAAGCAACAACTTTCTCTCTCACGCGTTATGTTTTAGGTATCAGTAGTACCTAATCTTATGAAATGATGCAGGCAAAGTTTTACTGACATCAAAGTATGAACTTTATTTTCTTGCTTTACACTTGAAACGGTTATTTCAGTGATTTATAAACTTGCTGTATCAGTGCTGCTGGATATTCTGAAACCAAAATAAGAAAAAGAGAACGTTTTTGTGGTCACTTTACACAAGCCATAGGATTTACGAACATAATTATGCAAGCTTAAGTTTTCGTCACAGCAGTTCATCTCAGTACCTTTTAAGCTCCAGTTAATTATTATCTAAGAAATAAAGATTCTACGTGGCATAAGGATAGATTGGATTATAGCACCATGCGTACTAAGAGATTATGTTTGAGTATTGGTGGAATCGATTCAGTCCACTTACCACAGCTAATAAGAAACTGTTTCCACTGTCATCCAGTTATCCCCGTCAGTGCTATAGTCTGTTAAGAGGAATGAGTGTGATTTGTGTCAACCAAAAAAAAGAGCAATAAGCAAGTAGAACGATAGAAAGTGACAACTTCAGCAACTGGCGTTTACAGCTGTCTTAATGTACCATCGACTGTTTGAAAGTTTAAATGGTAAGGACATGCGAAAACCCTCACAGATCCATTCACTGAAATATATCGCATATTGACAGCAAAAACAACAAAATAACTTTACTTCACTATAGACTTACAATAGTAAAGAGTGTTTAATGTTAAACCAAGAAAAGGAGAGTAATGATAGAAGTTTAACTTCAAGACATAACTTAAGAGTTAAAAATGTCAGACTGCCAGTTAAAAGGAAAGATGTTTCATGCTTAAAAGGAAAGACATTTTATGTTTTTGGCTCGGGGACCAGAAACAAACTAACATAGACATACACAAACAGAGATAAGTAAAGTTAATTCAGCTACATGTACCAGTCACACTCAGAAAAGAAATGAACAAAATCAAGTTAACTGCCAATAGAAAAATGTTCTTGCAATGCAAAACTCTATTTTTATCAAGGAAGGAATATCTACAGATATCTCACAATTTGTGTTTTACTTTCTTAGTGTTTATCAACTTTGGCCAAACAATCATTGAATACATTGAGAACAAGTTTAAGTTCAATAATTTCGGAATTGATTTCTACAATCTCACCAAGTCTCTGGCTGGTATGTGACTCGAAATGTTGTATTTGCATAATACTCGTCCATATCCTTTGCCATCTCTAATGTTATCGAATAAATTCTTATAGTTGTATTGTCTTTTGCCTATTTTTAGATGGTTCTATTTTTAGTTTAGTTTGTTCATGTATTGCCAAAAGTTCGTTTGGGAATAGGTGCTCTTTGTCTTTAGGCATTTTTCTTTTAATTATAAATTTGAACTCGAATAGGTCAGTTTTCGAAGAGCATTAGTTATCAATGCCTTTGCTTTAAGCTTTTTCCCTCGAGATGGTTGCTTAACTGGTGTAGGTTTGTTTATTGAACTCGAAAGTTTTGAGTAGAATGATGTAAACAAAGTGATGTACTGGCATTAGTTACAAAAACAGTATCCAAGTCAATTAACTGAATGCCATTGATCAAGAGCCGCTCATTAGTTTTCGAGTAATCTCTCCTAAATATTTTGATAGTGCAAGGAATTGTTATAAATTCATTTAAAATTAGGAAGGGGATCAATGAGATCCTGTGCCATGTTACCACTGATGGTAAAGTGCCAAACTGAATTGAAAATATAATCAATACTACTTTGAGTGATCTGTGATTGTTTTTGGTTGCAATATGTAAGGCCAGATGTATGAGGCCAAAGCATTGATGAAACTATCAGTTGCGTTATGGGATTCTACTTTTATAAAGATCTGTGGAAAAGTCTCCTCTGATTAGGCTAATTTTGTTTTACCTGATTGATCCTCTCAGCTATCGAGCTGAGATATTTAATAAATCTTTCTAGATTACCAAGTAGGTGCCACTAAAGAATTCCACATAATAAATTTGAGTAACGATCACTATGTACTTAAATCCACAAGGCTTCAAAATCATCGGCAGTGTTTTTTAAATTCAGGTCTTTATGGTAATACTCAAACTATTGTTTTTATAAACAATGACATTCAGCATTGGAGAAGCTTTGCTGCAGGAGAAACTGATTTCCGCATGTGATGAGTTATTAAAAAATGACCACAGCTCGAAATGAGCTACCTATGTTTTCTTTTTGCGTTGCACCTTCCTTTAGGTGTTCAAGTAAACATTTTGCGGTATTTCACTAAATGTTAGCTTTGACACCGGTGAATGAGGTTAATTCTAGGTCTCCTCGAGATCTATCGCTGCCAAATATATCAATCTCAAGAAATCTGGCGTTAGTCAGAAAGATAAATAAATGTCATGCAATTGAGAGACAAAAACGGAATAGATTCAAATTCATCCACACGTACCTTCTCGCCCACGTCGGGTCACGACATAACTACATCCTGAGTAGTTGGATGTTACTGTTACTCTTGTGTCTCCCTGCCAAGTTCTTGTCGGCTCAGTGAACCATCCATGCTTTGCGCCAAAAGCTAAGAGGGTCCAAAATCGCGTCAGAGTGAGGTCAAACTCTTTAAATGATATAGGAATCGTTTCACGAGCCATGTCGTAAACCAAATAACAACTCACCTCCTGTATCTAAATCGTAAGTCAAAACAACATCGACATAGTTGTTGGGATGAAATCTTCTTTTTCGAAGAGACACTTCTTCTCTAAACCGCGGCTCGGGTGTTGGAAACCAAGACATTTCCTTCAGGTTGTCCTCTGTATAAATTGCGATGTTTCCTAGAAAGCGTCCTCTACGCGCAATGCAAGTCAAACATTTCGCACTCTCAACTCTTTTTTTTTTTCTTTTTTCGTACTCTCAACTCCTCTGATTGGTTAGTGTATGGCCTCGCTTTCATGTTCGCGAGCACGCTTCCTGCTTCGCGTCACTTTTATCCCTCGCGCGAGAATCTTGGCAGAGCGTCTGTTTACGCTCTCAAAGTTGAATCTTGGCAGAGCGTCTATTTACGCTCTTAAGAAAGTGAATTGTATTTGTGTTTTAAAACTGGGTTTGAGTTTTTGTAATGGCCGTTACGCAGTCAGTAATTCGCGACTTACTGGGCTTAGTGGGCACTTTTGCTGGAATGAAAGTAACAATTATTGTTTATTACGATGAAATGGGGGGCGCACGTGTCTTCAAGCCTTCCTGAATGACAGGAAGAAATAAATCCCTCCCTTACGCGCACACGCGTTCAGCTGCGCGTTTCCTCTCGTGCGCAAGTATTGTTTTTTCGCATGTCCTTTTCTCTCTTCCTAGGATTCGATATCTCTTTTTTACCGACACACTGTAACTTTGCTAATTTCTTAATTTTTATTCCTCACTAAATTTTAAGAAATTCTATTTTAGGTGAAGGCAGTTTAACCAGTTAAGGCTTGCAGTTTTAGTGCTATCATTTTCAAAATCAATATTTCGCGTGACCTCATCATTTCAATCATCGTAAGCCCGCTCGTCACGCGTAGCGGTTTCATTAACATTCAGAGGGCGGAGCGAAGGCAAGGAGAGAATTGACTCTGAACAGTGCGGCGAGAATGTTCTATTTTTGCCTCAGTGAGGTAATTTAATCATTATTTTTTTAATTTGTGGGTAATCGCTTTTATCTGGAGATTTGTCGTTTTTAAGGCTTACAGAGTTGAATTCATGCTCTAGCGACAATAGTATTTACCAATAGACATACAAGGATGAACGTTTCGTGTTGTTTACTGTAGTCAACATGATTTTTATTCACATAACAACTCAGTGAAATGTTTTAATGAAGTTAAATGAATGGACTGTCTGGCGAGCTCTTGTCAATTGCGGTCCCCTTTGAGCGATCCTATGAAGAAGAAAATACATCTCTCATTATTTGCCTAGAGCAGAAATGACTAGTTAAAGTGAGAAGAGCAGACCTGCTGACACGTTAAATCTAACGCTTGTACCGCGGTTGTTCGACATCCTATGCGCGTCTTTCTTTGTCTTCTTTTGGCCAAGTAAAGAAAATTACACTCATAGGTCTCAAAAGGTTAAATAAGATTTGACGCACAACGAGAGTAATGCCTTCGAATTTGAACCAGTGATACGAAAGCGAACGAAAGAACTTACCAAGAAGAAGATCAAGCAGAAGGAGTATTTTCTCGATTTCATAAGTTCACACGGTCCAATCTTTCTCCCCAAATGTTATCTTGTGAAGTGGTGAACTGAAATTCTATGGGAACAAATTATGAAGTCTTCAGAACAAAAATCCACTCTTAAACGACGTACAAAGAAGGACTCACTTACCGCCCCCAGAATCACGAGTGAAGCCAAATGTGTATCCGCGCGCCGCAACAACTGTTATTGTGTGTCGTCCGTAGCGCTGTGTCGAGTCGAAAATGATTCCTCCCTGGACTTCAAACTCTAGTACGTGAAAAAAACAAAATTATTAATTTTAAAATACAATTTTCTCAAAGTAAAGGCGTCAAAATGTTGTAAGGAATGCCATTTCAACCGTGACTTACCTCCTCTTCCCGAGTTAACCTTGTAGAATATTGTTACATCATGAGGTCGAATTCTTTGTCCTCTTTCTTTCCTTCCAACATTTATTATGTCACAAAATCTTGACGATGGCTCCGGTCCCTGAAACCCTGCCATCTTTTATCTCAAAGTTGACGAGCAACGTTTTTCCACCGAGTATAATTTTGAGTTTGTGAGACCTTATTCACAGGCGCATTTGCCAGGCCTCATGCGCAGACGAGAAAATATATTTTCTTGGTGCGCATTTCCTTGAAATAAATATACCTAATTTTAAGTTGTTTATTTCTGACTTTCGTGATTTTATTTATCGCCTGAGAGTCTCTTCTGTGGCATTTTGATTTCAACCTTAGTGCTTAAACTGAGGGAGTAGAGTTAGTAGTTTCTGTACCAGCCGAGGTATCTACTGTCGAAACTAAAGAAATTTATCTACAATCTTATAAATCGATTTGGAGTCTGTTGATTGACTCAACTCAATATGTTGGCATTATCTCTTCATATTACAGTTAAGAAATTGTTGCGGAAACTCCGAGGAACCAAAGGCTTATGTTCCTCTATAAAGATTCTAGGATATGGAGAATTTTAGCCATTAAATTAAGAATTTTTGCAAGTGAAGCACGACCAGTATAATTATGCAAACACTTTAATAAAATAATGTAGCTCAGTGTACATTAACTTCGGCTTTGTGCGAAAAGGAGCCCTACCATCTTGAATGATCAAATAGATAGCATCAAAACGAACTGAAATGTGTGCAGGAAGATCAGCTTTAAGGCCTCTGTCTCAACGGATATAAACCCTCTCTGTACTTAGCCAAGTCCACCAACTGTGTGCGCTGTAGACCCCTGAAAGAAAAGACGAATACAATTTTACTACTCTGACTTGAATATGAGATGGCCGTATTTGATTCTACTCGGAGAACTTCAAGTACGATGACGATGATGACTTTTTGAAATTTTAATTCACAGTAGAATATTTTTCAAAGTATAAATTTAGTGACGACTATTTGAAATGGCAAGATGGCGTCGGTTCGATGCGTACCTTTTATTCGTGTGATGATGTACATGGATCCTCCTTTTGATTTAACTGTCAAAGTGATAGTTCCCGACCCACCCTTCTTATCCAATATTTCGCCGTATTTGATATCAAAACCTGAAATGATCCAATTGACAGCTAAGAAATTTTGACCTGTTCATCAAAGTGAAACTCATATCTGACGACAACTTACTCCTTGTCCTGGAATCGTAGGTTAATATTACATCTGGAGAAAGTATGTTCCAAAAACGTGTTCCTATCTGCACTGTTTCAATGAAGTCGTTGAAAGGTTCATTCCCCTGATGTCCGCTCATGTTTGAATTTGTTCAGCTTTTCTTGTGTGTCGAAGGGTGCTACGAAATGCACGCACTTTTCGATCGCTAGATCTCTTGTTCAATTTTTGCATCCTTTCACGCGCACGCCTCGCATTTGACGCTGTCAAGCTGTCAATTTCACGTCCTGCCTACATTAATCAAGTCTCGGAAAACAATACTCGTCACAATTTAAATGGTCTGATGTCTTTGAATGCGTCGAAATCTCTCGTACTTCTCGTTGTTTGTTGCGCAAGTGGAAATGTTGAATTTCCTATCAAAGATTTGAAAATATTCTGTTTGATGGCTTCAGTTTGAGTGGAGGATGTCAAAGATAATCGTAAGGTGTGTTGATGTGGTTTTTTTTTCAAATTCTGTCTTTTACTCGAGATAGACTTTCTGTGTTCCTTATAAAACGCATTATATCTGTGACGCACCTCTTTGCTCTGTTTCTAAATATCGACACGTAACAAATTGGAGCTACCATGACAGTAATCCTGCGCGTCGATGAAATTCGAAGAAACCATTTAGTTTAAATCGCAGTTTTCTTTTCTTTTCGCTGAAGCTTGTCTTCTTAAATAGCTTGCTTTGTTTGCGCAATGAAAGCCTGTTACATTATTCTGCAAAGTGATGGAATTTTGAGTGAAGTATGGCTACTTTGTGAGTTTGAAGTGATGTTGTGGCTAGCTCAGGTGTAGGTTTTCGTGAATAATCCAAGAATCTTGATAAGCTTTTTAAAACATATTTATTCCGCGAGACGACTCTTTCGTTGCGTGAGATATCTGACTTGGCAACAAAGAATTTAATTTAATTCCACCGTCATCAAAAGGGAGGGGCCAAACTTAAGAAGAAAATAAATCTTGATCTATTGACCTTCGAGCGACGTCCGGATAATGTTACGCTTGAGGCAAATTATTCTTAAACAAGAAGTCATTTCTCCATCTTGAGTAAAGCATTCCTTTGCAGTGTTTGTTCATCTTTTCTTCGAATGGTCATATTAATTTATAGCGTCTTTCAAAACGTAAAATAGACAATTGAAGTATGTAATACTGTTCTTGAGCCGTTGTTTGAACTGTAAGAAATCGTTTTTACCACCTACAGTAAAACGCAGTTGCATTTCTCTAGTTCCAAATGTTTCAACTTCTTGAATTATAGAGAAAAGTTATTAAACCTTGCTATAAATCGGATACTGAGACTCTTAACTCGGTTTTAATTTGCTTAGTGCGTTTAAGTAGCACACAAGCTGTGTCCATTCCCGCTTAGTATCGTGTATCTTTCTTCGCTGTCTCCTTTTAGAACAAAAAGCATTTGTTGAAGCGGCTGTTTTCTTGACCTACCTTACTTTGCGCAACGAATCTCGATCTTGTCTCCCGTCGAGGTTACGATTGACAGTACACGCCCAACTTGAACGGTAAATTCTACCATTTATTCAGTGTAGTATTCTAGGAAAGGTGTTGTTAAATTGCGCGGGAATATCGCATGGCGCTATGTCCTTACCACTGCCTCGTGATTCAGACAACGTTACCGCTTCCCGAAAACTGTTGTATCTGTCCTTCTCTACATGTACGAATTCCACGAAATTATTGGACGGTTCTAGCAGTTCGGCCATGGCGGTTTGGCATGAAAAAATAAGACATTTTTTAATTGACATTTTGCTTTACTAACGACCCGTGCTTTTAGACGCACTGTTGCTTTCACTAGGCATGCATGCCTTATGCTAATTTTCTTGTGACATCGGGCGTGAAAACCTCTTTGGAACAATAGCAACGAACATGCTTTTCAAGTCGATAAACGGTTTTAGCGCTCGGCAGGTACTCTGCCTCTTACACTGTTGTTAACAGTGTTAATGTGACTTAAGTTTTCTTCAATCAAATTTCATATATCGACTTCAAATTTGTGATATTAAATTGTTTACTCTCGCGATCTTTAACTTGATAAAGATGTTATATCATCTTGTTGTTTCTTGCGTGCGAGTGATCACGTTAAACAGATTCAATCATACAGGAAACGTGGATACTGTAATACTTCACCTCAAAACTTTATTTATTGCTTTTCACGACTATTGAAATATTTTTAGGTAAATGTTCCATAGACTTCAAAGCTTTCTTGTGACTTCCGAAAGATTTCTGCGAAGAAGATCAGAGAAAAAATTAGAATATATCACAACCTTGACTATCAGTGTACTTAGTATTATAATCGGTGCTACTGTATTGAATGAGCTGCGCACTCAAGAAATGAATCTCAGATGATATGAATAGCTTATGAGATGATCAGAATAGTTGTTAATGACAATGATGTAAACCGCAAAGCATTTCGCATGCTAACGTTGGGAAAACACGACTGCACATTTTTATGGTTTAATTGAACGGCTTACCTCATCATATTTCTGTCTTCTCGACCTCCATCCGATTCCTATAGTTAGTTTCGTATACTGCGAAGAAGATTTAGCAAGAATGGTATAAGGTCTCAGTTATGGGAATTTATAATTCTCATTATTGCTGTACTTGTATATTGTGCAATTCAGCGATTAGGATAAAGACATGGCTAAACAAGAGTTTTTCTAAGCATAACAAGCTTCTAAACCTAAGGTGACGAATCTTAAGTGAAACCGTAGCAGAAAAAAATATAGAAGAGTACAGCTAAAAGGAAGGTCAGCGAGCAGATAGCCATGGCTGTAAATGCATGTCTTACATCTCTTCAAATTTTTCCTATCATAACCTACACTAAATAAACGAAAAAGCTGTTAAACCTCACTCATGTGCCACAATCGCCGATCTAGATAAACATACCTCCTCCTCGCTTTCGGGTGACAGTGTATTGGTGCTTGGAGTTGGAGAGAATCGTCAATTTAGTAGACCCATTTACACACTCCTTTTTTTTAAGAGTGCCATCGACGACCTTGTAATCTAGCAAGATTAAAATTAACAATCAAAGAAAGTAAATGGATTTTTGAGATACAAAGAAGATTAGAGGAAGACTCACCTCTACGTCTCGTGTCGTACGTTATTTTCACATCGGCATTCCGATGTTCCAAACGTTTCAGACAAACTTCTTCAAGGAAGTCGTTCCGCGGCTCGTCAGGTTGGAAAGGGTTCATTTTACTCTTCTTAGTTTGAATAAATTTGCAGATATAGCGAATAAGACGTTGTTTGCGTGTTGTCGAAGCACTGCAGCAAAAGTGCTTCGCCAGACACATTTTTAAGAAAATTTTATCCTTGTGGCTGTTTCTGATTGGTTACCTAGGTTAGTCTCTAACCCGTTCGTGCGTCTTATTTGTTTGTATTTTTTTCATTATCGTTTCATAGGATTTGGCTTTCTTATTAATCAGTGTGCCAATTTAGAACACTTGTTTTAATTATCTCTCGATCATAGTCAAATTCTTACACCGATTTTGAGCAGAATCGCAGGCGAGTCACTCTTTATTTTTACAAGATACGCCATTTCCACCTCTCTCTTTCCACTGATAAGACAGCATTTTAACCTCGCTTTCATGTCTGAGCATGTGCATCTTTTGGCTTTGTGTTCATCTAAATTGACGCGTGTAGTTAATTTCTCGTTTAGCCATCGTGTTTTTCGATTTTACCTCCTGGTTGGGGTATTCATCCTTCCAGCTCTCATCTGTTGTCGCAGAAGCTATTGCCTGCCTTGAAATGTGACGCGTTATGAATCAGTTGTGGAGTTGAAATGAATAAGTATTGCATGTCATTTTTTATTTGGGTAAGATGTTGAGGATTTGTAGGATTCAATCTGAGCGAGTTGACATTTGAGACTCTTAGGTTTCAGAGACACGAGTTCGACTTTGACTTCAAGTTTTTCCCATAGTGACGAAAGCGTACCCTGACTAAACACCAACGTTAATTTGGTTACGAAATGTTTTTCATCAGATTTCTACGGAATAGTTTCGGTTAGAATGCCGTAGTTGCTGAAACATGTTTTTAACACGCTAGTACTTATCTCATTTGCTATTACAGACAAAAGCTTCATTTCATCTAAGAAGTAAATTTATCAACTTTGTTGCTTACGGCGGTGGTCAAATCCTTACTCAGTGGTATTTTTTACTCGTCGTGTGCTCTCATGGCCTCTAATGATTGACTAAATTCGATTGAAGTGACAATATTCATGTCCATTGAAAATAGGGCTAGTATAGAGTTCATTGACCCTGCTCTGGCGTACACACGCTTCTTTCACGCATTGAATGTTCATGCAGCAAAATTGCATTAAGACTCATTAATGTTTTATGCCATGCTACAAACTTTATTAGACTCTTGGTTCGTTTACAATCAACAGTTTCCTAGTGTTTTACAGAGTGGCTCTGGCAGTGCTCTTGAACAGTCTGCAATTGAGATGAAATAAGAAAAGAGCGCATTTTCATTGCAGATCACAAACACAGAAATTTATAACTACTATTTGCTTTAGGTGAGGAACATGCCTACTACCAAGCAGAGTACTTGGCTAAACTGTCATACTCAAGTCTGTGATTACTAGGTCTTACTCTGAGAAATATGTACACGCTTGTATTGTGAAGCGCGTCTTTCTACGCCCACTTCTGGCCAAATAACGAAAACTACATCTCTAAGTCTCAGAAGCTTAAACACGTTTTTGTGCACATTTAAGAGTTCGCCTTTCAGAATAACTTACCTTTACACTTCAACTTTTTCTCTTTTGATGTAAACATCTCTCCCATCGGCGTTCACGTCATACTCTTGGTAGAAAAGAAGTGAATTGCTGTATCAGTCAATATTTTGCGCGAATAACGTTGAAACTTCAACGATGATCATGAATACCTACCTCCGTTTCTATACCGCCTGACTTCTATCACGTTAGCTTTTGAAGTAACGAGTTTCAATTTGCGGTATCGCCGGCCATAATTGCTCTCCTCTTTATCTTGCAATACGTATCCGTTGCTTACTTGAAACTCTGGAGATGTTTAAAAAAATACCGAGTTTAAGCGGGTGTTATCGCGTTGTTATCTCATACAATTGTGCAGAAAGCAGAATTCAAACCTCTTTCTGTAGTGTAGAAAAGTGTTACTTCAGCAGTATCCTCTTCGATGCCTATTTGGACTACTTCGCAGTATCTAGGCACGTTTGGCTCTCGGGGTTGATATCCGTGACTCATTTTGATTGCCCACGGTTCTCGAGGAAATAGAGGATGATTTGTTGTTTAACTGTGATGCTTTGCTCAGCGTATAACCCTGATTGCTCGATATTTCTCCTCCGTTTTGTCGTATTTCACAGCTTGACTTTTTTTACGCCTGCGCGGCACAATATTTGCTTTGGCTGCACATTCTTAACTGATTGATAAGAAACCTATTTTTAGCTCCCCTTTTATGATCTAAGGGAACCTTTTTCGACATTGAAACGGATTGTTGTAGCCGCACAAGATTTCATTTCATTGTTGACCCCGATTAAAAGCATACGCAAATATGTGATAGCAAGTACTTCCACCGCGGTCGCGACTGATATTTAATGTGTGGCCTGTTTAAGTTACGATTGTTAATCGTCGGTTTCCACCTTTCAGCTGCACTCGAAAGATAATCCTTTACTGATCCTGAATTCTAATGGCAAAAAATTTCCGGAAAGTACCGTTCGATTCATTTGCTGTTATTTACAATATTTGTGTCCTTTGAAAATAGAGTAAGCGTGGAGTTCATTAACTCTGCTTTGGCGTGCACACGCTTCTTTTACGCATTGTATGTTCAATCAGCAAAATTGAATTAAGAGTCATATGTGTTTTATGCCATGCTACAAACTTTATTAGGCTCTTGGTTCGTTTACAATCAACAATTTTTCAGCGTTTAACGGAGTGGCTCTAGCAGTGCTCAGCAAAATTGCATTAAGATTCATATATGTTTTATACCATGCTACAAACTTTATAAGGCTCTTGGTTCGTTTAAAATCAACAATTTCCCAGTGTTTAACTGAGTGGTTCTACCAGTGCTCTTGAACAGTCTGCAATTGAGATGAAATAAGAAAAGAGCGCATTTTCATTGCAGATCACAAACAGAGAAATTTACAATTACTACTTGCTTTAGGTGAGGAACATGCCCATTGCCAAGCAGAGTACTTGGCTAAACCAACATATCCAAGTTTTGATTACTAAGTCTTATTCTGAGAATTATGCCCGCTAGGAAGCAAATTGTTTGTACAAGAATGGCTTTTATTCTAGAATAAAATTGATTGAGCATGTTGAATTTCATACACTTACCACAGTTAATAGGTAACAGTCTCAACCTCCTTCCAGGTACGCCAACCAGTGCTATAATCTTTGATGAAGAGGAACAAGAAGAAGCACTTAACATGAACGGGTTACGCAAATGATAAAAATATTCTAAGGTAATGAATTCGAAAGTATTCAGCTGACGATAGTTCAGACCACTAACATAATGAGACGCTGAAAGAGATCATGTGAAATTGCGTTATCTGTTGACTGCGACAACGTTACAAATGCGTAACTCCCTATAAAAAGGTTGAAATCACTGAATCTTCACTTACTGCCATTGCCATGCCGAGTGACTTTATAAGTACATCCACTGGCCGATCGCAGTTTCACCGTTGTGCTTCTCCCAGAGGTTTTTTCCTTAGTTATTCGTCCATACTTGGCTTCGAACTCTGCATTTTCCGGATATCGTGTTAGTAAATTTGAGACTTCAGTGCTACACAAAACAGTTCAAGTTACTTACTTTTTCTATCCAGAGAGTACAGTAGTATGGCATCCGCATCGTTATGGCAGCAGTATTTTCCTAGGGATACTTTCTCACCATACCTAGGCTCCACTGGATCAAAATGCGACATTTTTCTTAAAAAAACTGAGAGAGAAGGTTCGCACTGTCTTGGAGGCAACGTCGAATGCGCGTAATACGAATACACTGGGAGAAAGCTGCTTCGCTCAGTTGTTTTATCCAGCCCTTTGTTTGGTATTGGCGAGCTTTCGGTTTCGTTTCCTCGTTCGCGCGCGCTTCCCGAGCGACGTAATCTCCCTCGCACTCTTGCGCTTGTGTTGTTCGTTTGTTTACATTCTTACGTTGGGTCAATTTCTCTTTGTCACTATCTCACAACCAGATTTTAACTCAAGATTTGTTTACATATATCTTTTAGTATATCTTTTTCCTATCAAAGGTAATGCAGTCCGCTTTGTAATCGTTTGTGGTGCGATTATCGAAATCGGTCATTTGCTTGACTTGATTTTTCAATCATCGTCAACGTGCGTGTTAGGCGTGAAAGGTTAAATTATATTCAGAAGGCGGAGCTACGGAAAGGAGAAAACTGACTTTGAACAGACTAGAATGGCAGGAATGCTTTATTTTTGCTTCGCCGAGAACATTTTAAAACTTTTTTTTAGTGTCTGGGTACCTTCCACTATTTAGTGATTGGTGGCTTTTGGGGCTTGCTGAATTGGTTGCCTGTTATTTTCACAATAGTTTCACCAATGCACGAAAATGTATAAACATTTTGACAATTTATGGCAGTTAACATGATTTTTTATTTACGTTAAATTAGAATCAAGATCTGTGGGCTGTATCTCTTGTCAATCGAAGTCTTTCTTGAGTAATCCTCTGGGAAAAAAAACAATTTTTGTTAGTTACTCTTAGCAGAAATGCCTATTTATAGTTAGATGAGTAGTATTGATTTCCAGCATGTTAAGCAAACCAAAAGATATGCACAAAGGCGCTCACCTAGCAAATTCAATTTTGCCACAACTATCATGGGATTTACCGAAATCAGTCGAATTGGCAAAGCTTTGAGCGGTGAAATGGGCCCTCTTGTCGTAAGAACAAGCCAAATTGACTTTGTTATTCGCCTTTATTGAACAGGAGCTACTTATTGCGTACACGCTTGTATTGTGAAGCGCGTCTTTCTAAGCCTTCTTCTGGCCAAATAAAGAAAACTACATCTTTAGGTCTCAGAAACTTAAATACGTTTTGGCGCACATTCAAGAGTTCGCCTTGCATAGTAACTTACCTTTTACACTTCAACTTTTCTTCCATCGAAGTTAAAAATTCTCCCGTCGGCGTCCACGTGATATTCTTGGCGAAAAAGAAACGAATTGGTGTATCAATGTTTGCGCAAATAACGTTGAAACTTCTATGATGATCATAAATGCCTACCTCCGTTGCTATATCGCCTGACTTCAATCACGTTAGCTTTTGAAGTAACGAGTTTCAATTTGCGGTATCGGCGGCCGTAATTGCTCTCCTCTTTATCTTCCAATACGTATCCGTGGCTTACTTGAAACTCTGGAAATGTTTTAAAAAAAAATACCGAGTTTAAGCGGGTGTTATCGCGTTGTTATCTCATACAATTGTACAGAAAAGCAGAATTAAAACCTCTTTCTGGAGTGTAGAAAAGTGTTACTTCAGCAGTGTCGTCTTCGATGCCTATTTGGACTACTTCGCAATATTTGTGCGCTTTTGGCTCTGGGGGATGGTATCCGCCACTCATTTTGATTGCCTACGATTCTCGAAGAGGTTGACGGTGATTTGTTGTTAACCTGTGATGCTTTACTCAGCGTATAACCCTGATCTCTCGTTATTTCTCCTTCGTTTTGTCATATTTCGCTACTCGACGTTTTCCACGCCTGCGCGGCACAATATCTGCTTTGGCTGCACATTCTTAACTGATTGATAAGAAACCTATTTTTAGCTTCCCTTTTATGGTCTAAGGGGACGTTTGACATTGGAACCATGCAAAAGAAGAGAACAGCACTCTCTTTGATGACACAATACAAATTTTATTTTCTTTGAACTGATTACAGAATTTTAACCTTTTCGTCGATTACAGCCTTAGCTATTCTAGGATCTTGTGATAAACTTACTAATAAAGAGTTTAAGATAATGGTTCCTCCAAGAAAAACCTGCAATAAAACAAAATGTAACTGTAGATCAGTTGGCGTATTTTTTGAATTATTACCTACACTCATTTAAAGTTGTCGTTCTTGCTTAAGTAAAATAGTTCAATTTTACTGCCACATATAGATCATAATACTTCAGTGGACGAGATAGGTTTCGCTCATTGAAATATATGCAGATCGCTTTCTTTGAATTGCGTGAGAGGAAGATGTGTATGAAGTGTCTTACCTCGCGCTTAGTGGTATAAACGTTCTTCTTTGTGCCAGTATCCTCCAGTGTTCAAATGATAGCCTTTAGAGTGAGGAAAAGAGAGGGTGAAAGGTATTATTTAAGCTTCTTGGCTAACAGTAGCTAAATATTTTGGTCAGGTTTTAACAGCTAGAACTGGACGCGCGTAATTTAACAGCATTCGACGCAACATCATTAAGTCTACCAGCCTTCATAAACCATTTAAACGTTCTCTCTATATACAAATTGTCTCAAAATCAGGGAGGATGTTTTTACAGTTGTGCGGAATCATTATAAGTGAGTTGTCTGGGGCGAATCATATCTAATAAATCACGGTTTGTATGCTACCATGAAATCGGAGGTCAATGATAAAATGTCTGAACTGAAACACACAGATGAAACTTTACAAACCTCCTCCTCTATGGCGAGTGATATCAAATTTGTGTCCGCTTCTGGTTTCAATTGTTAGTCTTCGATCTCTGCCGTGGCGTTCGATATGACTTATATTTCCTCCGTGTGCTGTAAATTCTTAGGGATTAAAATGAGGAGAGAAATGTCAACTTACACATAACACATAACACATAACACATAACTATCACACTTAGTCTACCTCCTCTTCCATGACCAGAGTTATAGTAAAGCGTCACATCTTTATGATGCACGAAGTTTCTTCCAATCTGAACGATTTCCACAAATGAATTTGTTGGGTCTGTAGGTTGGTGGCAAACGTGAGCCATCTTGGTTCTTGTTGATGATGAAACAGCTTGAGCAGCGCAATCCTTCGATGTTCGAACAACAGAGACGCAGTGCTTTTATAGCATTTGGCAGTGGCTTTTTAGCGCTGATATCCACCCGTATTTCCCCAATTTGTTGAGTCATCACATTTTTAGCTCAGCTGTAAACGAAGCACCTGGTGTGTGCGTATGTTTGTCCACGTGCGCGCGTTAAGAAATGCTTATTCGGCGCATTTTTGATATGGTTGTCGAGGGATTTATTTTTAGCTGCTAATTTTTATTTAAGATGGATCGTATGTCAGCACTTACAGTAAAAGAAAACAGACCTATACAAGGTATTTTCTTCAAGCAAAAGGATAGATTTATTGTTGTGATCCACAGGCAAGCGAAGTTGTAAAGAGCAAGACGCTTTTTGTCAAAACTTTGTTTATGTGGCGTGTAAATGTGATTCAGTGCGTGCGTGGGCGGTCATCAATATGTCATACAAGACGCCAATTGGTCAGTACCTACAATAAAGGAAGAAAAATATATACAAGGTATTTCTCTTCAAGCAAAAGGATAAATTTATTGCCTCAAAATTGGAATAACTTTCACGGACGGCTATTACAACAATACCCAGTGCTAATAGGACTAAGGTCGCTAAGTCTGAAGAGACGGCATACGAGAAGCCTGCAATGCTAAAGAGACGTAATATATTATTGATCGTTAACGTTGAGAGACAATAAAAATATAAAATTTCGCGTTCTCAACATTTCATAATACTTTGGTGATGGTTATATGGGTGAGAATGGAAAGAGATGTTGGACACGATGGGTAGCTTTCTTGGTTTGCTCAATCAATATCTAGAATTTCCGTTTGAGTGAATTGCGCCGATTGGTTTAGACGCGCGTGTTCTCAAACGCTGTGTTTAGTTACTGTTAACGGCTTCCGGTTTCTCTATGCGAAACATAAATAACTTTCACAATTCACCTTGTGGAATGAATCTTTATTTTAGCTCTCCAATGCTCTAATAAACATGCTAGTTAAGTATTAAAATGCAAACAGACTAGTTCGGTAGCTTGCTGCTTAATGAACGCCTTTCGAGCGAGTTGTACTAAAGCTGAGTTGTTCGCGCGCTGTAAGTGAAATTAATATTCTTTAAAAGACGTTGAACGGATAAATATGTACTAGAAAACTAACCGAGATAAGAAATAGTATAGTCTATCCCACTTTTGCTTACATATGTCCTCGTTAAGAGGTTATTTTCAGTAGATATACATTAAGTAACAAGGATTGTTTCAAAATGATTGTGCAAACCAACATGGCGGCTATCTCCGTGTTAAAAAATATCACAAAGATACTGATGCTCCATTGTGGACAGCACTTGATATATTACGATCTCCCGTAAAATTATGGGTATGTAGTAAAATTCTGGCTTTAATCAGTCTGAAATGCGAAAAGAAACACCGGTTACTGAATGTTTCCTTAGGAAAAGTATCACAATGAATGTGTTTGATGTCTCATAAAATAGGAGTGATTTTTTAAGTATTTGGATATGAGAGTCTTTTTAGCAAATCAGACATTTCTTAAGCATTGATTGATACGTTTATTAACGGTTTTCTGAAGGTCTAAAATCGGTCTTCGTTGTTGCTGATCGCGTGAGAAGGAATTACTCCATGAGTGCCTTACCTTCCCTATTAAAAGAACTTGCGTCCTAACTCCACCTTCCAGTAGCCGTGTGTGTGCAGTGTTTATCCTTTAAAATAAACCGCAAGAGGTTAGATTTGATTAATTTTTCTTCAGTTATGATTTACCCTAAAAGAAGAGGTAAAACTCGAATGATACGAACCTCCTCCTTGACTGCGAGTAATTATTCCCTATGGAGTACCCAATTGTTAGTCTGCGACCACCTGATATTGGAACCTCGCTACGTATACTTCCACGACTGACTCGGAAACCTGTACGATTAAGCAAACATGAGTTAGAGATGTGTTCAGATGATTCCAAAGATTGACCAAATCTTATGAAATATTATATTCACCTCCTCGTCCTAGACCTGGGTTGATGTAAGATACTACTACGTCGTGTTCTTGAACGAAGTTTCTCCCAACGTGAACTGAAAATGTCTTCCAATTTGATCTCGACGAAGTTGACACCAGGTTCGCCTTGTTCCATTGCCAGAAAGTTTGAGCGGAACTGAAATATAAGCGAGTAAACAGAGAGTCACTTATGGACAGTACTTACCTAAAATGCATCAATGCGTAACACAGGGCTGCGCGTGGGCGGAGATGTTATCTCGCGTGTTTTCTCGCAATGTGCGCGCAATCGATGTCGTTGAATTGTCATCTAAACTTGAGCTAAATATAGTTCGTCTTGCATATTAGACCAAAGAAATTTCACGACTTTAAGTATTGTCGCAGACTTATCCATACTCAAACTAAATCGTGCTCAGTGACGAAATATTGTTGGGTTGTTTGTATACAGGATACCTGAATTCTAGACAAGCTATTTTAGGATTTTGTATAATCGTCTTGACCGCAGGGGAGAAAATGTATGTTAATCAGACGGAGACATTTCTTTTATTTGTTCAAGCGAAACTAAGACATTTGATAAATTTAGCGAGGTTATTACCGGTCTCATACATGTTTAACTTGAACTAGCGTATAGAAACCCAGGCGTCTCTTATCTTCTGAGATTCAGAAAAGAGTTTCTAGAGCAGTGTTCTCTTCTAGTTGGATCACTTCACAATATCTGCGCACATAAGCCTTAGAAGTTGGGGCACTATAAACCTAATTATTCGGACCATCCGCAAATCTGAGAATCTAAATGATGATTTGATATCACACTCTTTAGTCTAAATACGTAGATCAAGTAAGCTTTCATTCTCTCTTCCATGTATAGTCTTGCGAGAAATGCAACACCACAATATATGCTTATTTTGCGCATTCTTGAGTTAGATGAGAAATATATTTTTAGCCACTCTTAATGAAGTAAGGGGATACGTGTCGATGCAATTATGCGCATAAAGAGGCCAGACATTTCTGTGTTGTGAGAGTAATCATTTTATTTTTATTGTTACAGAGTTTATGATATCTTAACTTTAAAGTGATTACAAAATTCGATTGAGTAGGTTATGTAGGAATAAATGTTTTGTTCTTCTCGGCAAAGCCTGAAATAAAAAAAGGGAAGAGAACATCAATTGGCGCACGTTTTACAAATGAAACAATTTATTTGATGAATTTCCCTGTGCGTTAAAATGACTTAGTTCTTCCGTTCTTTAAATGGGAGATCAATGAATGACATAACTGAACAACTTTGAATGACTCGGTAGATGGTTTTCTATGCAGGCTTGTCAACCAATGTCATTAAATTGTGCGAGAGAGAATGATAATGAAAGAATCTTACCGTCACAAATTTTAGCCGCGCTATACCTTCGTGCACCAGTAACCGTATGTTTCCATAACATATTCTTCAAGATAAAATCACATCATAGTTAATGTTAGGAGTATTGTTAGTGTTTGAATCCAATGCAAGAAAAGAAAAGTACCTCCTCCTCGTCGACGGGTGATCTGAAAATCATGTCCGCTGTATGTCTGAATACGCAGTGTTCGTCCGCCGTTTACCGGCTGTTGATTGAGTATCCATCCGCGATCAACGCTGAACTCTAAACAAGAGAATTTAGAATGCGATACCTTTTTAATAACCCCAGTTTTGCGCAAGCATTGTAGAGTAACAGACTCAAATTACCTCCTCGTCCAAAACCGGGGTTATTGTAGCGAATTATCACGTCAAGATAACTGGAGCCTCTTCCAACACGAACTGCTTCTCCAGAAGTGTACACGGGTTCCCAGGGTCTATGACCATACATCTTTGTCGTAAATACTAGACTATCTCGTGGATGAGAAACGCAGCGAGAAAAATTTGCTCTCGTTAGTTGTTTTCCGAGCATCGACGGTAATGCTTACGCAAGTAATATGATGTATCAGCAAAATTGTAATACGCATGACAGAGACATGATATTTGTATTTGGCAAGCACTTATGCTCTAGATATGTTTTGTCTACTTCTGTTAACCGCCGCTCACTCGAACTCCCCGCGAACTCGCAACGATTTGTTGCTTATCTCGGATTACTCCTTAATGTGTTTACCCTTCGATAACTTAAGTTCAATTCAAGCTAGTTTTCTTTATCGAAAAGGTCCCAGTTTTCGTGATTCTACAGTTGTTTAGAGTAGCGTTTGTAGGGCACGTTAGCTGTCAACATGACAGAAAGGCTATTTTTGGAACTGCACTGATCGTGGAGCTATGACAGGAGAAATATTATTTTGAACACATGCATGTTGCCGCGTTTATTTTTGGGTTGCGAAATGTTTCGGACGTAATTCCGCACACGGATATTGTTGCAACAGTATCTATTTTATTACTTGATTGACAAGATAATCTTCCTAAGTTACATCAGTGGAATAGTCACAAAGTATAAGATTTTGAGGGTCGTCTTTAGCAAATTCAGACGTCTTGTGAAATTGATGTATTCTGCAACTGAGATAAACATAGTGATTCCATCAAGTCACCTATTAGCTCATGGTAAAGTGTGAGAATTTTTCGGCAAAACGTCTTACAGTCTTGATCAGTCAATAAAGAGCGGTCATGGCAGATTTATTGAGCATTACTTTCCCGCGTACAAAGGTGCGACATCATCCTCGCACTTGTATTTCTTACCGTCATTCAAAGTTCGACATCCTTTTGACTTATCCAATATCCCTGTGACATTACCTCGAATTCTACAAAAGTGAGAGAGGTTGAGAATTACACCATGTTTCTGTGAATTTTTATCAAGACTGAATTATATGGAATCACCTTCATCGTCTTCGTATCGACGAACTTCGATTTTCTTTCCTCTGGATGTAACTATTGTCAACTTGTCATAACGTCTACCATGACTGTTGGATTCCTTCTCCTCTGCCAGGTATCCGTTGTGAATTTGGTATCCTAAGAATATATTTCACGCATTTTATTGATGAAATCTGGGCCATAAGTTTGAAAAAGCCTGAAAGTAATCTCGCCTGACCTTCATTCGGTGTGTAGAAGATTGTGAGTTCGGCGCCTTTATTGTCCCGCCCTATTCTAACTGCTTGACAATATTTAGAATCGTCAGAAAGCTCCGGCTCCTCTGGTTCATAGCCGGCCATTTTAAAAATTATCGAAGTAGATCTTTTTGCGAGTCAGATACGTTTGAAATCTCTGCAAGTTTTGAGTCACGAGACGTATTCGTATTTTCGCGCTTCTGCGCACAATCCAGAAGCAGCGAGACTCTTCATTGCGTCATGGCTTATTTTTGCCCTCTGTCTCGCTTTCAAGAAAAATGCATTTTTACACCAATAGTATTGATGCTCAATAAACAAAGACAACAGGCATCTTTTCAAACAATCAAATCAATTTTATTACAGGATGTTGAATTTTTAAAACAAGATACGAAAAAAAAAGCTGACGCTCTCTCTCCCTCTCACTCTTGTTCCTTGCCATGTTGTCGTCGGGGTTTCCTATATTGAAGAACAAAATGGACTCCTTTCAGAGAGAACTCAGTGATTTAAAGTTTTCATTGTTATACGGTTTGACTGGTCACACCAGATATTCCGTATTTGTCGACGTAGCCACATTGCATTCCTTTTGCGCGCAAACTTGCTGACTCATCACCTTACTGCGTACGCTTGTAGAATTTTTATTTCCTCTTTAATCGTAAGCCCCATAACGGAAAGTTAAAATCGATAATTGCAATCGCAACTTAGATCAATGTCTGTACTTACTTTTTTACCAAGGCTGAGGGTCTTCAACGTAAACCTCAGACTGGTCCATTGAAAGGTTTGGCGGATCGATTGTATACTTGTTTTGCCTGGCTGGAACATTTTCATCCCTTTTGATTTTGATAACACCACCTTGCGAGGCCAAAACTCGGAGTCTTTCTACACCATATCTTTCGACAGGCTTCTCGAGTATAAATCCATTGTCGGCGTGGTATTCTGTGGAGATGAAAGCCCAGTTAAGTTCGAATGAATCTCAAAACTCTACCAGTACCTTTGTAAGTCATTCTTACTGCCTCCTGGTTTTCGGTAAATGTTCACGACTCCATGTGTAGGGATCCAGATTTTTAGGATTTCATATCGATGGCGACCAAGGGGATCGGGTGGTTGAGCCATACTGAATGTGCAGCGATACTAAATTCGTCTTTTTCAATTTTTACACCCAGTTTAACTCAAGAAGGCGAGGAAAACTAATTTGGGATGGGTTTTTATATGCTTGCAATTGATTGTATAAAATTTAGCCAATCAAATACGCGCGAAACGTTAGGTAGATGGGGAAAATCCCTGTACTTAGGTTTACCGCGCAACTTTCGTCAGTGTCCAAAATATTTATTTCTATTTTTATCCTTTGCGCAAGAAAAATATCGATGCTAGGCCTCATTTTTTGACCATGCAATGCAATAGGCAGAGCCTACGAAATTTTGGAATTATTTTTGCGCGCGAAGATCTCCTAGAATCTGCTCAATTTAACATCTTCTTCTATGAAAAATAATAAATCTGCGCAAGCCTCAAATGGCCCTCCAGATGGCGTTCGCTCGCATTGAATTTGCTTAATAACAACCAAGTTGTTTCCACGCTTCACTTTTAGTCTGTAGCTGTTGTGCCTGGAAGGACAGTGTCGTAGGTCATAACTGGTTGACTTAATTTGTTGGTTTAAATTTCACTGCAATACCTCGTAAAATTACATGCTTTGCATAACAAAAAATGAAAGGAAATCTAGTTTAATGCTGTCATTCATTTTGACCTCGTTATGCCACACAACGGTGATTGTTTTTTACTTTAAAGTGGTTTTCCTTTGTCTGCTTAAAAAATACCTACAACTTTCTGAGTGTTACAACTGAACCTCAATGGCCATGGTATCAATGTATATTATGGTGAAGGATAATGTCAAGACATAACGGACTATTTACGATACACAAGAAACATTTCCAATCAATTATGTTGTTGTAATGCATTTTCTTTTAGCATCGTAGCATTTCAGGTGCAGTTTTTGTTGCATAGTGCATAGCCCCTGAAATACCAAGCCTCCTTGGGTCAATTGCTCTGTTAATAACTCTATGTTCATTTTGATATAAATTCATCATTTGAGCAGCTACGATTCCTCACAGGACACTATTATTTACTAGGAAGTTCATTTTAGGTGCAATTTTTGTTGCTCATAGAATATTCCACAGCTCTAAGAAGCCAAAACTGCCTGAGTGCCGATAATAATAATTCTATGTTCACGTTATTTCGACATAAAGTCAACTCGTCTTCTTGTTGAGCATCTCAAATACTTAACATCGCACTGCTTAGTAAATAGAAGTTTGCAGCTCAGTCCTATAGAAACAAACATCACTTTCGCATGAAGGATGAATTTCATTTTATTCAGGCAACTAACTAGTGGATATGTATTTGTGGAAATGTACAAGTAGTCAAAATATCGTCCTCCTGAACTGCTAAATACAATTGATCGTGCACACTGCAGAGATCCAATATTTGTAACATTAACCTATACAAAGATAAACAAGAATTTCTGCATAGAACACTTTACAGTACACATCTTCCTCCTGAAATTGCTAAATGCAATTTACATCGCGTAGTGCAAAGATCTCTTATTCGTAACATTAAACTATACAACTGAAATAAACAAAAATTACTTCTGAGACCACTTTTGTACAGCCTCGTGTCTTTATGCAGTAAACAATTATTTTCTCACCTTGATCATAAAAGATTTATGTTGATCGTTTACAACATCCCCCGAGCTACAAAGAGATATAGAAAGCATGTAAATATTTCTCAGATTTAAGTAAATGATTATCCCAACTGTAAGGGAGGATATGAACGGTGAGGTTCCCTCCGAAATTCCATGTTTGAGAAACTTATAGCGTGAGTTATACCAGTGCCTCGATAAACACATTTAGACTAGAGTATGGACACCTCTCGCCTCAGCTTTTGTAACTCCAGTAACGTTAGTAAAACCAAGTTACACAAAATGACACAATACTTACATCTGACAGACTTTCAACAAATTCATATAAATCGAATTTTGGTTCATCTGAAAGTATGGTTCAAAGTCTGAACGGCACACGCGGAAAATTCCTCCGCGTGGACCGCGCTCGAGTGTTACTCGTTTTCTCCAATATTCGTTTCAATCAAAAGACTACCGACTTGGCATACCTGCACGCACAAAAATTATTCTTTTCACTTTGACCAACGTGGCGCATAATATCGATTTCCAAGACTTAAATCTTGATAATGTTCTCTCCTAGATAGTTTATTTCCCTTGAAATGGTTTTAAATAGAGCTGTTAGCGCCGTTTTGATTATCTTGTATTTTCTCCTCACATGCACCTGTCACAGAAAGGTTTTCAATCACCTGTCAACGATGCACTAGGTTGAATCGCTGGCGCCATGTATATCGTGGGAAAACTTGCATAACGTGAATGAATTCTTTGTTATCATAGGCCAAAGGTGCTTAGTAATCGCTTTCAGTTTCCTGTTTTTGTATTACGTGTGCGTCCAAGAATGTGCTTAGCCAGTGGTTTCGATCGTAACAAAGGAAACGCTTTGTTGGCAGATCTTAAATTATTTACATAGCCATGATCTTATCGCAAATAATGTGCTTATGCGTCAGATGTATTGTCACTGACCGTCCAAGATGAAAACATTACCTTATATGGGCATTTTCCATCGCCCAATCTAACCGTTAGTTTTGATGAAATGTGCATCCAAAACTTTTCAATCAACGTTTTACGTAACAATTTCAACTCGAAATTTTCTCTCCTCTTTGTTTTGCATCTTTGCGTGTGGAAATCTTGTTCCAAGCCATTAATCTGCATAAAGTTCACGACCGCTTTCAAACCTCGCTTGCTGATTGGTTGATCAAAAAGTAAACACAGCTACCTCCTCTGAGCCGTCTATTATTGCAACGTTTAGATGTCACTGCGAATGACGAGCTGTCAGAATTGCAGTGAGGTGATTGGTTGAGGTACAACATAGCTTGAGGGTGCAGGGTAAAGGGACTCTCCCGGCAGCTGTTTGCGGTGTAGTGATATATTCGGGTCATTGTGTGTCACACGTTGTGTGGAACTTTCATCATTTGCTTCTACAAACGCTTTAAACCAAGTTTCATCTCTGTTAAACCGATATGGATTCAGAAACCGACACTAAAAATCTAGAGAAACGTCTCAAAAAGGCCGCTCTAGCTTGGGCTTGTACTCTCACACCTCCGACTGCCTTTGTGACTCCAGAACCAGGAGGTTCGTTTTCATTGCTTTCCAACGAGATATATGTTTGGTTGGTTCCTAACATTTTCTCCTATTCTTTCAGGTGAGACAGAGGAGATTTTAGAAGAAAAATTGAGAAGAGGACGGCGCGAAGGAACATTTTACAAATGGAGTGACGACGAAGAAACATCAGGTAACGAGCATTATAACAATCGCATCTTGTTCGCATTATTTGTTGTCTTCAATTATGAATTATTGTCTCGAAATTCAGCTGTAATCAATACAGGAATTTCGCCAGCCGTTTTAATCATGTCTTCACTTTGCTCTTTCTAAGTGATGAAATGTCGAAATGGAACACAATTTTCTACGTTGTTTAACTAAATGTTTTTATTTACAATATCAACATAACATAACAGGTTTGCTCTCCTTAAATGGCGGGACGATCTGTTTTTCCCAGCTTGTCAACGTATTTGTCACCAGACAGCGTAGTATTTCAGTTTAATGTTTCGTTTTATCATCAGAGCTAATAAATCTTCTTAATTTTCAGGATAAACTCGAGAATGAAGATAAGAGTTGTCTGGATCAGATCACCTCGACTGTAGACAGAGTATGGTTCTTGCCTAGCCATAGGTAACCTCAGAAAGGCCTTAAGGACGATGTGCAATCGAGGAAAAGGCTTGAACTATCAGAAATGAAACGTTTTACAAGACACAATTGTTCGGTAATTGATTCAAGAAGTGTCAGCAGAGAAATTGAAACATTTTAATCTATTCAAATACCACCATTATGGATTAAATTTGTTATGCTTCAGTTGGGCTAGCGACAGTGTCACGTAGACCATTTCATTTTCGTACGTTTTAGTAAATATTTTATTCTAGAAAAAGGCTTGCCCAGGTATGTATAGAAATTAGCGTCGTTCATTTAATATCACCTTTCTTCTCGTCCATTATGTGCTTCAGCAAACGATGCTATATCAGTTCACATCTACTTAGAGTTATGTTTTAACCTCTCGTAACCCAACTAATACCAGGATATGCGTTAAATTCCCATAAGTGTAATATACATACCGGCTCTATTAAAACTATGTGCACATTTTAAGTTAGTCATTTAAAATAATCTTGCCATTGAAAATTGCTTTTATTTTTCAAATTTTTGTCATTGTGTGAAACTATTCATACCCTTCTTAATATTATTAATTACTTTCGAACCTGATACCTTGCAAAAGCTGTTTCTTTTTTTTTTTACTTTCTAACGTCAAAAACTTGACGTAAGCATACGAAAACGTAAAATGCAGATATTGTAATGTGTAAAATATTCGATAAAAATTCTCAGAAATAAATTGTTGGAGTTGATTTGTTGACAGTTGTTTTGTATACTCGTTGATTTGCTGAGGCAGTTTTGGGTGATATCCTTAGTTCTCCAGCTATAGATAGTCCACTATTCCTTCAACAATTGCCTAGTTACTGCTTTGACGATATTGTTTTTCCATGCGCTACACAAAACAAGATTGAAAAGCAACGAACTCGGTCTGCACATTCGAAAACGTGCTGATATTTTTTAAGTTTCATTTTTTATGAAACCTGAAGTCGAGGTTGTCGAGGTGGGCGGTAAATGTCATCTACAATCTGTTTCTTGAGAAACCTTTCCTGCTCGAATGCTCTCAACGGTCATGTTATAATATGGAATTTAAATATTTCTGCGACGAAATAGAAATACATTTACACTTTGGGACTTTCCCTTTCGTGGTAGTGGTCTATTGATACGAACGTAACTTTGAAACAACTATTTATTGTCAGAACATTATGGAAGAGCGAAAAAAACTGACTTTCGCGATCGATTTGACTGCCAAGTTTCGCTTAAAATCACGTTTTTGCCAGGCGTCTATTTTATTCCGCGAAGAGTCTGGAACGAATTAAGTCGATCAGAAGAATTTTCACTGGAAAATTCTGCATTGATATTTTAATTTTGGTTACCAGACGAAGGCAATTTTATCTGTAACTGACGTGCAAAGACATAAATTCTTCGCTGAACGATAACTAATTGAGAAAGATAGCCTTAAATGTTTTAAATTGTGAAAGTGATTTAATTGTCTTCCGAGAAAACCTCCTGATTCTTGGAACTGTCACGCAACGAACGATATAATTACATCTGAAGATAACTGCACGGGTAAGGCAAACTTCATTTTTCTATACTTCCACAGATTTTTTTTTTCATATTGTCACTTTTGTGTTGTGCCCGGTAGGTATAAGATCCCAAGGAAGAAATCACGGCTTTCCATGATTAATTCATTTAGCTGAGCTACAAACAGAACTATGTGAACTTGAAATACGAAATTTGTTCAACCGCAGATAATATATTAGATACAAATAGTATTTGAGTTATGAACAGCGAGCAGCCAATTGATTCTCACAAATGAATTAAAATGAGGGTCATTCCTCTGGAGTGGAACTTGCTCCGATGTTTTTGTCAAACTAATTGCCTACGTTTTAACTGTCACATGGCATTTAGAAATGGGGCTGGTTGCAAGGGGGGGGGGTTTAAAGTGAAGCTGTGGGGATCAGTGGGGAGGCAGGGGGGGTGCCTGGAGGGTGTGTCTCCCATCTTCTTTATAGCCATATTATTTCCTCTAAAATCATTGCAATTTTAAAACAAATATCAACCCTTTAAGTCCCAAAAATGATTTAGATGTAATTTCTTCTTGGGATTTCATTATATTTGCAAACAGATTATGAGAAGAGACAAACTTATCAGCTAGAGGGTGGTTTCTTGATGTATGTCTAAATTCTCCTGTCTAATCTGCAAAGCAATATATTACATATCCTGTTGGGAGAGTTAGGAGTTAGATTTTGGAAGTGAAAGACCCATGACACCTTAATCTCCCTAGTCATTAAAAGCAGCATATGACAGTCTGCAGCCCTTCCCTACATCCAGGCACTTCAGAGAGCTGCAAAAGTCTAGAGAAATTTTTTTTTTTTAAAATCAGCACTCTTAATCTTGTTTTATTTTCATCACTATGTTTCCACCCAATAGCAAAGCTCTACTTCAGCATAATACATGCACAGCCCATTATTCCTCTATTCACTCTGATGAAAGGCTAATGCTTGAAACTTCAGCCTAGAAACTTGTCATGGTGGTTAATTTAGGTTATTAACTCAGTTGGTAAAGCAAAATTATCTTTTATAAACCCCCACTAATGCTGCATTGTAGTTTCTTTAGAAACTTACCCCCTATATCTTTTTATAATAGAGTTCAGATACAACAGGTGCTGTCATTGGTTGACAGAGTGTGCTCTATCGGAGTTCAAAGTATAGAGCTGAGCTAAAATTGTCTCACCATCTGCCAGTTTGAAGTATGTGCAACCGTTTCCTGGATTTCTCTCCAGCTTTTTTTGGTTAATTGAAAGTGAAATTTAGAAACAATGCGAGCCAGCAAGTGGAAGCAGATGCACCTGACCAAGCTTTTTTAACATGCCAAGCACTGTAATTCATGCAATTATAATGTGAGCAGGGACAAAAATCCTCAAGGAGGAAATGAAACGGACAGTTAAAGTTTTAAAGATTTTGACGCTTGGTTAGATTGTAAGCGTACCTATGGTAATAAAAATCAAACACAGCTAACACCCATGTAGTAAATATAGTTTTGTGTTTTAAAACAAAACAGAACAAAACAGTTATTATGAAAAATATAACCAAACTGGCACAACTGTTAAAATTCATACAAATCATGAAGGTGTCAGAGTGACTATGATCATGCTAAGGTCCATTGTAGCTAGTTCATTGTGATCTCCAGTCATCCTAGTGAAGAAGGCGTCAGAAATTACTTTTGCTACCCTTTTGATTGGCATGAGTGAACAACTGAGGGTTTGCTCAGATATCCTTTCCAATGCATTGAGTGGAAGGCCACAACTTTCTGCCCTCAGAATTGGTAGATGTTTGTGTTCTTGGGAAACAGCAGTCTCAATAATTGCTTCAATACCAAATTCTCCCAATGAACATCATGAGAGTTGTATGGCAGACAGTAGGGAGAATTACTAATGAGATCTTGGGAGATGGAGAAAGTGTTAAAATTCTACAAATAATTCTCATTAAGAATGCAGGTTGCAATACTAGGGATTGAAAAAGAAGAACCTCACCAGAACTTGATCCAGTACCACCTGAATATGATACTGTTGTTTACTAAATATATATCCAGGAGTCTTGTATACAGAGTGAATCTTCTCATCTCCTGCACAGTTTTCTAAATGACACTGTATTGTTCCCACTCCCCCCCATCCCCTCCCCACCCCTCCTTGGGGAACTTTCTAAGATTGGTTTGTTCAAATTTCCATCTCTTGGGGCAAAAGTTGTGTTCAAATGCTCCACCCAATTTTTTCAAAAAAGGCAGAATCATGCAGTAATCTTTATAACCTGGACCTTGTAGGTCTTTTTCTTCTTAGCTCTTTACCTTTAACCCTTTAACTCCCGCAAGTGATTAACATGTAGCTTCTCCCTATAACAGTCACACATTATCCAGCCAACATGTAATGAGAATACTCAAACTTATCAAGTAACACCAAACACTCATTAATTGTTTACAAGGAAATGTGTAGTAGCTAGAGGAGAGAATTAACAATCAGATCTTGGGACTGAAAGGGTTAAACATCTCCATATTAAAATATGTGCTTGTATTCCACTGACCAGACTTGACACCTCCAGTTTAAATTCCCCACCCCAGCCAGGCCTGTAGGTCGTTAAGGGGGGGAAGGGAGGGGGGCAGCAGGTGGGTGGGAAGGTTATGTTATTGCCAGTTTCAAGAATTTTTCTCTTCCTAACCCTTCAATTGCCAGAAGTGATTACCATGTAACTTCTCCCTATAATATTCATATATTATCCAGCAAACAGGTAATGAGAATACTCAAACTTATCAGGAAAATGTTTTTATTTTGATTTAACACCAAATTCTCATAACTTATTTACAAGGTAGTGTGTAGCAGCTAGAGAGGAGAATTAACAATCAGATCTTGGAAGTTAATGGAAGTTAAACAGTTATAATAAGTGGTTGTTTTTTTAGTTTCTCTACTTCAACAATGTGTTTTTAATAAGCTGTACTGCAACCAGAGGTTTCTTCTGCTTAACCCCTTAACCCCTAAGAGTGACTGGCATCTAATTTCTCTTTACCATATCCCCCTGAATCAAACATTAAGGTCAGGAGAATAAAAGGGCTGATCACTGACCAAAGAAGCTCTTGATTGTTAGACAAATTCTCCATGTTGGTATCTTAGGAAATGTTTAGAGAACAGTGTGGAGAATATTCATACTGATGTTAAGGTATAAAGCAGTGTTCTCTCTTATTTTAAGCATTACAGGTAAAATAAATTTTCAAACCAGTAAAGCAATCCTTTTACATGGTGAATTTTCAATGGTAATAAGAGGTACTACAGGTGGTAAATGTTACCAGTTACTGCCTGAAAAGGGGAATGCTGGTAAAGGGTTAAGTGAGGGGCAAAAAATGGGTGGTAATAGAGAATTACACATTCGCAGAATGGTGGTTGTGTAAGGCTGAATGTAACAGAGATGCTAACTTCTTAAATAGTATTGTAGATCAGAAATCTGGAGATTGCTACTTTTCTTTTGGTTCATCTCCTCCTCCTCCTTCACACAAAATCAACAGTAAAGACCTTTAAAAATGTTATTTCCTCCAAAAAACTTAAGTAGCCAGGCATGAAAGCCTGTGGAATCACAGGTGCCAGATTCTCAGTGTGCTGGACACCAGTCAAGGGGTCTGGGTTCAGGGGTCTGGGTTCAGGACCTGGCCAGGTCATTGTGTTGTGTCCTTGTGCAAAACACTTTCCTCTCACAGTGTCTCTCTCCACCCAGGAGTATAAATTAGGGGAACTGGTGAATTGTTAAGGAAGCCTGATGAAATGCTAGGAGGGGAAACCTTGTGATGGACTAGCATCCCATCCAGGGGGGGAGTAGTGATACTCTTAGTCACTTCATGCTACAAAAACTAGTATAAGCTTCAGCTGGGAAGGCCAATAGGCTTGAATACATACTTAACAATAAAGGCAAAATACAATTGATTGGACAAAGTTTAAATGGTTTCAATTTCATGGTAAAAGGCTTTAGGTAACCTTAGAAAGAATGGGAAGACTTTTTCACTCACTTGAACTAACCTACATTCATACATCTCTGATTTCCTTTGTTGCACAGTGTAAAAGAGATGTCACTTTGTGCATGCAATATAGGAAAAAGGAGATGTCTGCTTGTAAGGAGATGCCTGCTTGTAAAGGAAAGATACAATATGAAATTTGAAGTTGCACTTGTCCTGTAGATTCCTTGGTTTTGGAAAATAACATGGATCACGAAACAGACATAGAGTCTAGAAAGATTACTCAAGAAGGCTTCTTGGACATTGGATTGTGCACTCACACTCCCGACTGCCTTAGGTGACTCCACAACTAGGAGATTTGTCTTAATTCTTTTCCAATGGTATATATGTTTGGTTGGTTTTAACATTTTCTTCTCTTCTTTCAGATGAGATGGAGGAGAGTTTAGAAGAAAAAGTGAGAGGAGGACAGTGCAAAGGAACTTTTTACAAATGGAGTGATGATGAAGAAACATCAGGTAACAAGCATTATTTAATAACTGGTAATTGTGAGGAACAGCTCCCCCCACTGACAGTCGGCTGACTGTTGGCTGACAGCTGGCTGACTGTCAGTGGAGGGGAGCTGTTCTTCACAATTACCTTAAAAACTATCACATCTTGTTCACATTATTTGTTGTCTTCAATTTTGAATTATTGTCTCGAAATTCAGCTGTAATCAATATCAGAATTTTGACTGCCGTCTAATCATGTCTTCACTTTGCTCCTTCTAAGTGATGAAATGTCGAAATGGAACACAATTTTCCACGTTGTTTGACTAAATGTTTTTATTTACAATATCAACATAACATAACAGGTCTGCTCTTCCTAAATGGCTGGAAAATCCGTTTTTCTTAGATTGTAGGTATAACATATAAGTAGGTATAAGTAGGTATAACACCTTTACAGGGTTTTGCCTCTGATTAAACCTTAAAGTGACCAGCATCTAATTTCTCCTTACAATATCACCCCTGAATCAAACAATAAGGTCATGAGAATAAAGGAAATGATCACCAACTAAAGAAGCTCTTGCTCTTGATTGTGAAACAAATTCTCCTTGTCAACACCTTTGAAAATATTTAACAAATAGAGAAGCCCTGACTGTGCTCTGTTCTGTCATAAAGCATGCAGGAGTCAGCTAGAGCACAAAAGAAGTGCGGGTAGAAACAGTAAAGTGTCGATCAATTTGAATCACAGTAAAAAAGGATGATAATAGAAAGTTAAAAATTTGTGGAACAGTGGTTGTTTAAGGCTGAATGTAACAGAGCTGCTAACTTTTAAATAGTTTTGTAGATCAGAAATCTTGAGATTGCTGTTTTTCTTTTGGTTCATCTTTTCCTCCTACATACAAAATCAACAGCAAAGACCTTTAAAAGTGTTAGTTCCTCCAAAAAAGTTAGGTAGCCAGGCATGAAAACCTGTGGGAGATACAGTGGCCTGATGCTCAGTGTACTGGACTCCAGTTGAGGGGTCTGGGTTCAAGACCTGGCTAAGTCATTGTTGTGTTCTTGTGCAAAACACTTTCCTCTCACAGTGTCTCTCTCCACCCAGGAGTATTTTCAGGGAAGCCTGATAAAATGATGGGGGGCCTTCTGATGGACTTACATCCCATCCAAGGGGAAGTAGTGATACTCTTGGTCACTTCATGCCATGGAAAGTACTATATAATCTCCAGCTGGGAAGGCAAATAGGCTTGAATACAGACTTTGCCATAAAGGCAAAATACAATCAACTGAACAAATTCTTAAAGGGTTCAGTTTCATGGTAAAAAGCTTTTGGTAAGCTATAGAAAGAATGGGATGACTTTTCACTCACCTGATCTAACCTACATTTGGACATCTCTGATTTCCTTTGTGGCACAGTATAAAAGAGATGTCACTTTTTGCATGCAATATAGGAAACTAGATGTCTGCTTGCAAAGGAAAGATGCAATAGGAAATTTGAATTTGCACTTGTCCTGCACATACCTTAATTGGTTATGGAAAATAACATGGATCAAGAAATAACAGATGCAAAGAGTCTAGAAAGATGCCTCAAGAAGGCTTCTTTGGCATGGGCATGTACCCTCACAGAAACAATTGCTTTTGAAGTCCTACGGTTAGAGTATGGTGAGATACTAACTGCCCTTCAAATATATGAAGTAACTTAGTATTATCAACTGAGTTGATAGCATAAATTGGCCACTTTATATATGAGATTTGAAGTTGAACTTGACTTGCAGATTCCTTGGTTGTGAAAAATAACATGGATCAAGAAATAACAAGAAATAATCCAGAGAAATGTCTCAAAAAGGCCAATATGGATTCAGAAACTGATGCTAAAAATCTAGAGAAACGTCTCAAAAAGGCTGCTTTAGCAAGGGCTTGTGTGCTCATGCCCCCAACTGTCTTTTTGACCCCAGAACTAGGAGGTTTTTTGTCATTCTTTTCTAATGAGATATATGATTGGTTGGCTCTTAAAATTTTCTTCTCTTCTTTCAGGTGAGACAGAGGAGAGTTTAGAAGAAAAATTGAGAAGAGGACAGTGTGTAGAAACTTTTTACAATTGGATTGATGATGAAGAAACATGAGGTAACAAACACTATAGCTATCGCATCTCAATGTCTTTAATTATGAATCATCATCTCAAACTTCAGCTGTAATCAATATCAGAATTTCAGCTGCCACTTAATTATGTCTTCACTTTGCTCTTTCTAAGTGATGAAATCAGGGTCAAAATGGAACAAAATTTTCCACATTATTCAATTAAGTATTTTTATGTACAATATCAACATGACATAACAGGTCTGCTCTTCTTAACTAGCTGGACAATCCGTTTTTTTTAGCTTGTCAACTTATTTGTCACCAGATGAGGAGAGGAGGTGTGACACCTTTACAGGGTTTTGCCTCTGATTGTTCCTAAAAGTGACTAGCATCTAATTTCTCCCCATAGTATCACCCCTGAATCACATATTAAGGTTATGAGAATAAAGGAAATGATCATTAACCAAAGAAGGTCTTGCTCTTGATTTTGAAACAAATTCTCCTTGCCTTTGGAGATATTTAACAAATAGAGAAGCCTTGACTGCACTCTGTTCTGTTATAAAGCATGCATGAGGCAGCTAGAGCATGAAAGAAGTGTAGGTAGAAACATAAGACATAGTCAAGACATAGTCTGAGCCCTTTAAGTCCCACAAGTGACCAAGACAGAATTTCTCCTTACACTGTCTCAACAATATCAAGCGGACAAGTAATGAGAATAAAGAAAAATATCAATTGGGGGATTATTGTTTGATCCAATTCCAAATTCTCCAAAACACCATCATATAAATTGTATGCCAGACAGTAAGGAGAATTTCTAATGACATCTTGGGAGTTAAAGGGTTAATAGATGTGATATGCACATTGTGGAAACTTATTGAAAAATTATCTTCCTTGAAAAGAGAACATTTTACCATTTGAATCAGCAACTTAAAGCCTAAAGCCTAAAAGAGCTGCTAACTTTGCAAAGTCACCAAGCTGTGAATTACAACACCTTGAATTATTCAACAGAATGATGGAATGGAGGAATGGTGGAATGGCAGAATATCCTAAGACATAGAAAGACACAATCTCCTAAAACACTGGATGCCTGGCTGTGCAAAACAAAAGTCTCACAAATGGAATTGCAGATTTTTTTGAAACTCTTGAAGAAAATCTGGAAGAAAACTTTCCATTTTTTATTCAAGTGATGATGAAACAAGTGTAAATTACTGGCCTACTTGTTTAAAAAAAAAACTCTGTCCATTCAAATATACTTTAATTTAGCTGTAAAGTTTTATTTTTTCTGGGTGGTGTGATAGCTGGGTGTCTCAGTGAGTTACCTTTATTTTAGTTAAATGCAATATATCTTTTTATTGTTGGAAATTTAATATGGTGTATTCTCTTTTTTATAGAATATAATCCTTCAAAGTAGGATTGACAGGAATTACAAGTCTACCAGTGATTGCAATGTCAGTGGGGTTTGTACACTTGAAATATTCCTTGTTTTTCCTAGTTGAGAGTAAGGAGCCATTAGTAATATTTTTGATAAAATTTAGGATTGTAGAATCAAATGATTACCTTATTAATGAGGGAATCCTTAAAATAATTGTTGTCTACTTTAGAAGGATTCCCCTAGGATTATGAATGTAACATAGAAATTTTAACTCCCATGAGCAACCAAGACAGAATTTCTCCTTACAATATCAATACAATATCAACCAGATTAGTCATGAGAATAAAAAAAAATATCAATTTGTGGATAGTTAGTTGATCCAATACTGAACTCTCTGAACTAACATTATAAGAATTGTATGATTGACAGTAAGGAGAATAACAAATTTGATCTGGCAGTTAAAGGGTTAAAGGTAGAGGAGATTAACATGAGTTACAAAGTTTGAACCAGAAAAAAGGTCTTGTTCTTGCTGATGAGCAAAATATGATTACTGTTCCTACAATATTGATTGTTACATTTTTAGACTTTTATTGTTTGTTTGTTTGTTTATTTTCTTTTGTTTTGTTTTTAATTAAACTTCTTTTTTCTACCATGCAGCTCTCTTTAGTACCATACCTTTGAGATCAAAGGAAAAAAGATGCAATGAAATAACTATTACTCAGTGTGACAACACATGAAAAGGTTATTAATGCATGGCCTTCTTTTAATCCTTTAAGGAAGCTCACAACCCCTGTTACAGTGGTTCTCACTATGTGCATAACTCAGAAATTTAAAATAGATATATCTTATTAGATGTTTTGTTGTGAAGTATCCCTAAGTATTTTTCTGAGTTGTTCTGTATTTTGATGAACCCATGCAGCTGACTGGTTTAACACCAGGTTTTTACAGTTAAAAATAACCGACTGTCCAAATATCAGGTAATATTTGTAATCTAGTTGGTGCAGTTGGATAATAAAAGCTTTCTCAGTCATTGTAATTAGTTATTGGACATTCTATTTTTACTTATCAGCATTGTACAGTTCATATTTAACTTTTTTTAGAGGAGTCAGTCAAAAGACTTAGTGGAGCCTAGCATGAAAAAGCAAAACAAAGGAAAAATAAAGTTGAGCATGTTCAACTTTTAATGTTTTTTTTTTCTAGTGATATCTTACATGCAAGGACCATGCAGGGGGGGGGGGCTGGGGGAGGCTTTAGCCCCCCTCCACCCCCCCCCCACTTTTTTGCAAAAGTAGAAATAAATCAAAACAAAAAATTATTTAACAAAGATAACAGAGCCAAAAATAGCCCCTCCACTCAAAAACTTGCTGCACAGTCCCTGACATGTTCTCTTTGCAAAGGTGTAGGAAATAAACTATTTCTGATGGAATGTGTATAATAAAGGGATTTATCAGTACTGCATTAAAAAGATACCTAGCTTTTGTATCATAGTGCCTTTCTTTTCATATCGAATTTGATAGAAATCACAACTCAGCTCTTGTATAGTTTACGAGTGCTCCTAAAGATTGTAATTGAACTCCCATCAAGAGGCTGAATAACAGTTATTCCCTTAATCTGGAGGTAGATAGTTTTGAAGAGTACAAGTTGAAGTAAAACATCAAAAATTTTAACCCTTTCACTTCCAAGATCTTATTAGTAATTCTCCTTACTACATCCCATACAATTCTTATACTATAAGTTCAGAGAATTTGTTATTGGATCAACTAATAATCCCTTCTTTGAATTTTTTTCTTATAACTTGTCTGCTTGATATTGTATTAATTTGATGCTGTATGGAGAAATTCTGTCTTGGTCACTCGTGGGAGTCAAAGGGTTAGGTATCTATGCAAGATTCAATTGAGCTGATTTAAAAATTGACTTTAAAAAAATGCTCGATTTTGCTTCTGATGAAAAAAGCGTAGATGAAGACTAGACTATCGCTTTTAAATGACTGTAAACATAGATGAAGACTAGACTACTGCTTTTAAATGACTGTAAACATTTGAAAATCATCTATGTGAACTGCGATTTAAGAAATGAATTCGGAAGCATTCTTCACAATAATTAACAGGCCTTTTACGGAAGTTGAACCATGACCTCTGTGATACCAATGCAGTGCTCTACCAACAGGGAGATGGTCGTTATGTTGGTTCGTGATAAACCCATGAAGTTATCGCTATTACTAACATCGATTATGGATTAGACCAAGAAAACATTGAGAGTTTTATGATTATCACACCAAGCTCTTGTCACACCCATGGGTTTTTTACTCGTACTCTTTAAGTGCTGCACTAACCATTGCGGAACTAAAGGAAAACCAGGCCACACAATAGCTGGCTATATACATACGAGCGACAGGATGAGACAGATGGTAAGTTTTGAGCTCAGTAAAGAAATAGTGAAAGATATATTTTGTCTTGTCACGCGTGGGACAAAGAAAAAATTCTGAGACCTCGCTGATCGTAGAGTCTCTGTGGTTCGATGATAAAGCATCGATATCGGAGCGCGGAATCCGAAGGTCTGAGGTTCGATTCCTCATGGAGACTCAGAGTTTTTTCTATGTCCTACGCTTCGTAACAAGACGAAAAATATAATTCACTATATACGATCGTTTTGTAATGTTGAGTTTAATTCGTACAACAGCTGCGGGACACAAAATGTTTCTCAACTTTTTTTTAGTCTGTCTATCCATAGTCTGTCCTTAACTTGCTTTCTCACCATCACCAGAACAGTGTGATCAGTACAGAAGGGAAGAATAGGTTTTAAAACGATCTGTTCTTCCGATTTCATAGACGCACGGAAAGTTATACGATTGGAGTGATATCAATGTATTTTTCGCACAAAATAAGGTTAAGTAAAAGGTAATTTGTCCCTCTATGAGTTTATTTTCCATCTTTTTTACAAATTGTAGCTCGAGTAGTTTTGATTGTCCTTTAGATATATACTTTTCTATATCTTTTTCCTAATTTTTGCCATCGATCGATTGTAGTAATTTTTTCAGAGCGCTAAATCAGAATTTATAGGAAAACAGACGTGCAAACAAAGAAAATTTTCAGTGTTTAATTGGAGAATAAGACTTGTTTGAAAAGCTAACCAAATACAAGCAAGAATATTGCAGTTTTCATTCGAGTAATGAAGTGGTTAGATTGTTCATGTTCCTCCTCTTCGTTCGAATGCTTTATTTTGATGTTATTTCTGTCCTCGATGCGCATTGGTCAGTTTTAACTCCGATCCCAGACCATCCGACTATGCATAAAGGCGCGGTGACATAGCTAATTTTAAGAACATGTGCAAACCGACGAGAGCCGCGACTCATGGAGAAAATTTTAGCCCTCATAGCTGTATCTCTTGGAAAAAAAGTTACTGTATATGCAGTGGGAAGGGTGAGTATGTGCATTTTTTGTTATGTGATTGATTCTGGTGCTCTGGGAGAAATTTTATGTATGGTATATCCATTTCTAGGAAATAGTGCTCTGATCGTAATGGAGTTTACATCAGGTGATTCGTGATGTTTGTGAAGTTAAATGAACTCCGATCATAGCTGACATTTTGTGTTTCGACTGCTCATGAAAAGGTGACTTGATTTCTGCTATTTAAATTTGACTGTGGTTAGATTAAGAACGGAACCGATCGATGATTCGAGTGAACTGGCTACATGTAGCTGAGTCAAGGGTGACGTAACAGTTCATTTGGTTACAAAATACTACACATCATGCTGGGACAAATGTTACAGCTGTTATAACCGTCTCTTCTCACTAGGCTAATTTTCTGCCGTTAATCTGCCGAAATACCCAAAACGAAACTGGCGGATGTCAATAAGCTTATGAGTTTTAGAGTTTGGTGCTTTCCATACGAGCCGTGTAGCAAAGCTGGCTTGTCAAAGGACCAGTCTATTGTCATCTGTTTATGTCAGAAATGTCATCCTCTTCACAACGCCGAGATTTTAGATCAGTAACGCTATTTTTTCAATAAGAAATTTCAGCCTGGTTAACTGAGATAAACATTGTGATATCTTTCCAAATTGATCTCAGTAAGTGAGATGAAGTGTTCATACGGTGTATTGGAAAATTTCCTAAACAATTTTCTTGTCTCTCGACAAGAGGAAAAAACATCTTTCTCTATGTCTTTACGGAGTTTTAAATCTACTATCTTTCTTATTCTTTTTACACACATGATGCCTTTTGACAGGACATGTGTCACATGTGAATGTCATAATGGCATAGCTCACCATAGAGTCTCTGTAGCTCAGTGGAAGAGCAGCAGAGCTTGGAATCTGACAGTCTAAGGTCTGATTCCTCATGGGAACTCATAAATTTTCTTCACATGAAGTTCATGCCAAGACAAATAAATGTCTCACTGTACTTTCATACTTCTGTAAAGGCTGACAAGATTTAGAGATCACATTGATAGTTTGTAAGCCCAAGGCCCTCTTACCAGTAGACTGTGGTTATAAGGGCAAGGAAATCAGTCTCAATTTTTTTGTCTCTGATTTGGCAGACACAGGGGACTCTAAGGGATTTTACCAGGACTGTATTTAAGTATAGACCCCACTCTCCCATAGTCAATACACTCCACATGGAATTCCTTAACAGAATCTTCTTCAGTTCACTGGAAATAACTTAAGAATGGTTGTAATGCCAAAGCCAACTGATTGAGATGTCTATCATCTGATGTCAAGCCAACTTAATCAAACATGATTGATCAGTAAAAAATATTTTTACCATGTGACCAGATCTTGGCTTGAAACCATTTTTGCAGGAACAAATTAGGCAAATCTGAGTGGGTTCATTCTATTTTCCCCACACAGAGAGCTAGCAATGCAATGACATCTATTTTGTTTACATTCCCATAGTACTATGGATTCCCAAGACTTTATAGAAGATTTGCAGAATTCAACAGAAGAGTGACATCTAACAGACAGACCCTTAGGAGAAGACAAGAAGCCATGAAGTTTGTGTTCAGAGTTCCAAACAAAATCTTAGCATTTTTCCGGTGAGGAAATATTTTAATTCCTTATACTCACAAAAACTGAATTACACAGATGATGTCCCCTTAAAAGTAATAACTCTATGTGTATGCATAGATGATGACCACAATTAACTGCACATGGTGGATGACAAGAGATATCCATGCTATTTTAAAGAGAAGGATTTTTAGATAATGTTGGTTATGAATAATGAGGAAAGTAAATCACTGATTTTGCAAAAGTTCAAGGATATCGGTTGCCATAAAGCTATTGGATCACATCACTCATGTTGCATGCATTCAGGGTGTCGACATGAATTTGAGTTTGTATCAAGTATGTCCTCTTTTTTCATTAATTTTTGTTCTATCTGTAGCTTGAACTTAACCCTTTAACTCCCAGAAGTGATTCACTTGTAACTTCTCCCTATAATATCCATCCACTCTCCAGCAAACAGGTTATGAGAATACTTAAATGTATCAGATAGAAGTTGTTATCTTGATCTAACACCTAATTCTTGCAACTAATTTACAAGGAAATGTGTAGCAGCTAGAGGGGAGAATTAACCAACAGATCCTGGGAGTCAAAGAGTTAAAGAGTTAATAATATATTAATAGTGACCTGGTTGTTCAATTTTAGAGCCTTTTAGTTGTGACTGACCATAACCTAATGCATCAATCAATTTGAAGTTTCCACCTCCCCCCCACCTCCCATTCAGGGAACCCCCAGGTTTTAAACTTTTGGAGTTTGGTTGGTTCAAATTCCACTCTCCTTGGAACCAAAATGGTGTTCAAATGTCCCATCTAAGTGTGGGGTTTGATTATCAATTTTTCTGTAAAAGGCAAATTTGTGACTGTGGCTTTCCTGTAAGCCTTTGCTTCTGGGCCATCTACCAGTGGAAGTGACCTTTTTACCTTTCAATGCCCCCATATTAAAAGATAAAACACATTTATTCAGACTTGACTGTTCAGGTGTAAATTCCCTACCCCAACCTTTCGAGGTTCAAATTCTTCACCTTTGGGGAGGACTGTCAGATGCCTGTGGGTTGCTACTGGTGAGGGGGGGGGGGGATGAAGCCTTGAATTGATTGGTGCATAACCTTAATCTAATTCAAACATGCACAGGCTAATGAAACAAATTGGAAAATAGTTTGAGGTTTCTTGCTTTCCTGTGAAATTGTAAATTATTAACCCTTTTATTCCCATGAGCGACCAAGACAGAATTTCTCCTTTCAACATCAATACAATATTAAGCAGACAAGTGATGAGAATAAAGACAAATGTAAATTAGGGGATTAGAAGTTTATCTAATACCAAATTCTCCAAACTAACATCATAAGAATTGTATAGCTGACAGTAAAGAGAATTTTTAATGAGATCTTGGGAGTTAAAGGGTTTATACAACCTTTTTCCAAGAGTGGGTGTCTCGTTAGGAAGAAGACTGGAAAAATCTCTTCAATGTGAGGGAAAAGTAACTTTAAAGTCAAGTCAGGGAAAAATGAAGTCTGAAGGAAAGAACAGGAAAATGAGTGTAATTTGAAAGATGATGAAAATTTTTTGGAAAATGCTGTGATAATGTTTGGACTGTTAGACAATGATTTTTTTCGTGTTTGAATTAGCGGCACTGAGCTCATTGTTAACCCTTTCACTCTGAAGATTTCATCTGTAATTCTCCCTACTGTTTGCAATAAAATTCTTATGATGTTAGTTTGGAGAATTTGGCATTGAATCAACTTGTCTAATAATCACCTAATTGACATTTTTCTTTATTCTCATCATATTTGCCAAGTATGGTATTGATGTTGTGAGGGGGAATTGTCTTTTTGGTCACTTATGGGAGTTTAAGGATTAATTTTAAAAGGAAGGAAAGGCTGTCAATAGGTTTTCTAAAGAATTTTGCTTTTCTTGATCTCCACAGGAGAACAAAGAGCACAAGATGACAAAGAACACAGAGAAAGTTGTGAAGAATAATTGGAATGTAATTGTATGCTGAAGCATCTTAGCAGTTCTCATAGAGGATCTGTTCATTGTTTCAATTTGTAAATATACATGCAGCTGAATTTCTCACCTCTGTTTGCCTCCATTTGGTCAGAGTACATGACATGTACAAGTCAGATGTCTCCTAGTGAGTATTTTGATGAATATGAGAGGCCCTATTTGATATGGGTATTCATAATGCCTTGTATACTTTCCTGGTTCATGAAATTCAAAATAGTTTTTTTTTTGTTCAAAATTTTAACTTTAGTTTGGATCCTATGATGTTTTTCGCATTTGCCCTCAAAAAATGATTTAAAAAAGGTTTAATTTGCATAGAGTATACATGTTTTCATTTTCCATAATGCCTTTTACAAAGGTTGTTAGGGGAGGGGAGGGGGAATTTGGAGACACTAACTCAAAAGCACATGGTGTAGGAAATATTGAAAATGGGTATATGAGTATATGGGTACCATTAACAACAGGCAAAAACTAAATTCTGCTACTTAGACCAAAAGTTATTTTTGCCTCAGCGGAGGCAACAAAACTATTAAATAGTGAGTCAATTAAATTATTTTTCTGTGCTTTGGAGTGATTCTCAAATACTGTCAATTTAAGGCAAAGGAAAGGAAGAGGAAGGTATAAAAACTATTTGATCACTGTTTGCACATAGGATCAGTCAGAATTGTTTCTTGTTTGTGTCCTTTATTAAAACACCAGTTGGATTCGTGATGGTCATTGAACTGGGTGGTGCAATTCAGTCTGACAACATCATTTTAGTGATTTCAAACTCAAACAAGTGTACAGTGCAAGTTTGATTTGAAATCACAAGTTTGATTTCAGACCAAAATTGCACTACATGAAGTTCAATTACCTTTTTATGACATCTATGTTGAAATCGCAAAATTCGGCTGCTCAAATACAGGATTTTCTTATTCTGTATAAATATTTTATCTATCCAGTATTGAGCTGGTTTGTAAAAAGTTGAAAAAATTGACTTCATTTTCTTGAAATTTTTAGTGTTTTTCTTTTTTTATAAGCCTTGAAATCTAATTGGTGGTTGTGTTTTAGAAAAGCCTTCTCATTGGCTGGGAAAAACATGTGATTTAAAGTGAAAAATAGCGCGATTTGGAAATAAAGTGCACCGATGAGAGCCAATCAGATTTATCACCAGTTATTTCAAAGTGGAAGTAATAAAGATATTAACTTAATACTATGTACAATTAACTCTGGAATTTCTTTAACAAGAATGACTATAAATAACGCATTGAATATTTCCATGATACATATGTACAGTGATGATAAATACGTAATTATTTGCTAACGTGGATTACGACCTAAAAGATGTGTACGGTTTTTAGATGGTTTCTCAAAGGTTTCTCTGAAAATAGGATTTAAGTGCAATTGGTTCGTCTTTGAATTATATGAAGGACTTTCTTAAAATCCAAATTACGGCGTATCTTTCGGCAGGTCTAGATATTATTTGCATTGATTATGTAATGTTTTGTCGGATTTGAGTCTAAGTATTTTTTCCCTTTTTAAGAAGCAAAGTGAAACACGTGTAGTCTTAATATTGACTGAAAAAGTTCTGAAGTGTGTGGAGCGTGGTAGAAGCTACTGAACAGAACAGATGGTTGACTTTCCGTTGGGTTTTTGTAATGCTGTTAAAGTCTTTTTCTTGAATAGCCTTGCTTCTCCTAGAAAACAGAAAATAGATACTTGATGTAGAATTGGAATGCATCCCTCGGTGCTAGCTCAATGTCGCGTTTACGTACTGCATGGATATTTATTGACTTACCCTTTCCTTGCGAAATTAGTCTGGCTACGCAAAGAAATTCGAAAAAATCCACCGTGCCTGAGTCATCTATGTCCACCTCTAACATGGCTTCCTGCAAGCAAAAATTAATTGTCTGTAGTTTTTATAAAGTTATGGATTTTGCCATCTACTATATCTCGTCAGAGCCCCTCCAAGAAAATAAATCATGCAACCCACACTAAAGAACTTTTTAATTGCTTTATACTTAAATGATGATGGTAAACTTACGGTGGCCCATAGAGGAAACGCTGTCCACTTTTAAATTCAATTTTATCGCGCGATAAATGGGAAACTTGGTAGGTCGCACGTGATCGGCTGTCACGCACGTTGTTTCCGTGGACGACAATTGCTGCCATAGCCGAGGAGGTATATTTTGAGGTTAATAGTTCGTGTTATTTTCGTGAAAAGATCATTACGCAGTACTTTGCAATACTTCTACGGCACATAGCTCTGTAAATCAGTGCAGTAAACCTTGATTTTGCGAAATCTTTAGAGACACTTTCAGAGATGGCTGTCAGTGTCTGAGAACAAGTGTGAATTATTTAATCTTTCTGATTACATTGCAGGTTTGTAAATTTCCTAGACTAAGAAAGAACTTTTCAATTGTTACAGCCATTGTGTCGTGCGTGACAGCTGATCACGTGCGACCTAACAGGTATCTCATTTATCGCGCGATGTTTTTATTTTATTGCGCGATAAAATTGAATTTAAAAAGTGGATACCATGTCCTCTATGGGCCACTGTATGAACTAAATTATTTTTTTTTGCTTAATATATCATAATTACCTTTATTTCCTCAGTAGTTGCCATTCTACCTAACGTATCTGGTATTGCTCTCAATAACTGAAAAGAGAGGAAATTAAATATTGTTCATTTGCAGTGAAGTCATGGCTGCAATTTACTACTTTAGAAAATTACGCATTTACTTCAAACATGAGAGAGCGTATTTTAACGCCTCTGGGAACTAAAGGGAGTTTGGGTAGCCAGTGAGTTATTATTTTGATTGGCGAAAATAAAAAAAATTTTGATAACGATCCGCTATATTTAACAATCGGTCCGCCATCTGCTCTCCCTAGACTCCTGTAACCATGCTAACGCCACGAAATTTGCATATCGCATATTCACGAGTTAAAAAGTAACAAAGTTTCTTTTCCTTCCATACCTCTTGTGTATCAAGATTGAAGTCGTCGTTGGTGTCGAATCTCTTAAACTGCTCAAACATCATCTGAATCTAGTAAGAAATAAAGAATTATGCTAAATGCAAAATGCTAGGTGGCTTCTTGGCTTTTTACCACAGTAAAATTAAAACCAAAGTCTTTTACCGATTAACTTCCGGTCTTTTTCTCTTTGAGAGCAAATTAGGATCATTGAGGGAAAAGTCATTCAGGATTGCATTGATTTTGATCTCAGCGTTGTGATTGGTCTAGAAAACCTGTGCCTCCCTTTCAACCAATCAGCTATCAAACAAAACCAAGCGCGGCCTGCGCACTGTCGTTTTCCCGCGCTTCAAGCAGTTTACCTTTTTCACAATGAGTTCTCGTTAGATCCTTGTGAGCTTTCCCTACGCTTTTATTGGTTGTTGTGATTACTTTGGTGACGATTTCGGAAAAGTCAGTTGAAAAATGCTCTGAACGGAACTCGATAAACAGCAACACCAAGTTAACAAAGATTGATCATTGCTAATCATGGGTCAACGCATTTGGCCTCAAGAGAAGCATCGCTAGGGAAAGATCCCTTGAACAAGAACTCAAAACAAGGGCATCGTCTAACACGCTGGACAGATCGTTCTTTCTAAAGTCCAGCAAAGTACCTATCCCGGAGTCAACTTATCTGTGATAAATATTTCTGTGATGGAAAGTTACCTCTTGGTCAGACCACTCAGGAAAGTGTTCCTTAGCCTCTTTTATGAGCGGTTTTCCAAGCTTTGTATCAACAAGCCTCGGATGAACGCCGGTAACTGTCGATGTAAGTCAGTCAGATTAGAGTCACTTAAATATGATGTACTACATAGCGTAGCTGACCAACTGAGAGACGTCGACTTAATGACTGAGTGATCAGCCTACTTGACCGACTGCTAACTAACTGGCTGACAGACTGGCTGGCCAGTTGACCGAGAGAATCAGTCTTGTGAGAAAAGAAAGACCAAAATAAGCCTGTGGCTGCTTTATGTTTTTTTTTATGACCTTTTTTTTATCAGCCGGCCAAATTTTATTGATAATATATATGTGAAAGTGGTATAGACGGGGGCACCATGGGGCATAGTCAATCATTTTATGACTTTTGCACCACGTGGTACAATTAAAGCCAATCACATGGCTGGATTGGCAGCAGAGATGGCGACTTAATTTGTAACCTGATAGGCTATGCCCCATGTGCTCCCGTATACTCTTCGTGAACGAAAATAACAGACGGTCACTGGTGATCTAAAATAACTGTTATCTGTTAGACTTTCCTACCTTTTGATGATTTTTTCGAAAACTTTCTGACATTCTCTCTGGCACTTGCTGACCTGCCTTCCCTCCACCCCGTCAATAATGGATGATTGATATCAATTCTGCAACGATTTCATAAAAGATAAATATCAATGGGTGAAAGGTAAAATTTGAACACGAGCCATGTAGCTCTCCAGCCGCAGCTTATTCCGGTTTCCATAACATGAAGCGAGTGGGAGTATCACTACTCCCCCCTGAGTAGGGATGCAAATCCTCCGCAAGGCTACTCCTCTCTTCCAGCCGCCTACTCCTCGAATATTTCATCAGGCCCCCCTGAGAATTCGCTGGTACCCATTTATACTCCTGGTTGGAGAGAGACATTGTGAAAATAATTTGTCTTGCCCAAGAATACAGGAATACAACCCAATGACTCGGTCAGGTCTTGAACCCAGACCTTTTGACGCGGAGTTCAGCGCACTGACAGTAAGGCTGACTGTAATTGAGACGTGAAAGCGCGGAAGACATTTATCGAATTTAATAAAAGTCTTAAACATTTTTTTTCACCTGAATTCACTATCTTCAACTTCTTGTAAATGCAATTCCAAATCCTCGAAAGGCCGTGAAAGCTTTTTACCCAATGGATGGCCAGAAAGATCCTGCATCACCGTAACACACATACAGAAAAAAGAGTCAATATCTAGATACTAAGAGCTCCCAGGTGGTTAAAATGAGGAACCCAACAATAGTCATCTGATGAAAAGTTCGGGTTAATGTTGGGTCAGGGTCCGTAAATACTGCCTGTCTCTACCTATCTTAGGTAAGTTTTGTATTCGTCAAATCAGCCATTAGCGCTTAAGATTCCACCAAGAAATAACTAAGGACCAGAATGGTAACTAAACATACGCTATTAATGAGGATCTTTCGGCGTTTGTAAGCTACCACTGTTCCGAGTCCTTTTAATCTGTTTGTTTTTGTTACAATTTGTCGCACTTTTTGAATCGTTCTTCCAGCCGAGAAAGATTTGTTTGAGATTGAAAATATTCAGAAGTATGGCTTGTTACCTCATTTATTCCAAGATAGTGAGAGGGTAACGTCGCTCTGAATTCCGTCAAAGTTCCTACATTAAAACGTTACATTAAAATCAGGTTATCCACATTCTACATACGAACTGCATAGATTTCCAATTAAGATATATAACACATAGATTCCATGTTGATGGAAGAGATCAGTTCTAGATCATAGATGACATCAAAATTAGTTTACTGGCGTATTAGACCACGCATGATGTTGGGAGGAAATTCGAAAAGTTTGTAAATCACTTGCCTCCGAATCCTAATTTACACACTTTTCTCGTGTTCTCTCAACATCTCGCGTGGGTGAACTATTCCGGTAACCCAAAAGAAAGTGCGGTCCACTGCCTAAATTGACGGTAGGCATTAACTCGAGCTCACCTTCTTTCGCTGCCACGTACATTTTATTCAGCATTGAGGCGTATGCTTTTTGATCTTTGTTGTATTCTTTCACCGTTAGATGCTGTCTTTCAAGCATAATTCTGAAATTAAGTTTTATAAGGTTTTAAGCATGTTATGCAGTTATTGTGCCAACAGTAACAGATCTAGACATCGACTCGAGTGAACTGTAATGAAGAGCAATTACTAGCAAGTTATGTCCATGTTGGGGTGGCTCACCTGAAATCTCGACTTAACCCACTTATAAATCCAACATAATATTTTTGCTGTTTCTGGATTTCGCCCTCCGCCACCACCAATAACTGAAAGACAACGTGAATTGTGGTCCAATGAAAAGTCAACGTGATAACAAGTAACCTGGCAAAAGTGCGCGAAAACGCCGGTGACCAAGTCACGATTCGTTTTAATTGTGCATTTTATTGGTGGAGAGGGTAACGTGAGTTTTCAGGACCAATCAGAGAGCGAGATAGACTAAAACCAATGTAGTCCGGATCAAATTCACACTCAGTGCTCTATCTGTTCATCTCTGTTTTCAGTTCATCTACCTCACGCATTTTGCTTGCTTGGCTTCTTACTATATGCACCACTTTCTCTCGCTCTTGCAAGTCATTGTGTATTTAAAACTGCAAACCCTAATACGTACTCTGTCCTTGAGGAATAATTGCTGCTTTATTTTCTCCATTTCACTTGAGGAAACATGCGGAACTAGAGAGAGGACGCGTGAACAAATACAAAACAAATCTTAATACTAGGGTATCAATGAAAGACAACTTGTAAACTTGTAAAAATTTCCATTTGACATCCGAATAAAAATCGAGCAGAGATGATCCTTGCAAGAGAGCTACAATTGCAGAGAAGAAGCCTGAGAAAAATTCAGGCTTCGACGGGATTCGAACCCCTAAAAATTTGCCTCACTACCAACATGAGGCTTCGTAGCACAGTTGGTGGTAGCGCCCAACTAGTGTGTGAGAGGACTGGGTTCGATTCCCGTCCGGCAAAGCCCGAAACTTTTTTCAATCTTCTTTCCAGCAGTCCAACGGCGATAATTAATTTTTTCCTTGATCAAATGAATTGTGATATACATATAATTACTGATTTATAAACTTACCTGCTCCACACGTTCTCACCGTCCCATTCTTGACATCTTTCTCCATTTTAAGATATTTAACTTGATCCATAAGCTCCTATGAAACCAGCAAATATCCATAGATAAACAATCAAGCCCGGGAAGGTCTGGTGCCCAAAGTGACGGCCTTGCAACTTAAGTTTTCGTGTTTTTGTTTCCCAACAGATTTTAATTCGACTGAGCAGCTAAGAGTAAAAAAGTTATATGTGTTCTTTTGATTGTCGAGTGTCTTCTCTCGCCGTTACACGAATGGCTTAGCCAGATGGAAGAGCAGCAAAATTACATAGTACTCTGTAGTTTTTTTAATCTACAGTTCCACCTTGATATTCTTTTGATAACGACGGATACCCTCTCCGCCCTCCTGAAAACCAAGGCCACCCACCCCCCCAAAAAAAATCCTCCGAACTCCTCTCCCCTCCGGACGATACTGACTGGTTTCCTAAGCCTATCAGGAGAGTCAGCCGCTCATGAGATTAATTTCAAGACCTCGTTTCATCTTATTCCATACCATAATTCTTTGATTTAGTCTTGATTTTGTATCTTCTAACTGATCTTTAGTTTCTTTGAGCTCCTTCGCAAGCCTCTCCTCACTAAAAGACAAATCACTGACATATGAACAGGCTGAAAAGCTTAAAAACAAATCACACCTTGTTCACGAAGAAAAAGATCATATGTTTATAAGGTACAGTCGATGTCTTCTCGAAGGTAAGCCGACAGTCGAAGCACCCTTGACCAACTGTCGGTCGACATCGACCAACTATTAGTAAAGATATCGATCAACCATCGTCACCGTATCGGCTGACCACCGACTGACTATCGATCGATATATCGATCTAAACATCGACCGACGTTGTCTATAGAAAACATAATCGACAGAAAGTAGGGTAAGTTACCTTGAGTGGACGTCTTTTATCAGTTTCGCTTTTTCTCGTTGCCACAAACTCACAGTTCCCTCGCGTTGAAGCCTGGAAGAAATTTCGACAAAACATGAATATCATCAATGAACAGGCCAGGACCAATTCGAAGAAAACACAACGCGATGGGTTGTGTCCTCGTGTACCGGTACACAAAGGAACGAAACATTAACGAACTGCGTCACAACTCCATGTATGGATATGAAAACAATAGGAATTCCCCCGTGTACCGGTACACCAGGACAGCCCCACACGATGCATCAGCAAATGTTTTTAATATAACGTTAGAAAAAGTATATTCCTACAAGAGCGAAAAAATAATAATTACAACACAGACAAACTACCTAAAGGCCACTGCAAAACGAAATTAAAGAAAACGATGAAAATGAAGCCGCTTACAAATGCTGAGGATAACTGGCGTGGTGGTTGGTGACAACAAACTATAGAACTAAATTTACATACAGCACGTAACAAAGGAGCGTAATTAACAAAATACCGATGAACGAAAGAAGAAAAAAAAATACACGATGACAAGTAAGCGAGAAAACGAAAAACAAAGGAAAAAATTTGCCCAAGCAATCAATTACTTAAAAGTATCACCGTTCCAACCTCAGCTCGCATCACTCGTTTGTGGAAATTGTCAGCTTTAGCTCAGGTTCGAAATTTCTTTTTCATTTTAACCCGTACCATCTTCTCATCAGTGTGCTTATTCTGCATACTGCTCCCTATATATTTCCTATGGTACTTACAACGGGAATTTGTTTGACTTTAACAAGCATCTGTAGTTTGTAATCATTTTTCTTGTTCTCATGACCTTGATAAATTAATTTAGAAACGTTACTAATTTATGTAACTTACTGTTGAATTTGTTTTCCTCTTTCTTCCAGTTGCTCCTCCAGCTTTCTGCAAGTCGCCAAGACTGTGTTTTTCTCCGCCACAGCGTATTCGTGCCTTACGAAACAAAAAGGACTCACATAAACATTTAGTTCAGCCATTTGTTTTAAAATACGATGTCCTGGTGCATCAGCTTGTTGAAGAATCCTTTATAGCTTAGAAGTATGTTGATACTTATTTATCTTACAATCCTTTATGGCGAGGGGCATTGAGGAAGTAAGTAGTAATATTTTAGACTTAATACAGTGATTGTCATAATGTCATGACCACTTAAGTCATTCCATTGAAAACTAGACACAAGACCACCCCTTCCCCCATTCATTACTTTCGAAAGACCCCTCCTGCCACAGGAAAGATAAATTCCGCACTCAAGTCAGATGGATCATAAGGCGCTTTCAGCAGCTACTAAAAGTACTGCGTCTATTGCTACTTCCAGTCCATTTCCGGTTACCCTCCCCCTCTCCTCTTAAGCATCACTTCAGGCTTCCTTAGCAGTTCACTCGTTCTCATTTACAGTCCTGGGTGGAGAGAGGTCACAGATCTCCAGCCCCAGACCTCTCGATTCGGAGTCGAACGAGCGAACCGTTAGGGGTTAGCTTCTCCTAACAATAGGGGTATATCATCACCTCTCGGGAAAAAAATCAACATTTTCAGCCCCCTTTACTTACTTTTGCTGCTGATGCATCGATTCAGCCTGTTCGCGTTGAAAATCAACTGCAATAGGTAAATTAAAAGAGATTTTTTAACAAAACAGATTACTAAATGACCCTGAAGAAGATCTGTGGTACCAAGGTTAGATCATAATCTTTAGGCTTCATAATATCTCTACGTTGGCAAATTCACTTTACTTGTATCAACTCAATGGAGAAAACCAAATAATCAATTGATAAGAGCCACTGAATAATTTTGAAAAGATGATGTAAAACAATAGCTGAATGTTTAATTTCACCCTTTCTAATCATCAACTCAAATTTTGCTCTGTAATAAAACAAATGCAATTAAGGTTTAGATGAAACATGACAGCCTAAAAACACAACTCTTTAAATATCAATCGATGACATAAATTACTATTTTCCGAACACAATTTTGTGTGCTGGCAGATAAACTGCTTCCACGGTTTGGCATGTTCCACATTTCGTTGGATATGGGCCTCCGCTTGCGAACTTCGCCTCAAGTTCCTCTGCTTTAAATCAGAAGTGTTAACAGAAACTGCCGGGTGAATTTCTTATCCGCCTATCGCAAATATAACAACACGAAAGCAGCTATTGCCATTCACCAAAGTTAGATTGATCCTATAAACCTGGACACCATTCCTTGAAAGTTGCCACCCCGAGAACCTGGCCTGAATTGATGTGCGAAACTCAGAACGAAGTATGTAACAAAGAAAAGAAAAGATAAAAATGAAAACTCACGTTTCAGTTTCATGTTTTCCTTTGCGAGCAGTTGTTCAGCTTTAGTTTTCTCCTATAAAGCAGAAAAGACAGGGTACTTACCAACTGATGGGAGGGTTTTTATTCTTCTTTCTTCTCATGGAACCGTTAATGGGGCCGTGCGGCTTTTTGCGGCCTTATTCGCGTCACCACATAGGCCAATTTTAGGGGATCTTTTTCTAATAATATTTTTAATGAAAGCGGGGGCGCGGGATTTTATGGTAAACGTTGCAGTCATACATTTTAAAGAACGTTACTGCTGGAACACCAAATGAATACAAGGGAATATGAATACAAGCATCCTCTTTAGAGAATGAAAGAAAAAAAAAGGGAGTTGTGGTTTTTACAGGCTTCTTTGCCTTCCGCCCTCCCTTAGGATCTTCGGCTTTGAATCAACAGAGAGCTTAGTTTTTCCCTCTGATTTTCGCCGTCTTGCTCTAGATTGAGTACGTTCGCATTAGATAGGAATGCGGTTTTCTCCTTATCTCCCTAACAGATATCTTGAGGATCACAGGAAAAAACGAGGCTGTCTTAGATGTGTCTTTTTAGACTCTTACCTGTATATACTGAATGATACTGTTTTTCAAATTTTCCAAATCTTGAGAAACATGATTGACATACTGGATGTAAAATTTATCTGAAAACAGGAGGAGTGCATGTTAACAGAAGATTAATTAAAAAACAGTACAGAACCTTGAAACCTACGGCCGATTGCCAACCACTGTTCGGGAATATGAGCCCGCGCTCTTACCCCGTGGAGGAGCGAAGCCTGGACAGGAGAGAGCGACGGAAATCGAACCTATGTGAAACCGCTTTATATAAAGTGTTAGGTAGAACGTTCCGCCTACCGTATTCTTGTACATCTTTCAAATTTTCCTCGAAAAGGTCGATCTTTTGAGGCTCTTTCTACAAATGTAAGAAAAAAAGCGGGAAATATTTTTTTTCGCAGGACACATAAACTGAAGTTTGATGATTCAGTTTTTCACTCTGCGGAGCAACGGCTATTGCTCTTTGGTTGCTGTTTATAATGATGATGACGATAATGATGATGGTAATGATGATGATAATGATAATGATGATGATGGTAATGATGACGATAATGATAATGATGATGATGGTAATGATGACGATAATGATAACGATGATGATGGTAATGATGACGAAAACTATAATAATGATGGTGATGTTCGAGTTGCTTTTGTTGTTTTGATGACAAAAAGAATTCCTAACGTCTCAGTCGCATCGTGCTTTTAATCAAGTTTTAGGTGACCATGGTAGCTTGGATAGAAAACTCTCAGAATGTGGGTAGTGCTGAAGTAACTTCCACTGACACCTTGTTTATTTGGATTTCAAGTTCAGGCAAGACCACTGATCCGAACCTTATTTAAACTTATGAAATCATGTCGGTTGTACATTATCAGTTTATAAAACGATCTTACCTAGTACAATTGTGTTGGGAGTCTTGTTTGTAAAAGGAAGGATAGGGGCATCAGAAAATCTTCATTCATTCGTTTGTCTGTCTGTCTGTCTGATAGACCATCACAGTCTGTACGTCTGGTTGTCTATGTATGTACTTCTGTATGTATGTAGGTGTATAGTTCTGTCTCTTTTTAAGCCTGTCTTTTTTCTTTCTTTCTTTCACGTTATGTCTAAAGGGAGTAAGTTTCTAAACAAATTGTGATACTGCGTCACTGGGGGAATGACAAGACAATCGGATGTAAGTACATCATCATTTTTTATACACGTTCGTACTTTGAATGAGTTCTTAGCTCCTCGACGAAACGTGTTAAAATAAATGATTGATTGATTGATGGCTGTCTGTCTGTCGGCCTTTCTATCTTTCTGTCACAGAGTCAGTCCGTCCGTCTATCAAACTTTCCGTTCGGTCTATCTGTCTGTCCGTCTGATTACATTTAACGGTTCGTTATTGTATACTCGTTTGTCCAGTATTTCTTTATTTATCTTTTAATACTATGTTTACGTACCTCAAGTTGTTGTTGAAGGGTTTTTAGCTTCTCGATTTCCTTTAGTAGATAAAAGAATTATGTTAGTTATTTCTTTTAGCAACGGTGAGGATAAGGTGCTTCAAAAAAATCTACCCCCTGTTGAAAGCAGCGCGCAGATTGCTGCCAGATACTGTCATCAGTGCTTTGCGAAACGAGCCTTGCAACTTTCGGGGAAAGATCCGGCAACGTCCTGTCGTTAAAAAATTCAAAACTTGTATCCACGAGACAATTTACTGCATAACGAGCGGGGAGTTTGCTTTTCTTGCAAAATAACTTGTGAAAGATTAAGATATTAGAAAGTTTAAGTGATAGAAAGGAATCAGTGATAAAATTATCACACAAAATTATTTGCAATTCCACCACCTTTGGTCTGTACGGCTATTCAAATAATTAACCCCCCATTGAGAAATTTAATTTGATACGTAGATATGACCATGATAATTGCCAATTACACGACAGATTTATTGATTCTTAATTGACTTCTACTATCAGAACTATTAGCTTCTAGAATAGATCACTTTGAAATGATGTTAAACGAGAAATTTCCATTTTTCAATTGATTTAAAAAGTTCACAGATTTGTTTTTGATCAGCGATCATATGATGATTTAAAACAACGAATATTGTCCCGTGATGTACCGACACAATAGAACGTTTGAACAACGAAGGATGCAGAGATCTTTCTGTAATTTGCCTATAGAAATTCATGCATAAAGATTCAGTATCACTGGGTCAATCAGTAATAACAGTTTTGCTCAAATAAAACTTCTTATAGTTAATCCGCAAGGCGATCGTTTTACACAGCAGCAATCCACGGTGCCACAGGGAGATTATTTTAATAAACTAGAACCGCAGAACGCTGAGATTATTGGAGCATGAGAATGAACGAATTTTCAAAGTTTTCTTGAAAAGAATTTTTGGAATCAGTTCGGAGGTTATGAAGTGTTCCTACGATTTTCGATTTCTGCTCTCTTATCCTGGTTCATATTTGATAAATCTTCCCCAAACTGACTGCCTTATGGCAAAGATTTGCTCTGAGATCCAGCTAACTTTGCTTCACTGTGGTTAATTCGATTCAGTTAATGTTCTTTAAACGTTTGTGACACAGGAAATTGCATGGCCTTACCAAATCGAGCCTTCTCTTTGCTGACTCACTCGTCGGGTTGTGATTGAACTCGATGACTTTATCAAACAGATCAAACATCTGAAAGAAAGAACACATGAAACAACAGTTGTTAATTCAAGACATGAACTGTTGCTGCCAGCCCACGGCTCATTTGTACCCGGCGATAAAAACCCTTTGCAATTCGTGCATCGCGCATGTTGCATAAACATACCTCGCTCAGCTTCTCACCACAGAGAACAAGGAAACCGAAGAACTTCTGCATTGTGGGATTCTGAATCAATCAGCTCTCAAAAATGTGCAAGAACTGAATCAAGTTTCCATGTAGAAAATATTTGTTTAGCAGACAGAACTTCCATGGCGACATGGAAATGTAAATTACGAACAGTTCTTGATCTTCCTTTTTTTAACAGAATAATTTGCAAGGTACCCGTAGGAGACAATACAAAATCCCTGCAGGCGGTCATTCGGACAATGCTACCGAAATCGCTTACCACAAAGACAAATAAAGATATTGAAATAAGGCTATTAGTTATGATTTCCGGGATTCGTAAGTACCGGTTTAGTGAAAATCAGCGGGAAATCGATACATTTAAAATACGCTATACGTTTTGTAAGATGGAAATTTGGAGTGTATTTATGTATTCAAAATGGTTCAACTTTGATTCAGTTAATATTCCAAAGCTCACCCAACTTTAATAAGCTTGCATTTTTATCCCAAATTTCGTTATCATTTTTAATTTAACTGCAAGCTAAGATTATTTCTGACTCAGACGGTACATTTGTTTATTTTTAGGCTTTATGTGGGCATAATTCAATCTTAGTGATATGCACTCTTACGGATAAAGCATCGTTTTAATTCGATTAGTTTTCCCAAAACAGTGCAAAGCTCGGCAAATCGCCTTGTAGTTCATATATTGTCAAGCGAATTTTTACCTTGTTAGTTTTTCAATATAATATAAATAATATGACCAGAAACCCTCTCTCAACCTGACCAATTTTTCCTCTATAGGCCGCTTCTAGTGACCTACCCTTTTGGATTTTTTTGGTAGAAGGGGTAAAATTTTATAATAGGACGAGAGGAGTGTGAGAAAATAACATTTATTGTTCGGTCTGATATTAATAGCTCGTAGTACAGGCTCACATGCAGTTAACAGCTTGCAGTCAAATGGTTTCCCTGAACGCGATACAGTCACGCTTATTATGACTTGTTATTCTTTGACACTTCACTTAGCAACGAGCGTTTGCTAGAGACTTTTTAATCGTATTTTTCTTTGACGTTTCGAAAGATTAGTTAGAGCTTAAAAGATAAAGAGGCATAAAGCCAATTGTTAATTAGTGTTTTATTTACGCAGGCATTTTATATTTCATATCAGCGTTCACTGACATAAGCACCGGCGAATTCTACATGAAACCTAATCGTTTTGGTAGGCCATGCAAGAGTTAAAACAACAACTAAAGTCAACGATCAATGTTTACCCGTAAACAAACAGTTAGGTTTGAAGATATTTTATCTCCTTGTTCAAATACGTCAAAGAGAATCGAAGTCACACGCGGTTCAATGATGAAGCGTTTTGATGAGAAATTTTTCTTTTCGCGAAAATGCCAAATGAATGAAGTAGAAAGCCGTTTTCAGAGTTCACGTGCAGTTCAAAGTTCTCACAAAATTTTGAATTTTCCTTTAAAAATCTTGTTTTAGCTTCAACACGATAAAGTGGACGTGATCGAGGCTCTTCTAATCAATCTCGAGGGAAAAACGAAAGTCACGATCGTGAAAATTACACTTTAATTTTGCGCTTCTAATTCATTCAAATAGATCTTTATGTTTCCTCGTTTCCTAGGTAATAAATGGCTCTCTGTCGAAGACTTATCATCTGTCACAGAAAATTTTCGTGTACACGCAAAACAGAATTCGCAAAATTTTCTCTCTGAACGATATCTAAAAAAGCTAAATCCTTATTGCACATAAGACTTATACGAAACAATGTTTTTTTTCCTGTCCTAGAACAACATATTTTATACAGCAATTAACACTCATTTAGACCTCTCTTGACTTCGGTTGCGATCAGGCGTCAAACTCTTCCCTTGATGTGTTATGGCAAGGAAATCATCTCGAGTTTGATTGCCGACGCTTTGAAATAAAATCTAATTGGACTATAGGTTTAGTTAACGTATTTCCGATAATCCATGGCCCTTTTACGTTGTTGCAAATTATCTTAGCTTCACAATCCTCAGATCTATAGATAATCGAATAATTGCTTGATCTTACATGAGTTTGTGTTGGCTAACTTCAGAAAGCTTTCACTGGAGATAAGACGGTTTTTAAAACAAAGTTTTCGGCGCACAGCCGGGCAACTTTGCTGATAAACTTTTGAATGGTTCAGAGCGGATTCAGCAAAGCGCTCAATTACTATAAATTTATTGAACGCTACGAAAATTACCTTCGCTACTCGTATTTTCATCTCTTTCGTCTTCTTCTTCATTTCAACCGACGAAGCGTCATCCTGTGAGATATCATTATAAACAGACATTGTAATTTACGAAATATTCAATAAAAAAGAGCATTCAAGTCGAGCGCAGTTTTGTCGTAACCCGGTGAGCGAACACAATTGGCTGCATTGTTTACTGTACGACGCGAGCGACTTGAACACCGAGTCCAATATATGTTACTTACCTTAGAAGGATGACCACGAGCAATTGTACTCATTGTAAATCCGTATAGAGGCTTAAGTTTGTTTCATCTTTTCATTTTGCTTCGCCCTTGAACAATGTCGCCAAATTGTCGTGTTTGGGTAACCGTAAGCTAATGGTCTCACACAAGGCGAAGAAAAACGTTGCAATGAATAAATTTCTCCATTTTGCTCAAATGCTCGTAAGTCGAGCAAGCTGACTTTGAATTGTTTTCCTATTTGAATTTTCCGTCTCCTTGTGTAAACACGAGGCAATTTCCTCTTAGAAACCGCATGTAGTTATTAACTACACTGAATATTAAAAGGGTATGACAGATTGAGTCAATATTCGCTTCCTCAAAGGACCTCTTCCGTACACGGGTCATTAAGATTCATTTATTCTGCTTTGGTACAAAACAATCTTTTGTCTAACAAGTAATAAAGAATTGAAAGAAAATTAATGAGTTTTGTGATAGTCTAAGTGAATAAGGTCAAGTTTAGTTCATATGTTGCACAAACATATTTTTTGCGAAAAAATTCATAACGTCGATCATCGAAACTTGGTCTATGGTTTTAAACTGATGAAGGAGATCTGTTCTGTGTGCGAATTGTTTTTAAATTGAGACATGAGAAAAGAACACAACAGCCTAATGTGAAAGGTTATATTTTCTTGTCAAGCAAATTTGTGCACCAGGAGAAAATAATCACTAAAATGATTGTCTTTCAAAAATTTTTTTTTTTAGGACAATGCGCGAAGATTGGCACTTTTGACATCAAACGATTCCCTTATCCATTAAAACGAATTTACATGAGCTCAGGTCAAAATAAAAATAGAAAAACAGAAATTATCGAAACCGGAATGTTTAGAGCAGCTGAAATAGAAATCATTAAAAATGGGAATAAAGATAATCCGTAATACAATTCACCTTCCATATGGAAACATTTAAGATCAAAGACCCCATTCGGCGCTTAATCGTTCTTGAATTTTCCGGACAAATGAGAGTCGATTAATTTCTTCATTGGAAAACTCCGAATGTCAGCGAATAGACGAACTTTTTCTAATTCAGGTGTGAGAGGTGTCGGCGACGGAATCTCGCTGTGGTGAGGGCCTTTTGATGTTTAACCCCCCAGTCACTACTTCCGGCTGAAAAATGCCGACTAATAGATCGGAAAACTCCGACTGTCGGACGAATAGACGAACACGTTACGGTTCATTTTGAGAGGTGTCCATGAAGATGTTTAGGAGGCAGTTACGTAATTGGGCCGAGGTAGAACGAGGTAAAACGAATCAGTAAACGCTAGAAAATTGACTGCCGATTAACTACCAATAAGGTGGGGGCGGGGGGGGAATCATTAGAATCTTGAAAATTTCTTACTGAAACAACCAAAATGCTCTGACCCTTGAAGGCGAAAAAAAAATTACCGGTCCCTTCGAGACATTTCAAAGAGCGCACTTTCGTCAAAGATTTTCGTAAATCCAAGATTGTATCACTTTTGAGCAATGGACTTAAATTTAAAACCGTGGTCACAATGAGATGCCGACCGCAAACTTCTCTTGAATGCAAATTTACACGCGGTTTTATTTTGTATCTAAATGCAATTACTAAATCAAATGCGACTTGTTGCAATTCCCTCTCCTATAAATGTTCACTCGTCATTTAAATTGGAATATCAAAGACAGATTTTGGCAGATTTTTGTTTTGTCTAACATTAAAATGCATTCGATCTTAAAAAAAAACTTATTCAGTATTGCATCAAATACAACAATCATATTATTTACCCAAAATATCGCAATTAACTCCTTCAACTTAAAGAATGAAAGAAGTGTTTTCTTTTCCTCTACAGATAACTTAAATTTGTTTACAATTCAAATTGTATCTCCTCAAAAAAGTCTGGCAAATATTAGGTTGAACACGGCAGAATTTTTTTCAAGGAAGATTAAAAAAGTCCGATCGAGACAGCACATCGAGGATCTCATTTTTGCCTTCTGTTTTAAAATACGAGCAAGACGATAGAAAAGAAAAGGACTTGTTTCTTATAACTCGACATATTTTAGTTTAGCAAAAACTTGGGATACAAAAAGAATTAGTGCAAAAATCATGAAAACAGAGTTTTCTGGATCGATCGCAGATTGTGGAATGTCTTTGTAGATATAGTCATCCGCAAATAGCCGACAGCTATTGCAAATCAATTATTGTCTTATTGCTTAAAGCTGTCGGCTTTGGGCTAAATTGATTAAGTATTAGAGAAAGCTTGAACATTTCATTTAAAAACGGTTTTAAATAAAATTTTTTTTTTGCTTTAAAGCGCTGGGTTTGGAGGTTTCTTTCGAAATTTAGGCTACGGAGGAGGAAAAAATTAAAAATGTTTGTCAAAATTCACTTGACATTTTCAAGCAGGTGAATTGGAATTACTTTGTACTCTGTATGGATGTTTAAATGAATCAACGTGCTCCGCAAAAAAAAAAAAAATACTTAGCAAAATTGAGGTTTAAAATTGGCTCAATTCTTTCGTTTCATTGCTTACGATCAACTCCATGGGGCAATTATCAAAACAATGATTAAACAACTGTTTGTTATGCAACGCCGTCGCAGACCTCGACAGTTGCAAAATGCCCTGAAAAAACTTTGCATTGTATCCTCCTACGATCTATTCATCGACTGTTTGTCGCGAACTTTGAGCTCAAGACAACACCCACCTCTGAGATGTGACTTAAAGATGTTTTTATGTTCTCCTCGTGAAAATACCCTATAACCTTGGAAAATTAAACTCCTCAATTTACATCAAAATAACTTCTCGGGGAATACTACTATGCAACTAATAAATTATTTTTGCAATAAGCGTGGAAACTATCCCTTAAGATAGGATAATATTATTTGTCAAAAACCATGGGAGTTTCTAAGCGCTCCTTAGAGGTAGTTCATTAATATTTTTTTGTGAAGGAGACTTCCCGCGGACACTCGTTCAAAACATACAATAAATCCTTTTTTTCAATTTTTGTCGGTCGTAATCGCCGTTTTAGGTAACATTTGAAAATGAAGCTTCTTAGTCTAAACCTTTCCGTACACTTAACTTGAATTTACAACGAAAGGTATTGAAACATTCTACTCCTGCGACCAAAATAGAAATCTTGCTGTGTTATTGTATTCTTTAAACGGTTGTTTTCACTCACTGTGATGCTTGAAGTCGGATAATTCAGTTTCATTACACCTTGAACAATCTATCTTTCACAAACTCGAATTTCATCAACTTTTACAGCCAGTTATATACACTAGCCAGGTAATTTCTGGCGTCTGTGACATAATAAGCTTTTACAGGACCGTAATATATTAAAAAATAACACGAATAGAGAAAAATTTAATATATGTCTCAGTACTCGCTTCCTCCTTACGGCTTTGACAAACTTTCCATCATGAGCCATTTCAGAAATTTTCTCCAAAGTCCACGGTCTTCATTTCAATATTTTTTACGGAAACGATGAAATATCATCCGAAGCAATATCGGTTCGAGAACAAATGATCGAAAAAAATTCTGAAGCTATAGCGAACCTTTGGCTGTTCCCTCGGATAGAGAATCCTTGTTCGCTTCCACAGTCTTTGGATCCCTCAATTTTTCTTGCTTTTCATGCAACCTTGTCCTCCTTGTTTGCAAAGGATTTTTTGCTCCAGCTTCTGGCAAAGAATGCTGCTTCTTTACACTGGAATAGAAATGAAAACCTTCGCTTTTTGGCCCGTTTTCAGACGACGACGGCGAACTTGGAGACTCCGGTTCGCCGGCGCACGATCCATGGTCTGCAGAATTTGCTCGTTCATACATCCTTCTCCTCTGAGCTCGGCGAATGTAAGACAACATCACTGCTTGATTCTTCAGCGATGGAAAGACGGGATGGTCTTGCTTTTGTATCTCCGTCAAAATTGATATAATATCGTATTGCGAATAATCGCAAATTATGTTTTGGGTAAAAGGTTGACTTTTTGAATAATAATGAGGTAAAAAAAATAAAACCCTTATATGGTCATTGCTAAGTTTATTAGTATTCAAGACACATTTGCTTGCAAGTGAAATTAGTTTGTACGGATGTCCTTAAATTCTTCTTTTTCCCAAAGGGGAAGAAACTAATCGAACAGTCACGAGAAACTTTGAATCTTTACTTTGTAAAAGCGACAGAAACATGAAAACCACAGCGCAGAGAGAATTAAGAAAAGCAATTAAACCAAATTGAAAAATTTTTAAATTTTTGTTGTGGCAAAAGCTTGCGTACCAAAAAACATGTTTGTGTTCAAATGCGATATCGAGCTCTTTTTTTGTCCTTACGTTTTTTTCCCCCTGATTAGGATGGCTCTTCGTTAGCGGCGGAAATTAGTTTGAAAGCGTATACCCCATCGCTCTAAAAAGCAAATGAGCTGGAAAATAACTTCCACCTGTTTCATCATATCAAATACGCACTAAACTTCATTCTACAGATCCATCCACAGAGCTAGCTTTCAGGCAAAAAAAAAAAGGGATTGTCTTAGAAAATTTCCTGTCGTAATAATTCAAACATCTTTATTTTATTTCATATGCTCTTTTCCTTCCCTTTTTTTCTCGTGTTACTTCAACTGATCAAAATGCAGCAAGTTTTCTGGAGTGCCAACTCGTCAACTCAACAAACCTTTCAAGTACTCAAGGAAAAATTGATTTTAAAGAGCTGTTTGGGTTGCAAAGTGTTGAGTTTCCTTAAAACTCCATTTAGCATAAAGAATCCTCCTCTTTTATTATCTAAAAGAAGCTGATTGCTTCATCCGTGCCTCTTAATCAATGTTTTTACTTTTTGTTTTTATCAAATGAAATTTTGATATTAAAACTGCAACTTACGAGTTGCCAATACGAAGGGAATGACACAAAAAATTGGAGATAAAAACAGATTAAAACTTCTAAAAATGTCGTTTTGTCACGAGCTTGCGTAAGGACATGTCTGTGAAAATACTGAAAGCTTCTAGAAGTACGTGATAGGAAACAAGATTGAAACTATTGCTCTGTCGTCGAATTAATCGTAAATTTTTTAATGTTATGGAAGATGAGACAGAATCTTAAACCCAGACAGCATCATGCGTCATGTCTACGACAAAGAAAATAGCTTCTATCAGACAGAAGGAAATATCAGTTATAATGTGATATAATTAATAGAAAATAACGGCAGATACAAACGAGAATCGATACCTAGATATTAATTGAAAATCAAAGGGTGAGGTAAGGAACATTTGAACTGGAATTGAATATGTACGCCAAGGATATGAAAGCTTTATAGGAAGGGAATCGAGTGCACTCTTTTTATTAACATATTACTACCAGGATGAAGTTCAGCTGTCAAAAGAAAACACCACACATCACGCTTTTGTCTATACATTCTCTAAATACACGTTTTGTTTCTAAGCAGTTTTCACTAAATATTGGAGGTCTGGCTTTAAATAAACCGTGAAGAACCTCATTACACAGGCTAAAAGGACGATGACTCTCTTTTTTGAATCTACCAGTACTGGACACCTGGACTTAGTGGAGAAAGCAAATTACCATCAGTCGCATGTTATGTTTCCATGTCACGAGTTTGTCCTTCAGAATTCACATAACTACTCTACATTTTGAATTCATCGGGGTGGGACACTTAAAGAGCGCATACATCACGTCTTGAATTTGTTCTCTGCATATCTAGTCTCGAATCCAGACCTTCCACGGCTAAGCGGTTGTCCACGGTAGGATCTGGGTACGAGATTATTGTATATCACGAGTTCTTTACTAGGAATAATATAATAACTACTTTGCATTTAGTTTTTGTTTGGCTGTCATCTATTTTTTGTTGAGTAAAGAATAAATTATTAAATAAATAATAGATCTATCTTATCTGTGGCTTACTATTCTTATAAATATACTATTATCCAAGAGAAATATTTTCAAAGGGAAGATCTTAAGTCTAGGTTTGTATTCCGCTCAAAGGGGAGATGAGAGAAAACTTACTTATTAACTGAGTGCATAGTCTCGTACCCAGACCTTCCATGGCCAAGCGGCTATCTTACGTTTAAGTTACACGGTAGGATCTGGGTACGAGATTACTTGGTGTATCTGAATAATTCGAGCTAGTTTTAAAACATTTTCGTTTTCCATTCCTCTTGAGAGGCAACATTAATTAATCGAAGTCATTTACCTCTCAAAATCTAATTAATCTGGAAGCCAGTGTTAAATCGAATCAAACTATCAATAATTTATAAACTGATGAATCATGAACGCAGAAGTCATTTTCCTCGCCTTAACGCCCTCCCCGTGGGCCTAATATTCGCTCTACCCCTCCCCCGGACGAATACGGACACGGGTTTGGGTCCGGCGTAAAAGTTCTCGCTGTTATCCTCACTGTCTGTTGTGTCCGACGTAGAATCGTCGTCCTCGGCGATGCACTTTGCGTCGTTTTTCTTCTTGCTTACAGCAAAACTTTGCTGTTTTTTTCTCTTTCTGTCATTTTCAAGAATTTGATCCGCAAATGTTTCTTTTTCAGTGTCAGCTGATGTCGAAGATCGACTACGGGTTCTCCGAGATCTTTCCTTGTTCTCCTGATAGAGCTGTTTCCTTTTTACCTGATTGGACGACCTTGGAGCAACTGACAACCTTAAATCAGCGTTCGCCTCGGCCCTTTCCCGCGCCTTCCCTCGACCGCGCCCGCGACCTCTTTTTCTTCCCGAGGAGCGGGTTTCCGTAAGGGCGCATGCGCTATCTCCATCAACGCTCTTTTTCGCACGCTTCGCGTGGGCTTCGTTATCATGTTTACTTGCGCTGTTTTTTGTTGAAAGGGTTCTTTTTTGCTCGTTTGGCTCCGTTTTGTCATTTTTCTTTTTACTAAGAGTTTGACCACCATGATGTCTTTCCTTTTTGCTATTTTCAACTCCGTCTTCACTGTTGCTGCTGCTGGGATTGAACTTCCGGTTCAACACTCGCTGGACCCGTTTGCTTTTGACCGTTCTTGTTTCTTGAAACTTTACTTCAAAATAGTTGTTTATTTTCATCTGGGTCTACACAGCAAAGAAGACAAAAATAAACGTGACGATGTAATTTTCCTTAACAAGCAAAATAAGCAACGGTTTGTTTGTTTGATTGTTTTTGTTTTTTCACTTCTCAACCTTTGATAAAAACAAAACAAAAAATAACAACAACAACAGCAAAACCGAGCCAAACAAACTTATATTTCACACTATGGCACATTTACTGACAGTCACGTCACACCAGTGTGGGGTAACATGTTGCGTGACACAATCCTAGCTAAATGTAAGAGGTAATCGCACATTCGTTACAAATCTTCATATCGACTGTCGGCAAACCTCTCCTTACTCTTCGTGACCATATTAGCACTGTACCAATGTCTGCACAGCACAGCGAACCTGACAGCCACGAGTTAAAATTGGAGTTTGTTTTGGTCTCTAGATCAGAATTGATGGCACATTAACATACGACTATGAAGCTTGAAAGGTACCCACCTCGTCTTTGTTAAGTTGTTTCAACACAGGTAAGAGAACTTCATCTGTTCTGGCAGAAGACCAACCAAACTTGTCCGAAGCGAACGTAAGCGCGTTAAAGAATAATACTGAAAAATCTGTCGCACTTCTATAAAAAGGAGAATATTTTCAAAAGAGACTTGAACGCTCGAACCCGTTTTCCATGGAAAATAACACTGATGTAAAATAGAATCCAAAAATTATATCAGAAAATTTTCTAATAATGCAGGCCATTGACGTTTAAATGTTTGATTGTAGGGCAGTTTGAGAGTTTGATAATTTCACAATTTGTCTGCCAAAGGGTAAAGTTTGCCATCTAGAATTTTTTTTCCTTTGAAATGTCAAGGTTTCTGTGGCACTCAGCTTCTCATACAGGGCGCAAGTTATTGGTTCACGTTACCCAATCCCTCCCCCGGCCTCCACCCGGAGTTTTGTCAAGTTTCTCTTACAGTTTACCAGTACCAATCTACACTCCTAAGTGGAGAAAGGCACTGCGAGGGAAAAGCGTCTCACTCAGAAACACAAAAGCAGATCCCATCCTAGGACAAAACCGAGAAATTTCGACCCGGAGTTCAGCGCGCTTCTGCATCTCTTACGGTGACGATCCCGAAAAACATAACAAGACAAACGCAAGCCTCAAGAATATTATTTTTCAAATTCAGAGGATATAATCTTAGTGAATGAAGGTCTGGCTTTCCCCATTCAAATTGCTCCGTCGACTCGTCAACGACAGGATGTAAATAAGCTTCGTACACTTCCTCGGCTGGAAAATCATTCGGTAATTCCAAAGATCTCTACCATGAATAAAAGAAGGAACGGGTGAATGAAGAACGATTTTTGAGAAAAAGTAGATTTGCAAGAATAAGAAAAAACAACTGGAACGAAAGAAGAGGAAAGAAAAGAAAAGTTAAAAGAAAGAAAAGACAAGGAAACAAGAAAAAGGAAAAGGAGGGAGAAGAGGAAAGAACGAAAGAAAAAAATCAAGGCACCTTACAGACGACGTAACTACGTCAAGAGGTAACAAGGAAACAAGAACGTTTTCAGTGAAGCGTTCCTTAGAGACGGTATATAAGGGTGTCTACCAATACACGAAATAATTATTTTGAACATTCTGAAATATTTTGTACATCAGAACATGTGCAGACGACGTCGATGGAAGGAAAACGAGAGGAAGGGCCTTACTTTAGCCCCTTCTAAAACATGAAGGAGCCGACAACATTTTGAGTTGTATATCACCTTTTGCGCGAGTCATTCTCTCAGATTTACACCACGACCAACCTTGCTCAAGTCCGATTTAATCTCTTACCATTTTTCTCTTGACTTTGGTTTCTTGCGGATGTTTGGTACGCTTTTGTACTTCCTCGTGCCACGATCTGCAAAAAGAAAAGAATTCTGATGTTGACAAAAATCGAAATAATCTCCTTGCGGTTCTTCCTTGATACTCGGGCAAACACACTTAAGAAACCACCGCTCATGTATAACACAAGTGAGTTTTTCTTGACATTTTCACTTGCCACGGAAAACTAGCGAGTGTTAATTATGTAGAAAGCTGATTTTTGTTCGCAATTTGATTGGTTCTTTCTTATGATCTATTGGGGGAGGACAGACGCATAGATGACGTCACCATTCATAATGTTTTGCTCCTTTATTATGTAAAGCAAATTGATGCCAAGTTTGTAAACAGAATAAGAGAGATAGTAAGTTTTGAGCCCGTAGAGTCTCTGTGGCTCAGCGGTAGAGCATCGGAGCACGGAATCCGAATGTCTGAGGTTCGATTCCCTATGGAGACTCAGAATTTGTTCTTTGTCCCACGCTCGTGACAAGACTAAAAACATCTTTCTCTACATTCCATGTTACCGTGTATCTGTTTAGAAAATAACAGAAGGCACAAAATGTGTTAAGAACATCAGTGACACACTCGGCTGCGCTTCGTGGTCCACTTTTTCGTTCTTACCAAATTATGACACCATCTGTGATCTATTACTGAACAGACACAACAACATAGATTCCTTCTTTTTTTTTACTTAACTTAGGCATTCTTCGGGTAAAGTGACGGTCTTTGGTTCGAATCCTTTTTCCAGACTGGCAGCAAGTCACTCAATTTAACATCTCCCAAAACTCTTTTCGGAAGACGAGGAGGCCTGGAGGAGAGTGTTCCTTTTTTTGTTTTTAACCCTTTACACCCTAACATCAGTGTGCATATTCTCCATACTGTTCTTTATACATTTCCTAATGTGCTGACAAGGAGAATTTGCTTACTGATCAAAAGCTTCGTTCGTTGGTGATCATTTCCTTAATTCTCATGACCTTATTGTGTGATTCAGGCTGATATTGTAGAGAGAAATTAGATGCTGGTCACTCTTAGGGTTTAAAGGGTTAATTGTAATAAAAGCAGGAGGAGCTCCAGTTACCAAAGACGTCAACTTACTTGAACTTTTTCAGTCCCTCAAGGCCTTCACCTGAAAATTCGTGAAGAAGTTCCATCGCTCCAACTGTTCCAACACCTGATTAAAAAATAAATTAACAAATAGATAAAAATACAAATAAACAGAGAATACAAAACAAACGCGGCTGCCACTCTCTTTCTCAATAATATTCGAGGAAATTTCAAAAGCCGATTAAAGATAATTTAGCAAATAGCTTCCGTGGTACCGTGCGTCTGTGCAGCAATAGGTCACAGATGGCGTCAAAATGGGCGCATGGGCAAGTCACGAGGGAGAGGAGAGTCGAATTTTTTATTGTACCTGTAACGCGGTGGGATCATTAAAAGATAAATGAATAATTAAATAAATATGACAAAATATTAAGTCAAAGTTACCTGGCACGCCTTCAGTATAGTCACTTCCGGTAATGAAAGCAATGCAGATGAGATTTGAACGGTCCAGAGCTGGAATGTAAAGAACGGCTTAGACAAAAACTCTCAGCAAAGTACCAATTAGCAGGGAAGGGAAGAAAACAAATGCCATCATGAATTACGCTCGACATTCCACAGAAAAAAGCGCTCCATGGAAGGTAAAAAAACAAATACTGACCAAGATTTCGAAGCACTGAATCGCTTCCGTACATCTCGACATGCTTGTTCTGGTTGAATATGTTCTTGTAAACTCGTCTACCACCAAACAGAAAAATGTCGCTGTCATCCGTGATGGAACCTTCTGTTAAACCAAGTATATCCAATGTTGCACATTGTGCCTCGGCCTCCATTGGGCTGACAAGATATGGGACACCAAACAACTGAAGAAGTTCCTGGGGAAGGGGAGGGAAGAGGACAAAAAGTCAATGCTGTATCTACTGAGAGAGTAGGGGTAACCACAGTTTTTAACATCGGTGGGCTAGTTAGTGATAAGCTCTTTGTAATTAAAGCTACCGCATGGTACAAGAAACGATATGCTGGCGAGCAAATGTGCGCCTTAGACATCTACTAGAGAAATACTTCTGATGGCTGAGATGTTGGCCCTTCACAATTTAACTCCCTCCCTCCATCCCTGGCTCAGCCTTTCTTCAGATTTTCCTGACAGAGACGCTGTGAGAGTTAAGCTTCTAGCTCAAGAACACAACATAATGATCCGACCTGGACAGGACCCCAGATCTCTCGATCCAGAGTGCACTCTTCCTAAGGTTCACGTGAACTCTCACTAAATCCTGTGACACCTGGGCTAAACGATCAAACTTTTTTCGTTCAACATCATGATGAAAGAGCATTTTTGACTGTTTAGCCGCCTCTCTCAACATCGCTAGGGAAACGCTTCCCAGTTACATTGATCTAGATCAATCATTTCATCCAATATTTAGCGAAAAAATTATTTTGATCGTTTAGCCGGGGCTTTACATATCAGCATGAATTAAAGTCAATCCTTACTTGACATTCTGCGAACATTTCGTTAGACAATGAGGCTGCGATGCGGTTCTGTCGAGCTTGTTCTGATGCCAAAGAGTGCTGTTCTGCTTCGATATTCAACCGTATGTCTTCCAACTCTTCCTAAAAGCCAAAATTAGGAGGAAGAGAGTTAGAAAGAAGGTGCACGTTTAGTTCAATTGAAAGAGAAAATTTTTCAAACAGTTGTCACTGTCGTGGGAAAAAAAGCCGTCTAAGTATCCCAAAAGCTTCAGCTTCACACACAATATGACTTTTAGCGGAGCTCGCGTAGCCCCATACCTATACAAAATAGTAGTAACCCATCAAGCCGAAAAAATTTGGATGTACGACCGTACGACCGACCGTACAAGGTGCTACTTTTAACATGCGTGGTCAACTGTACCGCGGGCACGCCAACGCCACGGCTTTGTCCAGTAGTCCAGTGGTCAGTGCACTGGGTTCCGAGTCAGACGACCCGGGTTCTAGTCCTGTCCGGGGCAAGGCGTTGTGCCCTTGAGACATGCGGGAAAAAAAATGCGAGCTCCGCTTTTAAGCTTGGCTAAATCTATATATTATCGTCAACATCATATTCCGTTAGAGCTAATTTAAAATTTGATCTTCCTGATTCAGTTTACCGTCGACTTTAAGACCATTACCTAAGTATGCAAGCTGCTATAGCCAACTATTGCTAACTATTCTCGGTGGAAAGTTGCGGTACATCAATACATAACGGGAATATCTCGCGGTAACATATCTGTATTTCAATGTCTGCATGTTTACCAGAGATTTTTTTCTCTTACCACTGTAGCACCTTGCCATTCCACAGGAAGACCAGATGGCCCTGGCACAGGTTCACCAACATCCATTCTATCTCTACTCTTCTCAGCAGAATCTTGTTTTTCTACAATTTGAGTGACTTTGATATCAGGATCTTGATTTGTGTCAGCGGTAGTATCTTCTGATCGTGTGGTTTGAGCTTCTCGCTGAACATCTAGAGAAGAGGGAATTTTTTCATCCTCGATAACATCGGAAGTAGTATCGCCATTAGGGGAGGGTATAATTTGAATTTCTGGTGAACTATCTGTAGAAAGCGTTCTCTTTTCTTCCTCAGCAATATCAAAAATAGGATCTGGATTTCGAGTTTCTTGTAAGGTATCAGAGAAAGATATTTTTGAATTCTCTGAAAAACCTTCTTCGGATTTTACAGCAACTCTAATCTCTTCCACTGAACTTGTTCCTGATTCACTTTCACAAACATGTAAAGTATCGACAGTTTTTTCTTTACTCTCTGTTTGATCATCAATAATTAAAGTCGAAGGAGGGTTTTCTGTCTCTTCAATAACGTAGCACTCTGGCTTTCTTTCGGAGACATTAAATACTTCGACAGATTCTGGAGAGCGTTCAAGCAGTTCTATCTCATTTACTTCTGCTACATTGTGGTCATCCTTTGAGGGGGTAATTACATCATCAGCCGTTTTCTGGTGTTTTGAGGCTTTCCATTTCCTTAATAAATCTTCCAGCTCTTTTTTCTTGTCTTTAATCTGAGTAAGCAGCTCATTATCTTCGTCCGAATCCTCTCCAAAGAACGCCACTTTAGCTTCATGATCGCTTAAGTCATGGAGATTGTCTATTTTAGATTTTTTATCGACGCTTTTTGCGTCTTCGCTTCCTGGTAAGGGTGTGTGGTATGTCTGGCTTTTCTGTATTGGAGCTTCAGTTATCTTCGTAACATTTTCATCCATGCTTAGCTCATCGTTCTCAATTCTACCCTTGTCTTTTATTGGGGAGAAACTAAAAGTACCTCTCTGCGCTTGAGAGTTTGAGGGTGAAAGATCAGCTTCTGGAACATCCAGAAATGGCGACAAAATCTCAGAATCACTAGAACAAAGATCATGAATTTCAAAGCTTGGAACTTTTGTCGGGGAGACGGGCTTCGGGCGAGGATTGGTCCAAGTCACTATTTCACCCTCCTGGTCTTCCCGAAAGAAGCCGCCCTCATCTGAGAAATCTTTAGATTGCTTTACTTCTTGTTCATTGCGCTTTATCAGAATGTAGTGCGCCGTGTCTTCTGATAAAATCTTTTGTGAGTTAACGGCGCTTTCCTCCCCAACAGTTTCATCAGATACAATTCCTGTCAGCTCCCCGGAGTTTCTTTGGTTCATTTCTTTACGCAAGTCCTCCAGTCGCTGATTCATTTTCCCTCGTTTTAGGACTCCTTCCAGTTGAAAACTTGAAAAGTCTCTTGCTTGCTGCAACACAGAAATGTTCGTTTACACCTGAGCCTTAACAAGCTGAGAACGAATTTAAGACAAGTACATTTTGAATACTATATACTGAGTGGTAAAACGCAATCCTGTCTTTGCATGAATTTTGGTGTCAAACAAGTATTAACCCTTCGACTCCCAAGAGTGATTATCTGATAACTTCTCCTTACAATTCTAATAGAATATCTTGCAGTCAGGCGTGGAGAATTGAAAAACTCATCAACAAGAGGGTGTTATGGTGTTGCAACATCAAATTCCCCTGTATAGTTTTAAAAGGAACTTTCTGACAAGTCTAATGAAGGAAATCCAGACATCCTGTTCATACCCTCAGATCCACCACTGTCAATGCCACTTTGACTGCAGTCATCACTGCCTTTGTCAGCATTACCACCATTATAACATTGCTGTCATTTCTCCATGTGGAAAATAGAACCACACGGTTGTACAAATTACAAGTGAACCACTACCATTTCACACCCTAACATCAGCATGCAAGTTCTCCACACCATTCCCTATACATTTCTTAAGATGCTGACGAGGAGAATTTGTTTAACAATCAAGAGCTTCTATAGTTGTTGATCATTTCCCTTATTCTCATGACCTTAATGTGTGATTCAGGGGTGATATTGTAAGGAGAAAGTAGATGCTGGTCACTCTAAGGAGTTAAATGGTTAAAATGGATGTCTTCTTCTCAAGGCATAGTCTTGTGGCACAAAAATTTTCAACAGTATTGAAACAAAAAGATTCAAAAGTGTGGCTTCCCTTACCCCAGGCAGAATATTCTTGCTCATCCATGTTTTTTCCTCTCTTATGTCCTTAATGAGTTCGTGTTGTATCTCTGGGGGCAAAGCTTTAAACTCTTCTGAATCAATATCTATTGCTTTGGGATCCTGAAAAGTTTCCTGACAGAAATAAGAGTAAAGGTTGTCAAAACATCAGTCACCACTACTGACAACTGTCCTTCTCAGGACTACACTCACCCGGACGATCAAACTACACTATTACATGTTACTCCCAGGTTCAAACCATTTACTGTAAGAGTACAAATGTTTGTTTTTTTATGTGACCTGTATAGTGATCTGTATAGTGATTTGTATAGTTATTTGTATAGTGATCTGTATAGTGATCTGTATAGTGATCTGCATAGTAATCTGTATGTATAGTGATCTGTATAGTGATCTGTATCTGTATAGTATCAGTTGCCAAGACATGATGAAAACAGTTTTTAAGGAAATCTAGTTTGAAGTGATGCCAAAGTACATATGTGGTCTTTTTTAAATGAGAAATACTGAACGCAACCCATGAGGATTAAGGAAACTTGTTATCCTATACATTAACACAACCACTTATCGTCTTCATTCCTTCAGATACACTTCTGCAAACATGTGGAACAAACTAACAGAGGACCTATTAACGTCCTTGAATGAGTTCAGAACTAAAATATGCCAAATTTCTTTCAAACATCAATACAATTGTTACTTATGTAGATAGTAGTTAATGTACTGTATATAATATACAATTTTATTTTTATTTATTTATTTTCTGATTTTTTTTCCTTGTAAATCCAAGGTGAAATAAAGGTGATGTGATGTGATGTGATCAGACTTTTTTATGAATTACATTTCACCTGAAAATTTGAATTTTAGTCAGATTCACAGAAAATACCTCTAAATGTTGCCTGTGGAACTGTTCTAAAATAGGAATGTCCATGTCTTCATCTTCTGATGAACTATGGGTGAAATCAGAACCAAAATATCCAGTTTTATCAGTGCAAAGATACTTTTTGAAGTTGCTGCTCACATTTTTATGATACATGATAAACGAGTCTTCACATACTTCTGCAATGACAGCCAACATGGATGAAAAACAATGCCAAGGTTGAGCACATGTCTGCATGTTCATGCAGACATGTTCAAAGTCTTTGCTTTCCAAACTATCAAGGCAAGCTTTGAGAGATAAAAAACTGCCATGACTTTGATACTTTTGGCACTTCCAAAAGTACTCAGCCTGTAAATTCTCCCTAACAGTGTTAACATACTAGAGAGAGGTCAGCTAATGAGAACTGATAAAACATCAATTAAAAGACATGGCATTGGTATAATACCAAATTCTCACAAACAGCTTACAAGAAAATTAACAATCCTCATAGTGAGAATTAATGTTCAGATCTTTGCCCACCTCTTAGCATCTGTGACAGCACTTGATGGCAGAGGAGGAAGTTCAAACACATCAGGTTCTCTTGGGCTCCTACTTCTTACAGGGACAGCTGAACTAAAAAAAAAGGTGTATTATCTTACCAAGAATTTTTTCAACTTTGTTATAAAAAAAGCTGAAAAGGAGAAGGATTAAAGAGGTCATGTTTTGACCAATGAGTAATCCCTTGATTGTCTAGAGCAACAAGCAATTAGCCTTTCTTGGAAACTAATCAGTACCCTCACTTGTTTATATTAGTTGGAATTTCTCTTGATTAACAACTAAGCAAATCAAAATATCCTACCAACTGTTTATGGTCTAAAGTACCTCTTCCTCTTTGTGACAGTTTCAAGAGCTTTGGCCTTCAGATAATTTTTGATGATCTTTTCTGCAGCTCTTTTTGACTTATGAACAGCTTTAAATCTTTGTTCCTTTCTTGCTGCCTGTGTTAAGAAAAATTAAAAATATTAGGTAAGGAAGTAATTATCATAAGACAGAATACCAAACAATGTCCTTACAAACTCAATCCTCTCAAGGAAATATGTAAAAGTAAGCTAACACTTCAAACAATTTACATTCACATGTACCAAATTGCTGTGGTCATTTCATTTGAGCCAAAATTGAAGATACTGCCAGACAATGAACGTTCAGTAGAAACATGCTATATCACTGCTCAATTTACATGGCTAACTCATTTCTTATGAGAAATTCTTCAAAGCTATCAACAAGAGCTAATAACCAGCCAAAACCATAGGTGAATCTGCCATCTTTAGTTTCTTACTTAAACCTTATTTACCATAACGATTATAGCGGAGCTTGTGTAGCCCCATAATTATACAAAATAGTAGTAACCCATCAAGCTGAAAAAATTTGGATGTACGACTGTATGACTGTACAAGATGCAACTTTTATCAGCGTGGTCAACTGTACCACAGGCATGCCAATGCCACGGCTTTGTCCAGTAGTCCAGTGGTCAGTGCACTGGGCTCCGAGTTGGACCACCCAGGTTCTAGTCCTGGCCGGGGCAAGGCGTTGAGACATGTGGGGAAAAAAAAAAAAAATGCGAGCTCCCCTTTTAGGCTTGGCTAAATCTATATATTAGCAAAAGATGAATAACTTAGTGCAGCAGACATTTCCCAGTTTTGAATGGAATTGAATCTATAATTTACCAACAACAGGTTTAATACATGTGTGAATCCACTTCACAATCCGAATTTTGTTTAATGGTTCATACAAACTTTGTTAATCATTGTACAAATTTCAGCAGAATACTTCCTTGTCATTAGTTTGATCTCACAAAACAACATAGCATCCACAGTAACCTGGACACCTACTGTTCCATTTGCTTCTACTTTTGAACTTATTGACAGCTGGGTTATTGTGTTACACAGGAAAAGAAGACAACTTTTCAGTGATTTAATCACAGCGTTACAATAACTGTTACATGTACTACATTTTTGAGGCTAACATTTGACATTCTTGCAAGGTTTCCCCTATTGCGAGACTCCAGCAAGGTATATTTTCAAGTACTAGTAGTAAATGTACCTTTTTCAGAAAAATTTTAGAAGTTGTCATGTCTGAAAACAGTGACATGCACAGGAAATAGTTAGGAATACTGTTGTTTCTTTTGAACACAAGGGAAGGGGAGACAAGTTATTGATATCTTACCAGAGTCTTTTTCTTGAGATGAGGCACTCCACCATCAAATACAAAAACTGGTTTAATCCTGTAATACAACAGTTTGCATAATCTACTGAACAAGCCAATGAGATGTGCATTAGGAACAGGATTTCCCTGCTTATCACGCATCCCCTTTACAGCTTGATTCAAGATCACACTGGCATCTGATTATTCACAAGTTAAGGGTTTCAGATTATAACTCATTAGAGATCACTGTATCAGACATAGTTTGATGCTACTCTAATTTACAGATTTAATGAATGCAACTGAAGAAGTTACAATTCATAGACCCAACATTTCAACACTAGCGCCTTCATCAGGGGTGATCTAAACCCTGCAACAAGAGGTCCTTTTATATGATCACTAATTAGCTCCTTTTTTTCTGACAAGGTGTAAATAGGCATCAGGAAGTAAGCCACCATTGTCACAATTTGAAGGAGCATGGGCAGAGTTAATATGCCAAGCTTCCAAACAAAGGCACTGGTGGTAACGCCAATTAGTGGTGTCAATTTTAGATTTATCCCACCCAATTGTATGGTTAGTTAGGCATGTGTGCTCCAATAAAGCTGAATTTTTTTTTTTGCAAAAGAAAACCACTTTTTGATGTTCTCTCAAGTGTATACCAAACTGACGTTTGGTCTGTCTGATGTATATGTTGTCACAGTCATTGCAAGGAATAGAATAAATGACGTCGGTCTGCCGCAAACCAGTAATAACTAGTAGCACTCCTAATGAAAGGGAACCAGCTGTCTGTCAGTTATCATATAATTTATAATCATCAGCATCATTTATCATCATTTTGAGTAAATAACATCATTCAACTGACATCAGTATCCTCATTCTCCATACTCTTTCCTCTACATTTGGTGCTGACAAGGAGAATTTGTTTAACCCTATAACTCCAAGAATTGATCAACATGAAACTTCTCCTAATAATATCCTTACATTACCCAGCAAACAGCTGATGAGAATATTCAAACTTATCAGGTAGAAGTTGTTACCTTGATCTAGCACCAAACTCTCATAACTAATTTACAAGGGTACGTCTAGCAACTAGAGAGGAGAATTACCATCAGATCTTGGGAGTTAAAGGGTAAACAATCAAAGCTTCCCAGGTTGGTGATCTTATTCTGATTATCTTAATAAATGATTCAGAAGTATAACTATTAGGAGAAATTAGATGCTGGGTAGTTTTTGGGTTAAGTGCTAGCCAGTTCTTATAGATTATCCAAAAGTCCCATGGTAACAACAACCAAACAAACAAAAAGCATAACCAAAAACAAAAGACACAAAGAAAAAACAAAACAAAACAAACAAAAACGACAAAATATATTGAAAAAAAGGCTTTGTCAAACTGAAGCCAAGAAATTAACCCTTAAACTCCCACGATCTGATTGGATAATGTATGAATATTATTGGGAGAACTTACATGTCAATCACCTATTGGAGTTAATGGTTAAGTCGATACTTTGCAGTAACAAAACAAAAGATCTTGTCGGCTAAATAATTAAAATATAATATAAACAACTAAATTTAACTTGAAAAGGATACCAACTCCGAGCATTTTGTTTTCAAGCGACTCCAGAGTTACCGGCCGTCCAACAGATTCTAAGAGTTTCCAAAGCCCTTTCACTCCCATATTTCAGTTGTAACAAGTAAAGCTCGCTGTCTTTGACAAGCCGATATTTCACGGCTCAAATTGTATTTTATCATAGTAAATCACCATGACAGGTTCAGGTGTTTCTGACAATTTTAAAATTCGATCTAGCAGCAACATCTAGCGACTGATAACGTTAAAATTTTAAAGAGCATGAATCAGCAATAAAGTCCGCCATGTTGAAAATTCTCGCGCATCCAAATTCTTACTAGTGCCGCTGATTATTTGCAGGCCTTTAACCTCGTTTCCAGAATTCTGTCTCATCAGAGAGAGACGTGTGCGTGGGCGGCAGGGAGGGAAAATTTCGAATTTTCTAGATCTTGGCTGTGTGACATTACGTGGCCACTAAGAAAAGCAATTTTTGGTTTCGTCTAAGCTTTCCCCTCCCACGGCAAGCAAACATTTAGCAGAAACAAAGGAAATCAAACATAATATTAAATATAGGTCAAGATTAGACATTCGTCTTTTCTCTTTTCAATAAGAAAAAATAAAGAAAAAACTAACAAGATAAGTGAATATATTTGTCACGCTTAGAAAAAGGTCACACAGAAAAAAATATTTTGCTTAGTGATTCTAACACGGGAATATTCTCGAAAATACTTTGAAATTTGAATCTAATTTTCTAGGAACGTAGTATTCGACGCTAGATTTCTGAAAAGTTGATTGCATCCGAGGGAAAATACTGCAGGAATGTGAACAGTTCTTGCTGGTAGATTTAGCTAACGACTCCCCCACCCACACTGAAAAGGAAATCAAAGTTCTTATCCTGTGATTTGAAAGCCCGTGACTAAGATCAGTAGGGAAAAACCCTTCTTTGGTAAGTCATAAACTTCCTTGAACAGGTTAATCTTTCAACAGGAGCTCCAAGTTATTTTTCATCATCGTTTTATATGGTAGGTTTGTTTTATGGCCTAAAAAGGTCACTATTTTGTCGAAATTTGACGAGTATATGTGAAAATATTTTGATTTGTTGATCCATAGAAATAAGATTTTTTCTTGCCTTTATTCCGCTAAATGGCGAAAGACACGAACATTTCTCTCAGATTGTAAACATGAATTTCAATCAGGCGTGACCTTTTCAGGTGTTACATGCAAGTACCTTGCGTGAACAATGAATAATTAGGAACGCTGCCCACGCAAAATTTAAAAATACTTAAGTTTTATTTCAAAATCAGTGTTTGAACATCTTGAAATTAAGAAATAAAAATTTCTGTAAATTAATACCCTCCGACGTCTTTTTTTATTTTAAATTTAGAATTGCTTAGAAGATGAGAAAGAAGCTGTTTTTTCGGTTGCTAGGTAAGGGCCAAGGTTAACCACATAATTATGACATCATCATTACCGCAAAACTATCGAAAAAGTCCGTCAGGTGGGCTGTTAAAAGTGTGGGTTTTTTATGCAAAAGGAGAGAATGAAGAACATTCGCGTAACTACCGTATTAGTCCTTCTAGAAAGAAGGGTTCGACTTCCGGTAGATTGGAATCGATTAACAGGTGACGGAATCCCTTTTTTAGAAGCCAGATCAAACCATGGGGGCTAATAAATATCAAGCGTTCGCGTGAATAAAATTCATATACTACAAATCGTCTGGGTTGTAAGACAGTCAAGAACTTCATCCGGAGTCACCGAATATCAAAAGAACAGCGACCGCAGAAAAAAAATATGGAAAGCTTCTTGGACCCAAGAGTAGAACAACTTCTATCCAAGAAAACAGACACGCAGAGATTACAAGCGATTGCGTTCTCCATAGCATGTTTGTGTACCGGACCAACACCATTTCAACCTCCTGATTACTTCCATATTCCGAAAAACAGAGGTATATAAATGTCTTGAAACTTTCAATGTTTTCACTCTTTCCCCGTAAGCGCGAATCAACGAGAATTGTTCGATTTGTCTTAGATTATCGCTGAAAAAAGGTTTATTGACAAAAATTTTCGCTACATTTTTCAAAATTATATTGCTGGAATCGAGTCAGCATTTTTGTGCCAAAAAAGCGAGAGCAACAATATTTGAAGTGCATTTAGTTGGTGAGTGTCACTGTCGTTGCCATGAACATAAAAAAATACGAAGTTTTTTCCGCGTGACTCAAGGTGTGTGTTTTGAAATTCTACCCAAAACTCACAGGATCTCTTGATTTAAGCGAGTAAGCAGCTTAATGACACTGTTTTGAGAAATCCTGAGCAGTACCAAATTTGGTATGCAAATTGGTCTAGTCATATCTATGGCGACATATCCCGTGTTCTTCATGTGATCTAATAATTTGGAATTCGTGTATGATTCCCCGCTTTATATAGATTCTAAATATTTATTTTTCGTTTTCTATTTTAGCGGATACACAAGAGGAGAGCGATGAAGGGGAAAGTGAAGAACTTAAAGAGAGCAAAAGTCTGTGAAAGTGCGACCCTTACATCCGGTTCAGATGTTGAGCTTCGATATACAACAGACCGCGTAACTAGGGACTTATGCGTGACGATGATCATTGCGTGACCGTTCTCACTGTCTCTCCGTGACGGCCTGTTCAACATAGCTTACGCCTTTCCTTACTCCTTGCTGGAAAATCCTGCGCTGCAAAAAACTGCATAACGGGTAAAGCAGCAAAGAACAATTTGTTTATTTATTCAAATATGTAAAAGGATATAAATTTTAATAATGTATAAATGTAAAAAAAGCCATGAAAAAAGTTTTTTTGGTTGAAAATAAAATCCTTGTCAAACTAGACAGGACACCGCTACTTTGAATAGACTGAAAATAAAATAAAATGAAATATCTGGAAATGTATCTCTTGTTGAAATTGGTCGCGAAGTCGGCACTGTTCTATTAGAGAAGCAACATACTTGTGTATACAAAAAGACTTGCAACTGAACTTCCTGTTAGTGTCTTCACTTAATTAGATCAGTAATATTCTTGCAAGATATTTCTTTGAGTGAAACTGGTTCAAATTAGAATGGCACATCTTGGGATCAGTGTTGTTGCCTAAACCTCGTTTTCAGGTTTGCCAAGTGAGGAACGAGGTTGGCCTTACCGAAGACCTTCATTCAATTTTTTTATGAACAAATTTCGGATCAATATCAGTATCTGGGCAACTGCCCACCTACCCCTCCCCTAACCTAGAGCTAGGGGAGGGGTAGGTGGGCAGTTGCCCAGATACTGATATTGATCCCAAATGTTCTACAGAAGGAGAAAAAAAAATCCAATTCAGCATAGATGTCGTTTCAGCTGATTTCTATCCCTCTCTCTCTCTCTCTCTCTCTCTCTCTCTCTATATATATATATATATATATATATATATAAATAACTATATATATATATAAATATATATATATATAAATAACTATATATATAGATATAAAAATAAACAACTATGTATATATATATATATATATATATATATATAAGCAGCGTAGAATTGGTATACCTAACGATGAATTTCCTGTATGATCCACTGGATACAATGTCTCGACGTGAATTAATTGTATTATAAGGACGTAACGAAGAGGCCAACTCTTGACTGTTCTGGATGAGTTTAATGCACGACGTTTCGGCCGTTCGGCCTTCTTCAGGTTAAAAATTAAAAACTAAAAAGCTATTTACAATGATTGCGACTTATATACAAAACAGAAATTTTAAGATTGAAGTCACGCTACACAACAAAGGTCTAAATTACAAACTGAGAAGGGTTAAACAATGAAAAGCAAATAAATTTTCAGAGAAAGTTCTATCTGACGAGCACTTAGGCGCGAAACTCAGAGTAACAGAGAATCGATGCGTCCTCTTTGTCTCTTTCACTCATATATATTTATATATATATATATATATATACATAAATTAAAGAATTAAAGGGGACGCATCGATTCTCTGTGACTCTGAGTTTCGCGCCTAAGCGCTCGTCAGATAGAACTTTCTCTGAAAAAAAAGTTCTGTCTGACGAGCGCTTAGGCGCGAAACTCAGAGTCACAAAGAATCGATGCGTCCTCTTTAATTCTTTAACTTATGTATACTTAGCTCTGCTACCACAGCATTGAGCACTTTATGCCAAGGTAGACTCTACCCACATTCATTTATATATATATATATATAAACAAAACAAAAAAATCATTTGGAAAATCTAGAGGGCGCGTATGTTCCGGTTGGAGTCTTTATCTTAAATGCGAATGATATAAAGTCACTGAGGATATGAACTGTAACACTGATTCAATGGAAAGCGGCGAGTCAGTGTGCATAAAGCGGATGAAAATGTATATCATTACACACTTCGAGACATTTATTCGAAGTAGTAAGCAGCAAAGACACAACGACTGAGAGACATGCTTTTAATTAGTTTACAACTGAACATATCTTTTGCTCTCTCTCAAGATTCACTCTTAATCAAAAACTGGAAAAAAAAAACTTTATGAAAATCTCTACCATCACATAATCATTCAATAGTTGTACGCGCACTCTGTGAACAAAGAAAAGAAAAATTTTACAGATTTTACAGATTTTACAGCTATGAATGCCCTTTTAAAATGGATACAAAAATAACTTTGAATAATTGTGTTTCTTTTCAAGAATTCCAGGCTGACTGATGGTAATCAATATACATTGACCTTATCGGAAAAGCAGAAAATAATAACGATATACTCGTATAAGATAACTTTGGATAATTTTAGACACTTTTTAGAAATTACGACAGCTTTATTTTTGTTCAAAATTGCCGTATGGCAATGGATTTCGGTTCTCTAATTCGCGTCCAGTGGCATCAATTTTTTTCACATTAAACTTTTCCTTGCCTTAGCGAAGCTCAGTGGAAAGAGATATTTCCATCTCCATCGATTTAGGAAAATAGCCTTTCATAAAAGGCAGGAAGAAGGAAAGCACAACTATTACACTGTGAAAAGAGAAATTTACTCCCTTTTCTTCTCTTATTATCCAGATTACGGCCAGTTTTCTTTAATTTTCCTCCTCAATAAACAACTGCGCCGAAGGAGAAGAGATCGTCGGTAAATCATAAGTCACCGACAGAGACATTACATGCGCGTGTAACATTTACGAAGCACGGGAAACGCGCATTCGTGCGCACATGGCTGTACGCATCTCAAGCACACACAGAAGGCCTTTAAATTTGGAACATAATGTTTTGGTTCTCAAATGTCTCCTCTAGGAGCTACAGATAAGTTTAATTGCGATTATTATGATGAATAAACATTTCAGGATTAGCCCTGTATAGGGGAAAATCATTAAATATTTCATTCAGAATTGTAATAGCCACATCTACCCATGTTAGGGGTTAGTTCTTGACTTAAAGAAGTTCGCAAACCAAAATTAACACTGAATTCTGACGAAACACGGTTTTTCTCTGAAAAGAAAGACGTTTCATGGACCATTTTCTGTGCTCCCGTAAGATTTTCCACCATTTGAGTCCTGCTTGGTGATTGCGCTGTCATCTCCAGACCCTCTCCTTCCTTTATTTCCGTTGCCATCACCCATCTCCTCGTCCCCAATCCCCACGGCTGAGCCAACGAAGGAAGAATCTGACAACTCAGTGTCTTTAAGTTTCTCAATAAATGAGGCTTTCTGCATTTGATGGTGAATGTTAGATGCGATCATACTGAGTGTGATGGAAAGGACTGACAGGCCAAGGAATACGAGGAAAATATTCACGAAGACGAGCTGGGAAAAGAAGATTAAGGAACTAAGTTTATAATTATGGATTACACCAGTCGGTAGAGCTCTTTTCGATTGAGTGTCATAAAACTAAAAGCAAAGTAATCGCAACAGCCAATCAAAAGAAACGTTAGGTGTCGATGAACTCAAAAAAGCGCGGGAAAACGCGGGCAACCAAGTCATGATTGATTTTATTTTTACACCTGATTGGTTGAGAGAGTGGCACGAGTTTGTTTTCTGGACCAATCACAGAGCGAAGTAGAGTGAAAACAAGGCAATCCCGGATTTCTTTCGACAGTCAATTAAAATTGCTCTTAGATGTACGCTTGATAAGATGTTAAGCATTCGAAAGGCATACAAAATTAAGAAAAAATAAAAACAAGCAATAACTCGATTATATGGAGCCGGTCGCTAAAATTATCTGTTTTAAATGGGTCTGTAAAAGTCATATAACCTACTCTTCAAATATGATTTCAGAAATTCTGGTCAGTAATGATGAGTGATTAGCATGTAATTTCTCTTTACAATATTACCCCTGCATCACACATTGAGGTCATGAGAATAAAGGAAATGATCACCAACTTAAGAAACTCTTGATTGTTAAACAAATTCTCCTTGTCAGCACCTTTGATATGTATAAAAAACAGCATGTAGAATATTTATACTAACGCTTTGGTTTAGAGGGTTAATTGTACAGATGGTATGCATTCATTGCCATGAAACTGATAGCTCTATCTGGTGACAGTTCTTGAAACTCGTCACTCAAAGTTGAATATATTAATTCCTTATTTCTATCTACTAATCTTTTTTTTTTATACAATATGTTTATCTAACAGATATAACACGTGATTATATCGCTGCGTGCTTAATTGCATGGTATAAGTAGATGTATGCAAGAAATCGCAATATACCTGCTCTTTCTGTGGTACAACGTCTCCAAACCCAATGGTAAGATACGTTATGTATTGAAAATAAAGAGAGGTGCCAAAATCCCATCCTTCTATCCAACAAAACAGCCCAGCCATAAGAGTGGTGAAGAGAAGAAGAATTAACAGACCCATCCACAAAGGAGCGTCCACTTGGCCATCATCTCCGTCTTGGACACTGGAAGAAAAAGAAAAAGGTGTTAGCCTGTTCCAGGTGTTCAGTTAGCAAAACGAAGCGAAATTGTAAACGGCGCGACAGTAGTAGAGGAGTAAAACGCGGCCCAGGAGACTTGGTCGGGTCGCGTTGAGATCGTTCATTGCGCGACTCGACCCAAGCCTCCCTCGTTTTTTCCATTCTACCGCTATCATCGGGTCGTTTACCTTTGCACTTTGTTTTACTACCAAAACGCTTAGAACAAGCTTAAAACTCATTTTAGAGAGAGGCATAAAATTGTTTCCTTAAAAGCCTTTTGGTGCCCTTGCGCTTTTCCCAGTTTCAAAAGCTAAGGCGACTTGAAGCATTTTTACTGTTTGAATTGCATGTTTTTCTACAGAGCCACCAGCGATTCGTCAAGTTTTCGTGATTCCTCGTTAACTCTTAAGTGAATAGCAAGCATTGTGAGAAGAGTTTCCTACCCAAAAACACAGCCAGGGCTCGAACCCAGACCCTTCTATTCCCAGTCCAGCGCATCAACCACCCTACCTCTGCGTCTGCCATTTAGCGTAAAGATAAAGCACAGAAAAAGACGACACAATAGGTTTTATGCCAAGAATCGCATGAATGATTACATAAAACTTACGTTCGTTCATATTCGTATGACTTGTGAACTTTCCTATACCATTTAAGAAGCCAAGCGCATGCGTCGTTTATGTAATCACCCAAAATTTTACCAACGATAGCAAGGAGTGCTAGGGTCAGTGGTATTCCTAGTAGTGCGTAAATGACACAAATGACGCGGCCAGCTACTGTTACTGGGGACAAGTTTCCATAACCTAAGAAAAATGAATAATATTCAACTAAAAACATTTGCATAAAGTATATCAAAATAATTATGTATTCACAGCATCCCTTGATCTAATGGGCAGCCAAATTAATGGTCACAATTTACAGACGTATCCGATTTACAGGCTTAATAATTTAAATCATTTGCAGAGCGTACTTAACAGTCCCACATGAAAGTGCCCCTCAGACTGCTCAATAGAAGACTACGAGCAGTCCCTGTTTTTCGGTGAAGTCCCGCCAGTCAAAAAGACACATTGAAAAGAGAAACATTATGTTTGCACGCTGCGCTAAACTCTGGAAGTTTGACTTGTACGGCAGACCTCATCGAATACCAGAGACTGCTTGTAGTATAGCTCAGTAGCGTTTCTTTGGACAGTCACCTGGTAAGTTTTGATCCACTTGTGCGCGAAAAAATTAATTTAGAAAAATATATTGCAGTCACTCGTAATAAGGATAAGGAATTCAGGAACAAATGGACATTTTTTCTTTCTTTATAAAATTGTATTGTGTCCTTTTTCTTCTCAACTTTTGTATTTTGATTTGTTTCTTTTCGCTACCTATTTATTTAATAATCTATTAAATTCTAGAAAATTAATACCCTATGTAGGGTAATTAACAAACAGAATTCTTATTAGTGACTCGAACAATTAACACGCAAACAATAACGTAAATAGATCAACTGTAATTCAATTTGACTAGAGTAATTGTATTGTAATATATGTTTGTAAGTAGTGCAAGTTAATGTAGTGTAAGCATTGTGTAAGAAATAAGTATAGGGTAAGTACTTATGTAAGTATAGTACATAGAATAAAATGGAAATAAAAATTAAAAAAAAAAAGTTTTGATACACAGATTTCAAGGTTAGAAACACTTTGTACAAAATTACAATTACGGTTACGAGGATAAAAGAAACGATCACCAAGAAGCCCTAGATGGTTATTCCTGTTATCACTTTAGGAAATGTATAGAGAACTGTATGGACAGTGCACATACTGATGTTAGGGTAAAAAGGGTTAATTAATAGCGAGAATCACTGCATACAGCAGGATAAACAGTACTGGCTAAAGGTGCTCCTAAAAGTCGATTATCCCAAATACCAGAGACACACGATTAAAACTGCTATATATTGCTGATACATGTTACTTACCAATTGTAGTTGTTACGGTCATACAGAAGAAGACAGAATTATAGATGTTCCATTCCTTTTTGGCTGCAGCCGTACGTTGGTTGGTTATTCGAGAAAGAACACCTTCAAGTTTTTCTAGATCTTTCGAAGTGAGATTTTGCACTAAACCAGGTACATTTATTCCATCGGATAGCGACAAGTTCTGACCTATTTCAGAATTCTGTAGAGATAAAAAGGGCAGTAAATGGTAAACTATTGTTCATGAAACATTTTCAACGCAGATGTGCGTGCAGACTTTTTACAAGCATCACGTCCCTCCAAGGAGACCAGTAATGATTCGTCACTTGGAAGGGTACAGGGTGGGTCGGAGGATTTTTAGGGGGATCATATGGTTTTCAGGGGGGAACGGAGTGGGATTTGTCGTTGCCAAAAGAGTATGAGAAAGGGTACTATAGAAAGTTGAATGCCATTTAAAGGCTAATGAAGGGGGGAGGGTCATAGGATTATTACAAAGCCTTATGCGGGGATCACAACCAAAAATTCCCCTTCCCCTCCCTCCCTGGAGATAAACAAAGGCTGGTCCCTTAGGACCAGATTTCAATTAGTTCAAAGCGGAAAGACAATACAAAGCTCTGCCCGTGATCGTTTCATCACTCGGACGTCAATTTCCCGCTTTAGTAGCCCTATTTCACGTTTATAAAATATATAAGATATTCCACATGTACTAATTGGTCGAACGGTCATACACCTATCGTATATCACAGTGATTAACCCATAGCTAGTTTATAAAAACAATATACCTCAGTCTCAATCAGTTACTTGACGCAGTAACCTACGTTGAATGTTGGTTGAACACTAGAAAATGATTGAATCACTCGCCTTCGGCTTTACACTTTTTTCGTGCGTGCGAACATTTCCCCAAGGTCATTATACCTTTTATTCGATAAAGGGCGCGCTTAATGGTTCAACTTCCTCTTCTGGGCTTTTTTAAAGGTGGAGTTGTTCTCCGTGCATGATCTCGCTTTTGTAAGAAACATTTCGCAAAAAAGGGATTATTGGTGATAAGTGATCGTGAAGAGCAGAACAATCTTCACATGAAAGCCATCCCTTCGATTAACAGTAAATTGAGGTAGAAATATAGATAGAATTTTCGATTCCCACTGTCCCTTTGTTTCCAAGCATTATTAAGAGAACTGCTGGATTTCCGCCAGAGAAAGCCACACAAAAGGCTATACAGATTGAAATTATCCTCAAAAAGAATTGATTTTCATATCGGAATTTAGTCCTGAAGGCATTAAGCTCCAGTGATAAATAAAAATGTTTTCTTTACGGACTTGCCAAACATCTTGCGAGTTTTTTCTGTGCAATGCAAGCCCTCAATTTCTACATGATCTTGAACGAGTATCGTTAAACGGGTCTTAATTAAAATTGTTAAATATTGATGAATCTCCTCGTTCAGGAAGCCCACAATCTAAACTAGTGGAAAAGATAGTTGAAAGTCTGTGAGTTTAAACTGATAACGCGGATGATAAATGTGAGATTTTTAAGTCACGGAGCATGGACAAAGCTAGCAAAGAATACGCCTTTCTCTTAAGACTTCGAGAAAACTGCGCAAAAATCTTACGAGCATTTTTAGCGTTACAGTTTTGTTGTTATATTTCCCGAACCGAAAATTTACATATATTGAGATTGACTAATAAATTTATCAGAGATGGCGCTCGAATGATTCGAAACGCATGCATGTAGGGCTTAATTTGCATGTTACCGTCTGCTTTAAAGTTATGAAATTTGTACAAAAGCGGCAAAGAAATTTTTTGAGCCCGGTGGGGAATTGATGATCAAAATAGAGTTAATAAACAGAATTTGCATACTTTAAAGTACCGTGGGATTTATTTATCAATGGGTTTACCATCGGGTTATGAATTTTTAAGTTATACTTGATTTGTGAGGAATTGGAGGCTTGCCAAACTCAATTTTTTGTGTTTTCGAGTGCTTGAAATAGAGTTCTCTTGCCTCGAGATATTGAAACAGAAGAGTATTCTACTTGATCACACCGTAACGGAAGATGCTTCATTAATAATAGATAACTTATGCTTTCATCTAATGGAATTTCGCGTTGAAAAAAATCAATTGATGCGAGTTTGCTTTTCTTTCAAACGTAGTCACAGCTTTAAGTAAATAGACGTATCCGATCAAAATTTGATAACGTTCCAAAATATTCGTTATTTCTCTATAGAAGAAATATATTGTGTGCTATGTTTTTTTGTTCCGAATTATCAGTATTGAATTATACATGATCTAGAAATCTCGTACGTTTAAAATTGTCTAAACGGTGTTATAGCGTCCTAGCGATTTCAAAGTCTCCGAAGCAAAACTTGACTCTATCGAGCGTTTCAACTGAAATTGCGCTCGCGCGGGGCGGCATAATTGATCTAGTATTTTCCACCAACTTACCTTCAAAACATTGAAAATGTCCACCAATTCTTGGGAAGTATTTACAACAACTTTAGGTTGCCGCTCCAGAGCCATGAATATAAGTCCTCCTAAAGTTAGGTAAGCGGCGTTCAGGAGAATCATAAAGAGCGGAAATGCAGCTCCTTTCTTCTGTATTTTCTTTTGGATCCATTTCACACATTTCAGTGAGCTTTTGATTTTGGTTTTATCAATGCTTGGGAGATTCATATTCGGCAGCATTTTCTTCCGATCTCCTTCAGTGTCATCATCTTTGTCTTTTCCTTTGAAAAGTGGCATGTTCCACTGTGAATACTGCGCGTAATTTGACGATAAAATTCTTTGGGCGTTCTGGGCGTCCAGACGCTGAAATTATATCAACTGCTACACAGTTCGATGATCAGCCCGTACAGTAAACACGCGCTATTCTCTGAACGTCAAAACTGTTAATTTTCTGTTCACAAGAAGTTTTGCTTCTTTCCTTTGAGAGTTATCCGTTGTTTAAAGACAACTTGCTTCGATCGAATCGACGTCACATGATTGCAAGGAAGAAAAAAATTCACACTTGATATTCCTTCGAGATTTTAAAACCATTGGAGCGAAGCTAAAAACCACAGCCCACGAGATTGTTAAAAACGCATTGGACCACATAAAGTATTCAAAAATCTGCAGTCCTCAATCATACTTGAACAATTACTCGGCGCCTAGTTTCTCACTTAAGAGTTCAAATTCCTTGATGAGAAATCGAATCAGGAAAAGTTTTCTTGCATTTGTATCTCTTTACATTCAGCATTCCGACTCCATTAGAACTTTCTGAAAACAAACTTCACTCTTCGGCTTTCTGTCCCCAAGCCTACGCATGGATTCCTGCAAAGAATAGAATAATTACGATCCATTTAATATGCAATGCAAACACAAACAGGGTAATAACAAATTTTTTTTTGTTTAGATCGTTAAAAATAGCGCGCAGACACGGTAGAATCGACACAAAATTTTATGGCAAATGTGAATATTGTACTGTTTAGGAATTGAAACAAGATCGAAACAACTTCTTTTTTTTTTTCACGATCGACTGCATTTCAAATAATCATGTGCATATGTGAACATTATAGGAAGTGATTGTCATTTAATTAGCACTTTATATGTATCAATTCACTCCCTTTTTTCCGTACTCTCAAAAAACTCACTGGAGTGTTGTCTTGGGATACCAAATACTACGGAAAAACCGTGGAGTTGTGACAAAAAATGTTTCCCAGTGACAGTGGAATGAAAATCGCAGTTTGTTGTAACGTGATTGTTCTACCTGTGACTAGACGGTCTAAAATCTTGTTAAAAGATTGAATTGAAAGGAATGTTGAGTGCTTTCGTAAATTTGCATGTTGGCCTCAATATTTAATATCGGTTGCCATACACAAGCTTCAGTAATTTGTTTGTTAGATGTAAGGAAAAAAATTTGAAAATCAACGACTTCGAACCTGTTCCCACGTCACAATTCTGGATAAAATTGACAAGAACGTTTCTGCCCCAAAATGGGTAAATATTTCCGTCAATACTTTGGGTTTCGGGTATTTTACAAAAATAATTTTATCTAGACTCGATAAATTAACTGTGCTTTTAACTAACTTAATAAAATGAAGCTGGCAGACACTGTGATCGAGAAGGACTGGGACAGAGATAAGGGCTTCGTTTGCGGTTGCTTACACCAATTAAACAAGCCATTTTTTTTCATGCTTTTTGCAGAGATCGTTTTCGACAGTTAAAAGCTCTTTTTTTTTCATGATGGAAAACATCGTTTCCGAGCATGGATGATAGGCGGAATCAAAGAAAAAGCTATTGCTTTTCAAATTTCGTTTCCAAGTATAGCAGAACGACCAGCATTCAACTATTAAATAGTTTTGTGCTTAGAACAGCGTTCAAATTAGAGTCGGAAATAATTCGGATTGCTTTGGTTTCGTCTTATTTCACTGTACGTGTGATTGGCCCAGAAAATTTGCGCTACTTTCTCGACCAATAAGATTTAAAAGTTAAACCTATCACGACTTGGTCACTCGCGTTTTCCCGCTCTTTCAAATTGAATTCTCATTGGCTCGCTCCTTTTCTTCCTCTCCTCAGATCATGATTGGCTGTTGCTACTACCTTGATTGTGGAATCAAAGCAGTAGACACTGAATCGTTAAAAAGATAAGGCCTGCATACGAAACTGACTCACATTACCACCTTGATACGTTCTCGATGTTTCTATAGTTAAAACCAATTTTAAGAGTTTTATTTTCAGTTTGAAACTGTTGGCCTTGTTGTCAGTGCAAGGCCCACTTCTAAGAATGTTATCTAACAACGGAGGTTATCTCTTATTTTAAGCCTGTAGTGCTTCATATTTTTTAATCACACGGTTGTATGAGCCGCTACTATCTCGCATAGAGCACAGGCGTGTTTATAACTTCCAAGATTAAAAAAACACCACCAAATGAGAATATATAAAGTGCATTACGTTTTGGCAATAAAATTCGGAGTAAGTTCAAGAACGAATATCATAGACGTGTTGGCAGTAAGACAGTGGTACATTAAAAAAGAAACTATTGTGGCCCAAGATTCCTGGTGTTCCTCGCTTAGCGAGTTTCCTCAGGCTGTATCTTCCCCTAACTTCCCAACGCAAGCTACAAGGTGCACATTACATGCCCCAACTCGAATTTCGATAATAAAACAAATAACGCAAAATTATAAACTCTCAATTCAAACATCACAACTCAGAGTTGCATCTCGCGGAAGTTCTAATTTGATAACTTTCGTGAAATCTCTAATCACTGAGGACCTCTTTCAATTCATTTACATGCACAATTTAAATATTCAAATTACCAATGCAAGTCGTCAACAAATTATACTGTAAAACCGTGCTTGGTTAGCTTACAATGTAGAGCACTGGACTGCCGTGCCGTGGTCTGGCATTGTTATTGTTTCCGTGATACAAGCAGCTATAAAGCTGAAATGATTCAGCCTGTCTGAATGACACAAACAAATGAATCAATAAATAAATAAATTTAATTTACTTACAGTTTTAGACGTTTTGGTGATGTTTCTCTTCAACTGAGAATTCCTTCCGCCAAATGATAATTGATTTTAAATAAAACTCTCTGTGGAAACGAAAACGTTTTAAAAATTTTCGGGAAAATTAACGTCGGTAAGTATGACGATATTAAATTGAAATTTAGGTAACCGATATGCACTTAGGGTTTTTCCATCCAGTCCAGTTCGTTTCCGCGTGGCTTATCGATCATTGTGACCAATCAGAAGACAGGTGGGGGGTCACGTGAGGAGACCGCCTAAAGCCAAATCAATTCAGCCACATGGCGGGCTTATAACACGCACAGTTGTTCTCTCTATCGCCCTAAGGTCTTAGTCTTAGCAAAAAAGGTTGTGGTTATTAATTGTGGTGTGGTGTACTGGCAACAAAGTATTTATTTTCTTTCAAAATGTAGTCACTTCAGATATAAATCGCGATATTTTGGCTAATTCTAGTCTTGAGCTTCTTCAGGCGATACGGTCGACTATGTGCGTGTCACCGAAGAAGCACGCACGCGCATTCAGTTGGCTTCATAGCCTGAGGGACACAAGACACAAGTAGTGTTAGGGGTGGAATCAGGCGGGTAAACAGATTGAGTGAGAAGTCCTGAATTAAAGACTCTTCGTCGAACCTTTTTCTCCCCAAGACTAACAATAAACGATTTTACGATGACTCGAGTTGCGTTTTCCCCGTCAGAGGAGATGGAGAAAGATCAAAAATTTTCCTTGACAACTCCTCTTTAAAAAAAAGTATTCTCTTTTTTTTTACGAGGCGCCCATTCACACCAAAGCTCATTAAACATGTTTTAATCTCTTTTGTTAAACACGGAATAATCTTTTTTTAACACTGAAGGTGCTTAAACCGATGTTTGTCGACTTCAAATTAAGCTCGTTGAAAATACAAGTTACTGACTTTTTGAAACCAATGTTAAATTCAGTTTTTCAGTTATCTGTTTCTAATTTTCATTCAGTTAAACCCGGTTCAACTAAACACGTTTTGTTGGTGTGCATGAGATAGTATCAATGTAAGTTTTTTGCAGAAAAGACTTTCTAGCTGGTGTCTACAATCATCCAAGGCCGACTAGTTCCAAAACGGTAAAGGGCTTATCGAAAATTTAATTATTCTTCGACAAGTCTTTTTCTATTGTGCTGATGAGTATTTTTGACAAGTATTCATTGCCAATGTATACAGCGAAAAGAACTTTTTATCTTGATAATTGCCCTTCCCAGCGCAAATCTTAAAATAAATTTTAACTCTAATTTCATTTTTTTTTAATCTTGCTAAGATTGCCAATGTTTCTTCAGAAGAAACATTTAAACGAGTCCTAGTTTTTCTGACCGAATGCCTACGAAAAAGTAGGTCTTCCACAGTGTGAAATGTTTGAAAAAGTGTTGAATCATTTCAACGCTTATACAGTGCCAAGTTTGTCACATCAGCTGAGAAAATAACACGTTTTCGAAAAACAAATTTTGCTAAGTAAACTTTAAAAAAAAGATTATTCATTGCAACATGTTCCTTCGTTTTGTCTCGAGAAATGGAGCCGAAATAACGTTTTCGTGGTCGACGAAGTGGAATCAACTGATAACGTTAGTTACTGTGTGAAAAGCAGATCGAGAGTTATTACTTACTGAAAAAAAAAACTGTTGTGCTTTGTAGGCAGGCAAGGGACTGAAACACTTAGTTGATTATTGACGAAAAATTGTTTAGCGTAGATAAATTACCGTCACGTTAGCTAAGTTTTAAAAGGCCTTATTCCCTCATTTGACTCAAAATCAGCTTTTTGAAAATTCATTGTAGGTTATCAACGTTAAACTTTGCGCTAATAATCATTTGAGCACTCGACTGTAACTCTGACCAAAAAACTAAGAAATACGCACAGTTGACCAAGAACGTTTGTTTCAGAGGTCAGACTTAAAACTACGGCATCTAAGCAATCAGAATCTCTTTATAGAACGAAGTTTTGTTTTCCACTAAGAACAAAAAATTAACTGGATAAAACATGTTACCTGAGTAAGTCAGCAGCGCACTAAATAACAATTAAAGGTCATGTTTCGGTCTTAACTCCCCGTCCTTTTGTGGAGAGTCACTGGGGGTCTCTCTCGCTGATGAGCCGTCGTTCTCTTGCATATGGATACCGAGCACTTCCGAAGACACGAAGATAATTGCGAAATGATACGAAGGTCAACAGATCCCAACCGAGCTGGGATGCGAGATATATAGTATTATTCAGATCAAGGTAAACATTACACGCTATTCTATTTATACAAAGTTTATTTTTTTGCTAACTTTAAATTCTGTCCCCACCCACCCACCCACCCCCCCTGTCTTGACGCAGTTCAAGAATCTTATACGAAATCGGAATTATTTGAAGAGCAAAAAATCTTAATTAAGGTATGTCGAAGAAAATGTTTCGAGAAAAAGAATTTTCAAGCCATACATGGAATTGCGAAAAAAATTCGGATCAAGAGGTTATAAATTGTTCGGCTGTAGAATAAGAATTTGGAATATGATATTGGTTTAAGTGAAGAAATTTCCGAAAATAAATGCTCTCTTGTGAATATCCCCCTGCCCCACCTCATCCCTTTTTAGAAGATTGCTTATCATCACCTTTATGAGGCAGGGGTTTGAAGAAACATTGACTGGAGGCACCAAACACACCATGACTAGTTCCGGAGGATCGGCTGAATCTCTTTATCCGTTTTCTTTTTTCCCTTTTTTTTCAAATAGCTCACAATACTTGTTCAAATAAATGCAAATGGCTTATTCTCATGGCCATGAGTAATCTTCAAGTTCTTTATTGTCGCTTCGTTCTTCGCCATAGACTCATTCTACGCACAACTTGGTTACATACTTTTTCCGCTTCCGGTTCCGGCCCAACCCTCACCCTCACTTCCGACGGGGCCCTTGACGCTAAATAGAGACTGGACGCTTACGTACATTCTATTTCCGTCGTACATCGCTTGTAAATCACTTATTGCGAAGGGTTCTTCAAACAATCGGAGAGTATTTAAGTATATTTGCGCTCGATCGTATTTCCATTCAAGGTACAGCGATGGCAAGGATCTTTCGTCGAGCTGCGAATAAGGTTATAAACTCCAGGGATGGCCACGGCTCTCTTGGTCTGCTCATCTTCGACGAAAAAGTTGTGTACGAGAGTTTCCAAAAGCTGATCATTGCAAAAGCGGACGGTAAGTTTCATTTGTGTTGGAAAGCGTTGTTTACAGGATATTTTCTGCATTGGCTTACTGACTTAGGCATTAATGCTTGGAGAGTAGATCTGGATCGCTGTCGAGAGTTTCTTGTGTACAAAATTTCAGCTCAAACAGGCTTCTACTTGTTTAGAATATTTTTGTTACGAGTTTTGTAATCAGAAGCCATGTAGCTTGTCACGCACCGTTGACTCTGTTTCAATTCGAAGTTTCGATCAGGTGGCAAATTAGTGAATATTAGACGATCAAGCCTTCTTCAGCAAGTCTCACTCGAATTATCAATAGAACGATTCATATTAGCGTGGTGCTGTCGCTTTGTACTTTGAATTTGCCACGATAACGTCAAGCTTCGATACTCCAAGATGTATTACCGGAAGCTAGGGGATATTTAATCGAGTGAAATATGTCATTAGTTAGAGTTGCAATTGAATTTTTTTCCTGAGACATCGAATATCCGCTTATTTAGATTTAGAAAGGAATTTCGCCATGTTTGGTACGAATAATAATGGTTGATGTGAGAGAAAATAAACAGGAGAGTCCAAGGGTTAAGCGAGTGACGTGAGTGAAGGTTCCTTATGGGGACTCCCCTAGCAGAGGATTTTTTAATTCATGAATGCGCATATATAGTTTTTCTCACTCTCAGGAGTGATCAAGGTTAAATTTTTGTGCGAGATCAATACCTTCACGTGTAGACACATTTCAATTTCTCTAAACCAATATATGAGGAAAATGAAACAGTCAGGAAGAAGAACTACTAATCACAGAAAGGTTGGCACTTTCAGTCAGAGTGAATTTTTTTTATTTCTATCAAAGTTTTCAGTTTCTGGATAATATATGTTTATGCATTGTAGGTTACAGTCTCCCAACCTCCCCAAGAGTGACCAGCCTCTAATTTCTCCATACAATATCACCCCTGAATCAAACATTCAAGTCATGAGAATTAAGAAAATGATCCCCAAATAAATATAATCTTGATTGTTAAACAAATTCTCCTTGTCAGCATCTTAGGAATTGTACAGAGAACGGTATAGAGAATGTGCATACTGATGTTAGAATACAAACCGCTTGGTCAAGGGATCTCCCTCTTAACCCTAAGATCACCTTTAACACATGCCATAAATCCTTTACACTCTTACATCAGTATGCAAGTTCTCCATACTGGTCTCTACACATTTTTTATAATACTTGTAAGGAGAATTTATCAACCAACAATCAAGAGCTTCTTGAGTTCACAATTGGAGGGCTCAGAGCAAGAACGATCCCTTGATTTTTCGGCCATTTTTGAAAGTGTTCAGAAGTAGTTGAATTTTGGCATGTGGACACTTTCAAAAATGGCCGGGATCGTTCTTGCTCTGAGCCCTCCAATTGTCTTCTTGATTCTCATGACCTTAATGTTTGATTTAGGGATGGTTCTGTTGGGAGAAATTAGATACGTATTTGTTAACATAAACGATTCATCTCCCACAGCATCCTTAGGTATGTTAAAATGGGCCAAGAATGAAGAGAATCTCGCTCTGCAGGATGTGTTCAGCAAAGTGTTTGAGGTGTCCACAATGTGGACGACAGTTATGAAGGATTTTACAGAAGAGGTATTTATAATATTTGTACTTCTTAATCTTTATTATTTCTTAAACAAAAATATTTCAAATTATTGTGTTGCTTTATAGGGAAAGTAATTGTTAATCCTTTAAGTCCCATGAGCAACCAAGACAAAATTTCTCCTTACAATATCAATGCAAAGTCAAGCAGAAAAGTGATGAGAATAAAGAAAAATTTTAACTAGGGGATTATTAGTTGATCTAATACCAAATTCTCCAAACTAACATCACAAGAATGAAATGGCAGACAGTAAGGAGAATTACTAATGAGATCTTGGGAGTTAAAGGGTTAACTAGATTGTATATGAAATCATGAGTGAGATTAATTTCATAAAAAAGGTTGTGGTTTTCATCGAGGTGAATAACAATAAAAACTTAATTTTTTTCGTTTGTCTCATGACGTAGTCACATGTGATGTAGATTGCAATGTTTTGACTGTATACTGCTAGTCTTCTTTGCCTGAAGAAGACTAGCAGTATGCCATTGAAATGTCCTGATCTACATCACGTGACTACATCGTGAGATAAACGAAAAAACTTAGCTTTTATGAGTGAGATTTGTTAGAAATTTTCGTATGATATATTGTTGTGTGATGTTAAGGAACTTTTAGCTATTTCAGATATTGTGACCTACCTCTCTAATCCTTCACACCCTAACACCAGTAGGCATAGTCTCCATACTGTCCCCTTACATTTCCTAAGGTGCTGATGAGGAGAATTTGTTAAACAATCAAGAGCTTTTATAGTTAGTGGTCAATTCCTTTATTCCTATGATTAATGTTTGACTCAGGGGTGATATTGTATGGAGAAATTAGATACTAATCACTCTTCAGAGTCCAAGGGCTAAATATGGGAGATGGCCATATGCAGATTAATTATGGATCACAATCTAGACACTTCTACTCTTTGCATTGCAGTATCACAAATATCGGAAAAGTTTCAAGGAAATTCTTCAGCAAGAGAAAGTTCTGAATGAATCAAGAAAGAGGGAGGCAGTTCATGTAACAAAGATGAACAAAATTCAAAAGCAGGTTGAAATTTAAAATATTTCAGTCAGTTACTTACTAGAATGTAATTATACAGGAGAGTGGTTTTTAAGTTAGTTTATTCAAAGTTGTCATGTTTTATTTTAATTTTTATTTTTAAACCTGATCAAACCAGTAAGAACTTACACTTATAGATCCAGAAACCAAAATATATTCATAACTTCAATTGGTGTTATGTAATTTTTGTTTTGTTTTTCATTTTCAGCTGGATCAAAACAGGAAGAAATCTGATGGAGCCAGACCAAGAACAATATCCAATGAAATGGTTGAGGTATGAGTAGGTTACAATTTTCTAGAATCTGATTTTATTGTAAAACTGGATTGAAATAAAAATTTTGGTCCTGGTAGCTTCATAATTTAATATCAACCCAAAAAAAGACTCAGAAATGTCTAATATATTACTTCCACTAACATTTTAACACATATTTCTAAAAAAAGTGTTGTGAAGAGACAAAAAGATTCATTTGGGTACTCAATGTTAATTTCTTCTCATCACTTTTCTGCTTGAAAATGTTTGATTTCTCAAGGGAAATTCCAGTCACTCTGGGGTGTGAAAGGGTCAATAATCCTGAAGCAAATATGGGCTTGTTAGGAGAGAATCTTGAATCAGATCAAGGGAGCCTGGGTGTAAATACCTCTTTCCAGTGATGTATTTGTTGGCATCATTTTGGATTTCTTTTCAATAATGAATTTTTTTCAGCAGATCATTTCACAAGCTGAGCAGGAGCAAGCTGAACTTGAAGTGAAAACAACCAAGCACGAGATCTTTAAGGTTTAAAACTCATGTCTAATTAGAACAAATTTTTTCAAAGACAAAATTATTATAGTCAAACCTTGTTTATCTGTGATTACCTCGATTGTCCTGATTTTTTTATCACATGTGCTCCTGCTACTCCAGTCCCATTTTTTATGAATATTTTGATAAGTCACAATCAAGATCCATAAAAACATTTTTCCATCAAATAAAGCACATTTTATGAAGCTCCTGTTGGAACTTGTTCCACTTTTCATAGCTGTGGGATGTTTTTGGGGATGTTTTTAATATACTTTAGATGGTTATACAAGACAATGTTGGTGCTATTCCACTATTGAAGCATCAAGGAATGATAGAAATTATTGCGAGCACTCACTGATTTGTGCCAGCATTTTAGGTAGATTTAAAATGTCGTTGGTCATTAATATAAATGTCTTCAATTATGTGGGCTATTTTACCCAGTCTTCATGAGCTTTGACTGTACTATCAAATCAGGTGGTTTCATCTTCGATATCTGGTAGGAGATTATGTGCTCCGAAGGATTTTGATTACTAACACAGTTAAGATGATTCCAAAGAAAGAGTTTACTTGTTCATATCTCACAACAAAAATTTTCTTTCCCAGGCTCGTAAATTGAGGGAGTCATTGAGCATGATTTCAGATGGGCTTCAGCAATGGGCATCCAAGACAAAATCAGTTGCAGAGACATACAAGAAACTTGCTGATCTTATCACAGATACTCCAACTCAACTCTCAGAAAGCAAAGTTTTTCATGGTATTTGCTATTATTTATTGAAATAAGTGATAACAATTTGAATTTTTTTAGAGACATTTCCAGTGCTTGGCACTCAGTTTGTAAACAGCCCTATAACCTGGACCCATGCCATATTTGTTGTTTGCTGTCTCAGTAAATAGAGAGCTTGGCTGCTGTTAGTTTACCATTGTCCAGTAATTTTGCTGTTTTTCAACCTAGTTCCTAGGGTTCTCTCTTTTCCTCCCTCAAAAGAGACCGTGGTTGGGAATGGTCATGTGTCTCCCAAAAATTTAGAGATTAGAAAAATCAAATTGAGGTTGGGTCTCATTCATAAAATTTTGGTCAATACTACCTGGATGGGTAAGGGGACATATTTCGTAAAAAACAGCGACAATTTCACTCTCCAGCCAATGGCATTGAATTTCTCTGACAAAATTAACCCTTTGACCCCCAGAAGTGATTAACATGTAACTTCTCCCAATGATATCCATACATCATCCAGCAAACAGGTGATGAGAATACTCAAACTTAGACAAGTAAAAGTTGTTATCTTGATCTATCACCAAATTCTCATAACTAATACATAAGGGAATAACTTAAAGCTAGAAGGGAGAATTAATAATCAGATCTTGGGAGTTAAAGGGTGAAGTCAATGACATACCCTCTCTGAGGTGATGGTCTGCATGGGCTCATGACCAGCTAGGGTCCTTTCTAGGAACAAGGTTGTTCAATTGTCCTTTTAATTTTCGACAGTCAATTCAGATCATAATGCCAATTACTCTTATCATTATGTACACATTTATTATCTATTGTCTTGAGATAAATGTTTATTAATTAAAAGCTATCAATTATTAAACAAATGGTTAACTTCTCACATGTATCAAAGCAAAATAATTTGGTCAACTGATATAACCAATACCCTTAATATAATCCAACACTAATTAATGAGAATTAAATTCTCATTTGCAAAGCTGGTGACTTCATTTATTTTCTTTTTAATTCATTCCCAGGAGCTGGGCAATCAAGAAGCATTGTAAATGATCTTGCTCGACAAATTTCTATTGATCCTGAAATTTCTGCCCAGTTGGCAACAATGTCACAGTCTACCCGCTCTTATCTGTATGCCGTGTCTGGGCCTGTGAAGCAAGACAGTGCTAAGTATCATTATGCAGAATTAAATGCTGCAATAGACCAGAAGCCATCAAAAATGCCTCACCAGCATCTACGAATCAAGGACAGTCTTGTGGACCAACATGCGAGGAGGCCGTTGTCACTGAATGACCTGAGGCCACCACCAACCTCACCCCCACCCCCTCTGCCAAAAAATGGTAAGCAGCATGGATATTACAGACCTTGTGGCTCAAGTCAGGAGTATGTGTTTTGTAAGCTGGGGTGTCCTGTGTTAAGCTAAGTGGATTGATTGCTGCAACCAATCTCTCAAGTTGGTTGAGTTACAAGATAGATGTAAATTTTGGGCATAAATGCATTGAACATACCAGAGACACAATATCAACTTACTTTGTTCCTAAGTATGTTTGAAAAATTCATAACTTCCAAACACTTGATGTGACGAAGAAAGAATGCTTTCTATTCATGTCAAGTATTGTAAATTTTCTCTCCTTTTCTTTTCTTCTTAAGAGCACATTTAAAACATTTTAAGCTAATTACCCAATTTTGTATTTTTCAATGATTTGCAGCAAAGCCAGTTGTTTTTAGAACAAATTCAGCAAAGGAAAGCATAGTACGGAAAAGTGAGTACAAACTAATTATTATAAAATAAATAAATATAACAGTAATTGCAAATGAAAAATTACCACTCTCTGAATTTTTTGAGTGCCCATGGAAACATGGATTAACTAATTTTTTTTAACTTAATCTATCCACAATTAGCTTTTTAAGTTTTTTCAGAAAACAAACTTTAATTATTTATAATAAATATAATTTTAAGTATAATTTAAACTTTTTTTTAATTTTTATGTTAATTGTAACACTAAGTGATTGTGGCTAAAAGAATAATACATTCATAAAAGCTTGAGTTATGGTTAAATGCTGACTAAATGTGCTTAATTTCTACTCCAGCTAAGATGAATTCCAAACAGTCAACTGGAAAAATCTGGTATGCAAGGACAACCATCTCAAGCACTTCAGATTCTGACAGTGATGGATACACGGAACCTGTTACAGATGCTTCGTTCTTTGAAAGAAGGAAAAACATGCTTTGTAAAGTACTAAGTGATGGTGCTATAGACCAGGTGGGGGTACACACTTATGCTAGTAGAGAAACTGGCTATGCATCAACTAGCACAAATTTTTACCATCAACTGGAAAAAAGACCCTCAGGAGAGGACAAGGTTATTGAAGAAAATGAACCTGCGAGCTACGTTGATCTGATTAATAATTAACAACTATTCACCAAAGTGGAGGTGGCTAGTGTTGGATATTTACTAAGCAGAAAAATGGTGAGGTAAATATTCAATGCTATTCACAGATGCTGAGGTGAATAGTTGTTTTTTTTGTATGTGCTAATTAAAAATAGTGGGATGACATAGCCCAAAATGATGATTTTAACTAATTTATTCTTACAACAATTTCAATATTCTTGGGTGGAAATCCTGCTTGCATGCTCTGAGGTAAATACCAATCAATCAGAGTATGCCTTCAATGCCATCCACAATTCTAGTATACACTTATTACAGATAACCGTTATACACATTAGTGTTGCAAATTATATTTTAATAGTGAATTTAAATTGTACATCAACTTTTTATTTACTAACCAAAGAAAATCGATATTATCTATTTCAATTACCAGGTTTTCTGCTATTTTAATAGTCAACAAGTTTCAAATTATGGTTTTAGTTTTTTAAGATTTAAGATTAATTTTGATTAATTTTTCTGGAAATTTGTAAAATTCATGAATTGTTACTGACTTAGAGCAGTTCTAGCAAACAATGGACCAAATTAACCTTTGTAAAATAAGTTCTAACAATATATAATTCAAGTGATTGTTTACATCACAGAGGATAGATAGATAGATAGATAGTTTATTAAAACTGCATTGCAGCCAAAGGCTGAATTATGCAATTTTTACAAAAACTTTACAATACTTGAAATTACAAATGAATCCAAAAAATGAATTTTTTAATTTTATTAAAAAATTCTATATAATATATTCATTTTGAAATATGTTAAAATGAATCCCAGAAAATAAATCAAAAACTGATTTTTAAGATAATATTAAAAAATTCTATATAATATATTCATATTGAAATATGTTAAAATATAAAGCATGAATATAAGTGGGATAAAACTACAGCCTGGACTGTTTCAACATTGCATATATAACTACTAAATGTGCTCAGTCAGCCTTGTGTTGGTTCTTTGCCAAAATCTTTGAGGTTTAATGATTGTGTTCACTTCTGAACATGCAATTTTCTTTTCCATGGGGGAAATTTTGAAATGATGCCACCTTAATGTTGAACATTAAGTTGCCATTATCATGTTATTTTAGTTGTCATCCAGTACTATTACAGGTATAATAATAATTATTATCAATAATAATACTGAATCTCTGTATTTTTATAAAGTTGCAAGTTTTCTCAGGGTAGTATTAAATGTGTGTCACTGTTCAACCATGTTCAAGTAGACTAGAACAAAAGAGTGTATTAAATTCTGTGGCTTGACTTTTTACTTTTCTAAGGTTTAGACTGAAATAAGAAAGTGTTCAGAGAATGTATTTTTTAGACAGAGAAATCTAGTTTTTTAACCCATGAAGTTTTAGTAGTTTTATTCACAATGAAGCTGAGTTGAAAGAAAACAAATTAGCAGTATTTGACTGCACAGAATGAAATATTGCAATGTAGATAATTATTGTACATTAAGTGATTATTAGAAATAAATTATTACAATCATTAGAAAAGATTGAACATGACTGTAGTTGTCATTTGTTTGGTTTACAGTTGTAATAAGTCATGGCTGGCAGCACTAACAGTTTGCTCCCAGAAAATCTTTCAATTTGTGTCAAAACTAATAAAAATTCATTTTCACTTAATGATTAAGTTTTTATACAGGTTAAACTAATGAAAACATCAAAAGCTCTTTGTCACTGACTCCATCTACAGTAGGTTCTTGGTCACAATAACTCATTATATGCATTAATTTCTGTCCAATCTCATTAAGGGAATTGCAGCTTTTGGGTTTAGTGACAGGAAAACCAAAGTTGATAAGAACTCCTTCCTCACCCACAGGTACACACTTTTTTCAACCTTCTTAGAGCATAAAAACAACCTTTTACATAACTACCTTATACTATTGCTCTGACGAAGGGCTAATGCTCAGAACATCAGCCTTTAAACTCTTTACGGTGATCAATTTATGTTTTCACCTCAGTTGTTAACACTGAATTACCTTATACCAAACTTACCTAAATTGTTCTGTAGTTCCTACAGTGAACATCTCATCCTGTTTGTCTCTAGAAGCTGCACAGATATAATATAGGGCAGAGAATTAAGGGTCAAACTAGACAGTTCTGTTAACCTCACCTCTCTTCTAAAATATTGGATGATGTTTTGTCAACAACGAAAATATCACAACAGATTTAAAAAGAACACTGCAATGTGCTTTGATAAAGGGGTTTGAGTTATTTACAAGTATTATGCACTGAAGGACTTGACAGAGAAAAATCACTTTGGATTTAGGTTTTGACTTATTTGGGACAATTACTGTACTTGTAAGTATGAAGAAAATTAAGAGCAAATCAGTTGTGATTTGAGTAAGTGTGAGATTTCAGTTATGAGGAGTCAATTGTGCTCAAATGTTTAGTCTTAAACCTCAAAACTCCCACAAGTGATCAAGATGGAATTTCTGCATACAATATCAACCAGACAAGTAATGACAATAAATAAAGATATCATTAAGCAAAGTATTAGTTGATCCAATACCAAATACTCAGAACTAACATCACAAGAGTTGTATGGTAGGCTGTAAGGAGAATTACTAAAGAGATCTTGGAAGTCAAAACAGTTACGAGTCACTAGAGTCACTTGGCAGGTGTTCTTCTGTTAGGTCTCCATTACTCTGACTTTCTTCTTCGTCAAGAAACACTCTCTTCCCTACAGCAGCCACAGGTTTCCTATGGTGGTGCCAAGTTCTTTTCTGGAAAGCCATGATACAATGAAGATTTCCTCCTGTCTTTTTGACATTTCTTTGCAGGATTCCTTTATGGAGTTGACGAATGTTGAGGTAGAATGGGGCTTCATTATTTAAATCTGTTTGAATGTCAGTCCACCTGAGACAAAGGGATACAGGTTACCAATTATTAAAAAAAAAAAAAGCACCAGATTTAAACTGAAAGTGTTTGCAACAAAATCATATTAACAATGAATGAAACCATGGATGGATGTAATTTCTAACAATGGTTTTGCACCTCTTGCAGTGAATACTTGGATGTTTGCAACTTGGGTCCCCAATCAAAATCCATGTTTCCACTTCATCTTCATACAACTGTGCCCTATAAAAATTAATGTCCAATATTCAGCGCTAACATTTAAATCTTAACCCTTAAACTCCCATGAGTGACCAAGACAGAATTTCTCCTCACAATATCAATACAATATCAACCAGATAAGTGATGAGAATAAAGAAAAATATCAATTTGGGATAATAAGTTAATGCAATACTAAATTCTCTGAACTAACATTATAAGAATTGTATGGTTGAGAGTAGGGAGAATTACAAATTTGATCTTGGAGTTAAAGGGTTCGTCAAGGTGGTAAAAGAACAGGTAATGAAACTAATGGCAATTATAAAGCAGGAAATGCAGTTACTTCGTGGTTGGCAAGCTGGTAAAAGTGCGGTGACATCTGTACTTGAGCCAAATGGTTCATTTGGCCAGAGCTTTATCCTCACCTGGTTTCTGTCACATGAAGCAATTGGGAATATTGCTACTTCCCATGACCCCCCCCCCCCCCAACACCTCCTCAGCATTTCATAAGATTTCCCTAACAGTTAACTGGTACCCATTCTTACTCCTGGGTGGACGGAGGCTATGTAAGAGATAATTATGTTCCACCTCCAAGAACACAACACAATGGCCTAACCAGGTGTTGAGTCTACAGACCTCTCAACCAGGAGTCAAACCCATCAAGTGATAGGTCACTGTATCTCCTGGTCGGTCTGCTGGACTCAACATTTTTCCCAAATTCAAACTCTGGCCTTATCAAAATGTTGTACTACCAGACAAGAGGGCCTCTCCTTCCAGAAGAAGCAGGTCTGAGTAAGAGACTGAAGTAAATTGCCACTAAAATTGGAATAAGCCACCATAAGACAGGTCCCATGGTTTGTTAACTGACTAATGTGACATGCAAGATTAGTGTAGTGGTCATATCCCCTTTAACCTCCAAGATCTAATTGTTTATTCTCCCCTCTAGCTGCTACATATGCCCTTGAAAATCAGTCACAAGAATGTGGTGTAAGATCACAAAAACTTCTACACGATAAATTTGAGTATTCTCATTACCTGTTTGCTGGATAATGTATGGAGATTATTGGGAGAAGTTACGTGTCCATCACTTCTGGTAGTTAAAGTGTTGAGAAGCAGAGAGGAAAAGTTAAAAATTGGTCGCCTAAAGTTCACCTGTATGCGTCAGCAGCTTTAAGGGGTGAATCCTCATATCCAATGGGACAAAAATAGTGGTTATAACAATGATAAATGAAAGACATCTGAGGGTTATGTAGGCCCTTCTTGAGCTGACGTAAGGCTTCTTCTCCACTCAAACCAATGGTTCGACTCTTTCCCTTTGGTTTATATAGAATATAGGTATCCCCATCCACTCCAAAGTGATTGCAGAGTTGTTTGAACCATCTAGAGCATAAATTTATGTTCCTCTTTGTTAGTAATGTAGATAGAACTGAAGTTCTGATTTTTCTTAGAAAAGAATTTTGAAGAATTCTGCATTGCTTTCTGCCACTTAACTCTTTAATCACTGCGAGTGAATAGCATATAATTTCTCCCAACAGTATAACCCCTGCATCACACAGTAAGGTGATGAGAATAAACGAAATGATCACCAACTCAATATTCTCAAGATTGATGAACAAATTCTTTTTGTCAGCACCTTTGGAAATGTATAGCAAATAGTATGGAGAATATGCATACTGATGTTAGTGTGCTTCTCTCTTAAGGGTTAGGAGAGAAAAAATATATTCTCAACGCCATAAAAACTACCATGGACAAAAATTCTGAAAAAAAAAACCATTTCCTTGGTGTTTTTCTATTGGCTAATTTATTCCCCCCCTTTTTTTTTTTTTTTACATTTGGCTTGAAATTGCATTCAAAATACACTTTTTGGCTGAGGAATATTTGATGGCCTGCTCCCTTTCAGATTTACCTAAGTAATATTGAAAATCACACTTTGTGAAAAAAAAAAATGTTCAGACAGACTTAAACTTGATATCTCTTACCTCATTAAAGTTGCATTTCCAGTGAAAGGTCCAAACCTTATTTCTCCAAATGGTGGTTTGAATCCCAGTATGTTTAGTGCATCCTCTTGACTGAGGGGCTGTAAACTAGAAGATAGTGTGTGCATAACAATTATTCCCAAATAAAAATTTTGAATTACATTCCATGAATCAGCTTAGAAGCCAGAACACTTGTCCTTCCGCAGCTTTGCAGCGCAGATAGGTTACAATCTGTTTCTCTGTGAAGTTTTAAAACTACAGAGAAAAACTGCTTTCTTAACTGGATGTGGTTGTTTTGACCTACTACAAAATTACTTTCTCAGGGTTTAAAATGAATCATCTTTTAAAATAATTTGCATCTATGCTTGTGCATAAGTATGAAATGCTACCTTATATCATTTTAAGTATATCATTTATAATTTATTACATATATTTTCTTGTGCAATTCAGAATAAGTACTGCAATTCATAAATCTCATGGCCTCACACAATTTTGGGGTCTTTGAGAAAACTTATGGGCTTATTTATTCCAAATTGCACTCAAAATCATGCAATTGCCTGTACAAATAAGGGCTTTCTGCAGGCATGAGTTCACTGCATACAGAGTAGAAATTTTAAAGAACTCACCTGCCTGCACCAAGAGAGCTAAACAGGAAATTCCAGCAAGACACCACAGATGAAATACCACAGGACTTCTTGTATTGAGGCCGGCTTATACAATACCTGGCATTATATTATATAAAATTTGATGTATTTTAGATGTTAGCTTTTTGATTTCACTTAAACCTCCAAAGATCAGAAAAGTTCATTCTCCGAACTGATGATTTCACATTTTATTTTTTGTTAGCCACTTTTGAGAACTTTTTGGTAGTTATCAAAGAATATTTCCTAGTTGATAATTTTGGTAAAGGACTTTTTGGCTGAGCAACAGCAACTGGACAAAGGGAAAATGAAGCTATCTTGACCAACTACCCTTGGGTCTCAGAGGATGGGAAATAGAAATAACCAACCTCAGACAAATGACAGAAAATTACATGCACCCCATCAGCAACTACTGGCTCCCAATAAATACTGTGTTTGCTGGCCCAAGTTTGAAACAAATGTTGCAAGCTCTACACTGAGGTTATATGGTTGGCAAATTTAGCTGTTTTGATGAATGCCCCAATAACACCTGTCAAGCAAAACATATTTGGTTAAAGCAGGTGGTTAAAGCAGGTTTAACTTAAAAAAGATAAGCAAGAGAAATCTGAAAGACTACATGTAAATTTTACATAAGGTTTAAAACTTTAAGTTATCACTAACAGTTACTTTTACTGTGCTAAACTTGACCCCAAAAATATCTCTTAGAGAAAATTTAGTAATGAAAAAAAATTTCCAACCAGGTTTGAAAAAGCAGCTTTAACCCTCTAACTCCCAGATCAAATTTGTAATTCTCCTTACAGTTAATCATACAATTCTTATAATGTTAGTTCTGAGAATTTAATGTTGGATCAACTACTTATTCCCAAATTGATATTTCTCTTTATTCTCATCACTTATCTGGTTGATATTGATTTGATGATGCAATGAGAAATTCTGTCTTGGTCACTCATGGGAGTTTAAGGGTTAAAACATGTTTCAGCTTTGGTGCAAATGCATTATAATTATTTATACCATCTTCTCAGGTCTAGCACTTTTCTTCCAGCCATCATTTCTTGAGAAGCAATATTTGTAGAAGCCAAAAATCTCCTGTGTGGTCCTTGATTATCAACAGACATGCCATCAATATCATCATAATCAGCCGGCAAGTCTTCATCTCTGTCTCTTAAATACTTTTTGGGTAGTTTCTTCTTTTTCTTGGATTTGAAACAGTCTATATCAACTTGCCATGCACAAGGCAGAGGTGCTTTAGACTGCTGTTGCTGTATATTATCAACTGCCACAGACATTACAGGTTCAGATAGGCTTTTACTTGCACACTTTCCCTGCAACAGCTTTTCCTCTGAGATTAAAGGCAGTGAAAAAGTGCTGCATTCTATTATTTGGTCTTCTCCTTTAACCCATGATGGACCAATTCTTTTATTATGTTCTCTCATCCATCTATCAACACCATTAACACTGCGGCCACTGTCTTCTTCATTAGCCATGCATTTTGTGTTAGTCCCTGAGGATCCTCTGAAAGTTTCACCCGTGTTTAAACTGCATATGTTGCTAGACATTCCTTGAAGAGCAGGTTGTGGAATCAGCTTCTCTTCATGATGCATTGCAGGATTAGATAGGCTTTTACCTGAATACTTTCCCTGAACCAGTTTTTCCTCTGAAATTAATGGCAGCGAAAAGGTGCTGCATTCTGTGATTTGGTCTTCCCTTTCAACCAATGATGGGTCAACTCTATCAATGCCAACTTCTGTCTTCCATCTATCAATGTTGTAATCGATGCAGTCACTTCCTTCTTCATCAGCTATACGTTTAAAGTTAGTCTCGGAAAATTTTCTAGAAGATTCACCTGTGTTGCCGGACATTACTTGGAGAACAGGCTGTGAAATATTTTCTTCATGTTGTACATCGCGTGGAGTACACGTTGCTGTCGGCGATTTTTTACCAAAATTTTCGGAGTCGATCTCGAGTTCTGGCACAAGATTATCACAACTTGACGACTGTGATCGCCTCTCCACAGTTTCATAGAAGCTTTCCTCGGAATCGTCCCAGCTGTCATCCACAGAAGATAAACAAGTTTTTCCTCCATCCTCCTGCAAAATGTTCTCAAATTTGTCTCGGTTTGAACTCCAAACCAACCCCATGTTTACAACTGCTATAAGTACATCAAATGAAAATGAAGAACAAGTGTGCAGTCCTATTTGCAACTGAAGAAAACTGCTACCAACTCAGCACGCAGTGACCTGCTAAAATCAACGGGAAACGAACTATTTCGTCAAAATCGCTGCCAACAATTTAAATCTGTGTATCAAATTTTGAAATTTTTCCAAGTATTCTGAAAGTGGCGCTAAAAGAGCTACCGCTGACCGTGGCAGAGGCCGCTTGAAGGATTGTGGGAAATTTACACGAACGCCTGAAATATAAATCCGGCTTCGATCACGATGCAAATGCAAACTTTTGTTTACCAGCTTTGATTAGATTCTAGCATAGTTTCGTCCCATGTTATTTGCAGGAGGCCGCAAGGACATTGTTATTTTGACTTTTCAGCTGATTTCTCCATCACCAGGGTGCCAAAGGCGCTAGGAACATCTGTCTTGATTTTTCTTTCGGGGGTTTCGAACCACTCTTTGGTGATAATCAAAGTTAAGAAAACTTAAAGAATTCTTTGAGATGTCTTCTCCCAGCTCCCAAGCGATAGCTAGACATAAATTCAGGTACCCTATCGGAGACACATACGATGGGGAATGGAATAACGATGGCAGAAAGCACGGAATTGGTGAACTTACCCTGGTCGACGGAACGAAATATACTGGACAATTTCAAAATGGGTTTTGCCACGGACACGGTGTTGCGAAGTTTCCCGACGGTTCCCTGTACGAGGGCGAATTCGAAAACGGAAAATACCATGGCTATGGAGTTTTCACGCGAAGTGATGGGATGCGCTTTGAAGGCAGGTTTCAGAGTGGAAGAGTCGATGGCGAAGGCCGAATTACCTTCCCAGACGGGAGCCATGGGAGACCTCGACAAGAAGGCTATTTCATGGGAACTGAACTTGTAGAGAGACATCGAGTGAACGAATCAGTTCTCAAAGCACAACAGGCTCTTAAAATGGCTCGAAATATAACGATCTGAGAAAGAAGTCATTCCAAGTAACTAGTTGAAATAAGTTTTAGTTGCTTTAATTTTTTTCTGCCGCATAACATGTAATTACAGTGACGAAGTCAACTGAGGCATATTATGCTCTTACTTAAGTATTTTATCTTACGCGAAGCTTTAAGTTAAATGATCGTTTATGAAAAAAATAATCTGACAGGTCAATATATATTGTTACACCCCTACGACTTATTGAGTATGCATGGCATAAAAGATAAGTCATCGTGGGAACTTGATACGGAAATTTGTCACTAACCCTCTCTCGTGTAAATAGGAGCTTCCGGTAACCCTAACCACCCGAATATTAGTATGCGTATTTTCCATACTGATCTCTTTACATTTCCTATGGAAATGGCTGGGAGAATTTGTTTAACAAACAAGAGCTTCTTCAGGTGGTGATCATGTCCTTAATTCTCATGACCTCAATGGTTGATTCATGAATGCTACTGAAAGGAAAAATTAAATTTTAATCACTCCTAACCCTTTATATCCTACGATTTTTATACATATCCACCACACCAATTTCAAAACATTTTCTGAACTATTGACGAGGGAAATTATCTACCAGTCAATAGCTTCTTTGCTTGGCAATTATTTCCTTTTTTTCTCTTTACTTTTATGTTTGATTCAGGGGTGATACTGTGTGGAGAAATTAGATGCTATCACTTTTAAGAGGTGAATGGGTCATTATAATTTTTCCCTCAATTGTAGTTATAACTTAAGTCACTGACTTACTTTGGAAACAGTTTTCATAAAGCAATTTGTCCCACAGACTTGTGTATGAATAAATTTGCAGTCCACCTTTTAAATCCCAAGATCTGATTGAAAATTCTTCCCTCATCTTCTACACGTTTCCCTGTTAATCAAAACCATTACAATTTCCTCAAATGTGACTGGTGCATCACTTTCTTTATATTTCACTAATCACTCTGTACAGTTGTAATCGGACAGTTTGCTATAATTGGACACCTGGAATCAGACAGTTGAAGCAGCCAATCATACTAAGTCCACTCAGCTAAATCCACCAATCACAGAATTGATAACAATAACCATAGCAACAACCACTTACCATGAAAAACAAAAAACTAGGAAATTTCCGACTATTTTGCTTTAGACATTGTTCTTACAGGAGATGTTTGTCCTAAATTTTTTTTTCTGGAAATTGTAATGGTTATGATTAATTGGTAACAGGACTTTGTGTTTTCCAATTATGTCTGTAATCATACTTGTGATTGACAAATCAGACTCCCACTTTACAGTTGTCCAATTTTGTTAATCACTTGCATGATTACTGATGGAATTGGACTCCACTTGTTCCTATTACCATAATTAATTAGTTAGGAGAATTTGGCATCAGATTAAGATGACAACCTCTGACTGATAAGTTTGAGTATTCTCTCTTGTTTGCTGAAAAATGTATGGACATTATGTGGAGAAATTACATGTTAATCACTTCTAAGAATTTAAGGGTGAAACATTATTTCTACAAACTATAAGTGAGAAGTTTTTGCTCTATGGGCCCTCTGCAATATGAACACTTCTCCAAGAGTGAAGTGCACTTAAAACAAGTGATCTGATGACGACAAGGAATGACTACACAGTTTGGTTTCTCAAGAGTGCATATAATGCAATTGTCCTTTTGAAACCACATTTCCTCCATCTCTTTAGTTGCTGATTTCAAGATTTCAACAATGGAGTTATCAGCATCCTTAGAAGCCATCACAACCTTGGAGAGCCTCTCAAACTTATCAGCAAGTCTTTTCCGCAGAATATCATTCCTGTCGTTTAAAATGCTTACTTTATGAGAGTGTGCCTTTTCCTGGTTCTTCACGTCTTCCTCTGCAGCTGCTAACCTTTCCTGGTAGAAGATCTTGTCTCTTTCAAGATCAGTTGTTTTGTTAGACATTTCCATGCGCAAGTCTTGTAGAGATTTCTTCCATCTCTCACTGATCTCCTGTTCGACATTGACCAAGTTTACTTGTTGAAGTACCAGGTCTTTCTCAAGGGCAGAAATCTTTGACTGAAGTTTCATGAGCTCCTGAGCATGGCTTGTATCTCTTTCAGAAAGCTGTGCACTCAGAAAATCCTTCTCTTTCTGAAATGTAAACAAAGTTTTAATTCTTGTTACACAAGGCAAGTTTAAAAAAACGGTCTTGACCCAAGAGTATCAACAGTTAGGCCAGGAAAGCTATTGAATTACTGGGCTCCCTGTAACCTGCTATGTACTGGCATCACACCTACAGGGAGTAATAATTTCTGCTTTTCCTTTCATTCATGTTATGGATTTTGTAACAAGCTGTGGTAGAAATAGCCAATTGGCTTATGTTCCAATTTCAACTTCTCATTATGCAATGTCATCTCTTTGGACACTAATACCTGCAGAGTCTCTTCTCTCTTCTTGATCACTGACAAGTTTAGGGACGTTTGCATGGATTGTGGAACTTCATGCAAATCTTGGCAAAATGGAGGGTTCAGTTCGCAAACCTGCATTGATAATGATGCCAACAGTTTGACGAAACTGTCATTGCAGTCGTTTGATGGCCTATTTCCAGCTGCAAGAAAAATATGACAAAAATAAGTAAATAAATAAGCACAGTGAAGAAGCAACTATAGGGTGAGGTTGGGCATGATATTATGAATTATCAGTGCCAAGGTCTGAATTATCAGCTGAAGCTGAAGTCTGAGGCAGATAATATAGACGCAAGGTTTGATAACTCATGACACAATGTGAAAACTGAATTCAATTATTATTTTATTATACATTTATTTTCAAACAATCTGCAATCTGTGAGATAGCAAAAGTTTGAGAACACTGCATGAACAAAGGGCTTGGAAACTAGGCAGACTTTTGAACTGGACATGATAACCCAATAACTGCTGCTGCAGATATTCAGTTACCATGTCAACTACACATGCTATTGTATATTGACTGAATGATCTAGAACACTTAGCTTATGTGTAGCTGTCTCCTGCCCCCCCCCCCCCGGGAGAAATATGAAAACTTGACACAAATCATTCCTCCTTAGGGTAGGAGGGTAGGAGGGTACTGCCACACATAGGCTATTGACTGATCAGAGATTTCCATAGAAAGTCCAATGTATAATAAAATATCTTATATGTTGGTTCACAAGGAGAGGGGGGTAATAATCATGCCCCTCTCTCAGTCAAGAGGAACAAGACCCTTGTTTGCACATTGTATATTCTACTTGAGCAAGACTCTTTATTCGCCACCAGGAACCACCAGGGGGGTAGGGATGGTAGAAAAGGTTTAGCTCCTACACATGATGTCAAATGTGGATCAAGTTCATCCATGCAACAGGGGTTTTTCCAGTCACCCTGAAGAGCTCTCCTAAATCCCTATTTATTCAATTATCAACTGTAAACATATTCAAAATGCTGTGCAAGAGAAGGTGAAAACATATCAGGGATTAGCACTCAATCATCTCATGAATCATCTCAAGAAACCAGACTGGCTCCAGGCAAGATGGGCCACTCAGCTTGCCGATTAACTCCTTAACCCTTTAACCCCCAAGAGTGATTAACACCTAATTTCTCCTCACAACATCACCTCTGAATCAAACATTAAGGTTTTGAGAATAAAGGAAATGATCACCGAATAAAGAAACTCTTGATTTTTAAACAAATTCTCCCTGTCAGCACCTTAGAAAATGTACAGTAAACAGTTTGGAGAATATGCATAATGATGTTAGGGTGTAAAGAGTTAAAGTTAAGCAGATGCATCATAGGCCTTAGTTTCTCAATCTTCACCCTGAGGGTTCAGAGCTGGATTTCTCTGCTTTTCATTTAATGAACTTACCTTGTACCAGCTTGTCTGATTGCAGAGACAAGATGTTAAACACAATCAAAGCTTCTCTGCAAAAACACTTCCTTTGATGTGTTTCACAATGGTGATCTATCTTGCCACTCAACAAAGTGCGTGGAATGTCATAATGACCAAGATCCTTTGAATTTATAACACTTGCAGTTCCTGAAGATTCTAAAATATCTATAGTAGCCATGCAGAATTCTGGCTTGCACAACTTCATAAGCTTTTCAACATGCTGCAGAACATCAATTTCTTCTGGAGTCAATTCTGCAAAAGGAACAATAGCTGATTTCTTTGTCGAAGCCTTTGACATAATGGTCTCCAGGGGTTCCACTACACCAGACTTGTATAACACTTGAATCAAGACCTCATTGCACATCACCAGTTTTTTACTAATTTCCCTTTTTATTTCTGTCAGTAAATCTGATGAAACTGTGTTTGGTACAGGATATGCCATAGATCCATGAACAGCAAAGAAGTGTTGTGCTAGAAGCGAGGAAGATGTCTCACTAAGGTAAAAGTCTGCATGACGCACATCACAAGTTTTGTTCTCCTCCAAGAGGCTATAATAGTATGGAATCAGATCTGGTCTTTCTTGTATTGCCTGTATCCACATGCTGCTTATCTGATGATCAATGTCACTGAGATGAATGACAGCTCTTCTATCCCTATCAATCCTGAGGTGAACAAAGTCAACTCCTGATGCTAATCCATCCTTAGAAAGGTCCGACACCCAGACACCTTTGACATAAAGTTGACCTTTGTAATGATCACCTAAAAGCAAAGTTCCTGCCACAGACTTAACAGAGTCTGTAGGCGGGCTAAGAAAGAGGAACCGCTTTAGGTAAACTTCCCAGTCCTCACGACAGAGAGGAAAGACAGTCACAGATGTGTTCATCTGTTCGAGGTTTGTCTCGTAATTGTCATTATACTTGTCATGTTGGTCGTCATTGTCGTCATCATCATCATTGTTACTTTCCTTCCACCTGCCATCAACAAATACTGTCAGAACTTCTTCGTCAAACGTCTCATCGTGAGATAATCCAAATCTCCACCGCTCTTTACCAGTCTTCATGGTAACCACTCTTCCTTCTCTCACTAAAGCCAGTGCACCAACTTTCAGTCCTTCTCCAAACTGTCCAATCACTTCTTTGTTTGAAGCTTTCTTTGAGAACCCAAGAAGCAACACTTTCCTCATAAGCTCTGTGTCATGGTTTATCAAGGTGAGTTTTTGTCTGGTTGGATTATAATCTATTCGTCCCAGTTCAATGTCCCAGCCTTCCCTGTCATCGCCTCTGGCTCTGTTGTCAGTTACTGAAGAATCGAAGGTTTGATGATCAGGTTTTCGCGTTTGATTCCTTCCACTCACTTCTTGATCATCTGAGTCTATGTCTTCTGCTGCTTTCCTTTCTAATTTTAGGCAATTTTCAGCTGTTAAAATTGCTTTATACGAGAGTGAATCTTTTTCTTTCGTATGGTGAAAGGCCAATCTTGAATTCGATACGGCTCTCAGTTTCTCCAGCGAGAAATACACCCCATCGTGCCAGTTTTGGACAACTTCACGGATTCCTTCCCAAGTCTTCCATGAGGGTGCATATCGAGCAGTTAAACTAAGGCTAATAGATTTTTCTGACGGTGACTCTTGAGCCATCGACACAAACTTATGTCTGAAGACTAATTTTGCTGATGTGGCCGGAAACTGGGCTCGATTACTAGCCGCTGTTCGGGTGTATGAGCCCGCGCTTCCCTCTCATCTTCCCGGGGAGGAGCGAAGACAGGATACGAGAGAGCGGCGGAAATCGAGCCTAACCGGACACAAAACTCACGTACTCCATGATCATACTCCGTCAACTACTCCATCATGACTTAGCTGGTTCCCAAAGCTATTCATATCTCAGCTGAAACGATGACATCATTATTTTGATACAATGGGGGTGAGGACAAATACTTCGGACGCGCGGATGGAAACTGCGGAGGGTGGAGAGACAGACTGAGTAAGAAAATCTTGGTTACCACAGCCATAAAAGTCGTGTTAAGAATGTGCTGTTTTTTGAACTTTGGGATCAATGTTAGTATATGAGCAACTGCGCACCCACCCCTCCCCTTGCGAAAAAGAGATTTCTCTCTTAATCTCTTAATCACAAATAATTGATGGTCATGGGCTGATCAACCTTCTACTTATCAAAAGCGCACCCCTTTCACTGGATTTTACAAGTCCACCTTCACTTTTAGGTTTAAAGTAGATGTATGTACACTCAGAACAGAGATGGTCAGTAATGATTTTCTTTTTTGTAATACTTTATTGATACATATTTTAATTTGTACATATGTATCACTGATAGAGCTGAAAGATAAACCTGTTTAACTTATGATTTTACTCAAAAGTTATAAACTACTCGAATATTGCAATGCTTTGCTGTTGAAAATGTACTAGTTTGTACTCTCCCAGGAATGTTTAAATACAGAACAAGGATATCCTAATAAAGAGCTACCTTGAACTTGAGAATATTGAATTTTTGCTATATTTAATTGTTTTAAATCTCTCTCATGAAAAGCTTATTCAATCAGTAAAGGCAATAAGGATGACTTTCTTCCAGCGTATATCTAGTAAACTGAAATAAAAATACAATAAATTCCTATCAAACAAGGCGAAAACTTCCAAAATATAAGATACAAGCGTGTAAAACGAATCTAACTTAATTACAACTCAAATCGCGATGAAAACATAAAAAGGCAAAAAAAACTCGCTACATTAAGAGATTCACGCAAACAGTTAATGGCCCAAGCGTTCTCAAACTAAAAGTTGGATGTACACTGGTAGACGCTTAGCGTGATTCTGGCTACTTATCACAAAGCAATTAAAAAGGTACACAGCGCAATAGATTTTCAAGTACCTTTGTCTAATCAAAATAAAAGGATAAACTTACATATTGGTCCCACTTGCACCAAAGATTTCAGAGGTTTTAAGGTTAGAAAGGTAGCAAAGGTCAAGATCCTTTGAATTACTAACTACAACTAAAGAAAGGACGCTAAGGTCGCCATTTATGTGAGCGTGGGACGCAAAGAGGACGCTAATGAGTGTCGGGTTTCAAGAACAATAGATAGGTACATCTACACGAATAAGCATTGTAACTATATAAAATCGTAACAAACAAGAAGAAAATCGTTATCAAGGTAGTTAACAATCAAAAAAATTGGCTTTTATCCTTAATAACTTCTATATGGTCTGTCAATATATTGGCAAGTTAGAAAAATTAATTCAGACTGATGACAGTTGGGATAAAATCGCTGAGTTCAACGAAGTCAGCGATGATAATATTAAATTTGTGACTCTTGGTGCCACGAAGAGTCTTCAGCCACTTGGTCACTTGGCGGTTGCATTTCGAAGCCAGAACATCTTTTAAAGTGCTTGTCACGTGTTTAACTATAGTTAAATTTTGTGGCGTGAGGAGAGCTTGTGTTACCTGCAAGGCATCTTCGGAAACACTGGACGCTTCTGACTGTTTGTTGAGAATTTCCAACAGTTGGTTCGTATCATCTGTGTTCGGCCACGGGGAGCAGATTAGATGGGGTGGCCAGAAACAGGGGTAAGTATCGACCACATCATAGTCGTGATAAATAATGATGACCTTCTCTTCGTTTCCCCACATCTCTTGAAGGGTGACATTCGGGCCTTGGCGGCCGGGAGCGCGTAAAATCTTGCTGAACGAAGCATCCAGAGTATCTGCAAGTTTTTTATGAGCAGCTTGATCCATTTTGTAGAAATGATTGAAGTCTAAAATGACAATTTCTTTCGGGTAATTCGCCACAAATCGGTTCACTTCGTCCAAGACTTGATCAATCGTCCAACCAAACAAACCGTGTAAAACACGTATCTCAGAGTTTTTATCTGCGGTTCTGTACGCGACACGGAGATCCAGATAGCGAATGCCCGACCTAAGCTGTTCGTAAATTGTCATGGACTGTGTGACAGACCAATTGTAGACCACAGGCTTCACCAATTTCCCAAACTTACGAATGAGGTTGGGTTCATCGGGACCAATCTCCATGTTTTTATCAAGAGAAAACGTTCCCGAATCGTGAGATCCTGGGATCACTAAATCTTTCAGTTTCTTTTCATTTGGCAATTTTTCCATCCATTGAGAGACGTCGACTGAATTTCCCGCCATAACGTTTTGCCTGGGTAAAGCCACTCTGTGGGGAGGGGTAAGTCAAAGAATAAATACAGAAGAAAAAGAAAAAAAGCAAATCTCAATGAAACATTTTTCATAGGATAGATCCAGCGAATTTAATTATGTTGAAAAAAAAAACTTTCCATGGCTTCAAGTTGCTTTTCTATCCAACCCAATATTTGCAAGAGAAAACATTACGTCATTCAAAAGTATAAATCGAATATCTCTTAAAGCGAATATATCATGGAATCAAATAATAACTTAAAATGGAAAACTATAGCAAATTTTTAAATTTAAAAATCGTGCAAGAAAATCACGCTCATTTTTAAAAATGAAGCAAAGACAAATTGATTCCTAAAATAACTCAGCTTTAGGAATATTTCCAAGTCATTCCATTTCAGACCATTTCACTTTCGATTTCCGCCTTCAATAATTCTCGAAAACAAATTTGACTCAAGCATCTTTGCGTTATACGTCAGACCAAAGAGAAACTTCTTTCGAAATTCAGATTTTACCCACGGAAAAAATTTATATTACACATACCAATAAGCTTGCTTAGCTTAAAGAACTGGGAAGCTGTGACAAGGATATTATTGACGGTGTGCGTTTCTTTATGTGCGACTCGTAAATATCCCCACGTAAATATTTTAAGATGGTTTGCTAAAAGCTGTGTCTTACCTTTAGCTTTGAGCTTCTCTCCCGATATAGACACAATCTGTTACACAACGCTTGAAATCGACTCGACCAACAGTTGTAAGAAAAAACTGATATGAATTCAACTCGATCAACTTAAACTGCTCGATTTCGATTCTCAATCAAATACCTCAAGTTGAAAGTTGCCCTTCAAATCGTCTGTCTCGTATCCGTGCTTCTGGCCCCAAAACTCATTTTTTACAAGTCAACAAGTGAGTTGATCTTTACGAATTTTAAAGACGCTGTCCGTCGATGCAGTGTTGCTTCGCAATGATGCAATGATGTATTGTGATGCCTAGAGAATTTGGGCCTCGTCTGTCAGATCACGAGATCACAGACGATCATAATACGTCAATCACCTTATACCAAAGAATAAAAAAGCACTCATCCGGATGACTGAGTGCAACAGAACAATGCTGTACAACTGTGCGAAAATATGTCCGCAAACATTATCTGTTCAAAAATGCAAAGTTTCCGAGAACGAAACTCGAGGAAAACTGTGAGCTTCGAGGAGCAAATCATGTCCAAAGATAAATTTACGAGCATAGTTTTCCGCCAAATAGAGGCTATCGATGTTTATTACCCTTCAAATATTCGCAAAGCGCGGGAAACTGAATTGTTTACGAACAGCTTATGAGGTTTTCATAAAAAAAAAATTGTGGGCCTTTAATACCAAACAATGAGATCACGAGTTGATCAGGCGGAATAGACGAAAACTGATATCGGGAAATTACTTGTTGGGCGTTTAATACCAAACAATGAGATCACGAGTTGATCAGGTGGAATAGACGAAAACTGATGTCGGGAAATTCCCTTGTTGTCATTTATATCTCCGCCACTGAGGTTATATCAAATACGAGAACACATAAAGAACACGTATTTGCTGAAGAAACTATTGTCACGCGTGATAGATAACTGTATGAACACTAGCCTCCGTTTGGTGCGAAAATATGCCGAATTCTGATTTAGACTATTCACGCGGAAGCAAAAATTAAAAAGTATTCTATGAGCGCACTCGTTGCCTTTCAGAGCTTTTGAGTGAAGAACTTCAGAATCGTCGAAAATAAGGAACTGTCGACTAAATTTTCCGCCATAACGTTTTGCCTGGGCAAAGCCACTCTGTGGGGAGGGGTAAGTTAAAGACTAAATAAATAAAAAAATTAAAAAAAAAAGCAAATCTCAATATATTCCAATACAGGGAGATAGAACAGAAGAATTGAAAGTCGCTTGCAATGCTTTCAGTGCAAAGCCTTAAGCACCAAAGTTGCTTTGTAAACTTATACAGCAAACATCGATTTAACTGAGAACTGACATCGACTTCATTTTGCGATAGGGTATGCTACGATTAGTTACGTGAAGGAAAATTATTAGCATAAGGTCTGTTTGTTACCTTTGATCGCGTCGCGGAATTACATTCCTCGAGTTATATGCACAAATGATGCAAGTAATCAATCGTGTAGAATCTATTCGAGGGAGATTTGTAGAATACGAGAGACAGTGATCACAATGTAAGGGGGGTAAAAAACATGGAACGACCTAAAACCCCTTAAAACCACCTCAAAAATTTCAACAACCACCTACAACCATCTCAAAAATTTCAACAACCACCTACAACCACCTCAAAAACATCTACAGCCACTCGCAAGCTATCTAAAACCATCTAAAACAAGGCATAATTGTCTAAAATAAGGCGAAACGACAACATGTCACGTACATGAAATACGAGAATCGAACGAAACCTCCACCTCCCCCTGAAATCCTACTCTCCCTGGTCCCATGTATAATCAATCAGGTCCAAATGTCCATGCAAGATCTAGCAGCTGCTGGTCTTTGCATATTTAAAGTCATCAACAAAATGAAAATTTTTTATAAAATGCTGCCCAGTGATGACCTTCAGCAGAAGCTGGCCCAATATAACATCTCTGTGCAAGACTACAGAACAACATCCCTGAAGGATGATGACAAGCTTACTGCAAGCAATATCTTCACAATGTCAGAGGGTCATCCATGCAAGCTGAACTCAAGGCCTTTAGCCACCACAACCTAGGAGAGCCTCTCAAACTTATCAGGAAGTCTTTTCCGCAGAATATCATTCATGTCATTTAAAATACTTACTTTATGAGAGTGTGCCTTTTTCTGGTTCTTCACGTCTTCCTCTGCAGCTGCTAACCTTTCCTGGTAGAAGATCTTGTCTCTTTCAAGATCAGTTGTTTTGTTAGACATTTCCATGTGCAAGTCTTGTAGAGATTTCTTCCATCTCTCACTGATCTCCTGCTCGACATTGACCAAGTTTACTAGTTGAAGTAGCAGGTCTTTCTCAAGGGCAGAAATCTTTGACTGAAGTTTCAAGAGCTCCTGAGCATGGCTTGTATCTCTTTCAGAAAGCTGTGCGCTCAGAAAATCCTTCTCTTTCTGAAATGTAAACAAAGTTTTAATTCTTGTTACACAAGGCAAGTTTAAAAAAACGGTCTTGACCCAAGAGTATGAACGGTTAGGCCAGGAAAGCTATTGAATTACTGGGCTCCCTGTAACCTGCTATGTACTGGCATCACACCTACAGGGAGTAGCAATTTCTGCTTTTCCTTTCATTCATGTTACAGATTTTGTAACAAGCTGTGGTAGAAATAGCCAATTGGCTTATGTTCCAATTTCAACTTCCCATTATGCAATGTCATCTCTTTGGACACTAATACCTGCAAAGTCTCTTCTCTCTTCTTGGTCACTGACAAGTTTAGGGACGTTTGCATGGATTGTGGAACTTCATGCAAATCTTGGCAAAATGGAGGGTTCAGTTCGCAAACCTGCATTGATAATGATGCCAACAGTTTGACAAAACTGTCATTGCAGTTGTTTGACAGCCTATTTCCAGCTGCAAGAAAAATATGAAAAAAATAAGTAAATAAATAAGCACAGTGAAGAAGCAACTATAGGGTGAGGTTGGGCATGATATTATGAATTATCAGTGCCAAGGTCTGAATTATCAACTGAAGCTGAAGTCTGAGGCAGATAATATAGACGCAAGGTTTGATAACTCTTGACACAATGTGAAAACTGAATTCAATTATTATTTTATTATACATTTATTTCCAAACAATCTGCAATCTGTGAGATAGCAAAAGTTTGAGAACACTGCATGAACAAAGGGCTTAGAAACTAGGCAGACTTTTGAAGTGGACATGATAACCCAATAACTGCTGCTGCAGATATTCAGTTATCATGTCAACTTCACATGCTATTGTATATTGACTGAATGCTCTAGAACACTTAGCTTATGTGTAGCTGTCTCCTGGCCCCCCCCCCCCTCCTCCCGGGAGAAATGTGAAAACTTGACACAAATCATTCCTCCTTAGGGTAGGAGGGTACAGCTACACATAGGCTATTGTACGATCAGAGATTTCCATAGAAAGTCCAATGTATAATAAAATATATTATCTGTTGGTTTACAATGAGAGGGAGGTAGTGATAATGACCCCTCTCTCAGTCAAGAGGAACAAGACCCTTGTTTGCACATTGTATATTCTACTTGAGCAAGACTCTTTATGCTCCACCAGGAACCACCAAGGGGGGGTAGGGATGGTAGAAAAGGTTTAGCTCCTACATAGGATGTCAAATGTGGATCAAGTTCATCCATGCAACAGGGTTTTTCCAGTCACCCTGAAGAGCTGCCTCTCCTAAATCCCCATTTATTCAATTATCACTTGTAAACATATTCAAAATGCTGTGCAAGAGAAGGTGAAAACATATCAGGGATTTTCAATCACCTCATGAATCATCTCAAGAAACCAGACTGGCTCCTGGCAAGATGGGCCACTCGGCTTGCCGATTAACTCCTTAACCCTTTAACCCCCAAGAGTGATTAACACCTAATTTCTCCTCACAACGTCACCACTGAATCAAACATTAAGGTTTTGAGAATTAAGGAAACGATCACCGAATAAAGAAGCTCTTGATTTTTAAACAAATTCTCCCTGTCAGCACCTTAGAAAATGTACAGTAAACAGTATGGAGAATATGCATAATGATGTTAGGGTGTAAAGAGTTAAAGTTAAGCAGATGCATCATAGGCCTTAGTTTCTCAATCTTCACCCTGAGGGTTCAGAGCTGAATTTCTCTGCTTTTCATTAAATGAACTTACCTTGTAACAGCTTGTCTGATTGCAGAGACAAGATGTTAAACACAATCAAAGCTTCTCTGCAAAAACACTTCCTTTGATGTGTTTCACAATGGTGATCTATCTTGCCACTCAACAAAGTGCGTGGAATGTCATAATGACCAAGATCCTTTGAATTTACAACACTTGCAGTTCCTGAAGATTCTAAAATATCTATAGTAGCCATGCAGAATTCTGGCTTGCACAACTTCATACGCTTTTCAACATGCGGCAGAACATCAATTTCTTCTGGAGTCAATTCTGCAAAAGGAACAATAGCTGATTTCTTTGTCGAAGCCTTTGACATAATGGTCTCCAGGGGTTCCACTACACCAGACTTGTATAACACTTGAATCAAGACCTCATTGCACATCACCAGTTTTTTACTAATTTCCCTTTTTATTTCTGTCAGTAAATCTGATGAAACTGTGTTTGGTACAGGATATGCCATAGATCCATGAACAGCAAAGAAGTGTTGTGCTAGAAGCGAGGAAGATGTCTCACTAAGGTAAAAGTCTGCATGACGCACATCACAAGTTTTGTTCTCCTCCAGGAGGCTATAATAGTATGGAATCAGATCTGGTCTTTCTTGTATTGCCTGTATCCACATGCTGCTTATCTGATGATCAATGTCACTGAGATGAATGACAGCTCTTCTATCCCCATCAATCCTGAGGTGAACAAAGTCAACTCCTGATGCTAATCCATCCTTAGAAAGGTCCGACACCCAGACACCTTTGACATAAAGTTGACCTTTGTAATGATCACCTCAAAGCAAAGTTCCTGCCACAGACTTAACAGAGTCTGTAGGTGGGCTAAGAAAGAGGAACCGTTTTAGGTAAACTTCCCAGTCCTCACGACAGAGAGGAAAGACAGTCACAGATGTGTTCATCTGTTCAAGGTTTGTCTCGTAATTGTCATTATACTTGTCATGTTGGTCGTCATTGTCGTCATCATCATCATCGTTACTTTCCTTCCACCTGCCATCAACAAATACTGTCAGAACTTCTTCGTCAAACGTCTCATCGTGAGATAATCCAAATCTCCACCGCTCTTTACCAGTCTTCATGGTAATCACTCTTCCTTCTCTCACTAAAGCCAGTGCCCCAACTTTCAGTCCTTCTCCAAACTGTCCAATCACTTCTTTGTTTGAAGCTTTCTTTGAGAACCCAAGAAGCAACACTTTCCTCATAAGCTCTGTGTCATGGTTTATCAAGGTTAGTTTTTGTCTGGTTGGATTATAATCTATTCGTCCCAGTTCAATGTCGATAGAGCCTTCCCTGTCATCGCCTCTGGCTCTATTGTCAGTTACGGAAGAATCGAAGGTTTGATGACCAGGTTTTCGCGTTTGATTCCTGCCACTCACTTCTTGATCATCTGAGTCTCTGTCTTCTGCTGCTTTCCTTTCTAATTTTGGGCAATTTTCAGCTGTTAAAATTGCTTTATACGAGAGTGAATCTTTTTCTTTCGTATGGTGAAAGGCCAATCTTGAACTCGATACGGCTCTCAGTTTCTCCAACGAGAAATACACCCCATCGTGCCAGTTTTGGACAACTTCACGGATTCCTTCCCAAGTCTTCCATGAGGGTGCATATCGAGCAGTCAAACTAAGGCTGATAGATTTTTCTGACGGTGACTCTTGAGCCATCGACACAAACTTATGTCTGAAGACTAACTTTTCGAAACTTTGCTGATCTTGCCGGAAACTGGGCTCGATTACCAGCCGCTGTTCGGGTGTATGAGCCCGCGCTTCTCTCTCATCTTCCTGGGGAGGAGCGAAGACCGGATACGAGAGAGCGGCGGACATCGAGCCTAACCGGACACAAAACTCACGTACTCTATGATCATACTCCGTCAACTACTCCATCATGACTTAGCTGGTTCCCAAAGCTACTCATATCTGAGCTGAAACGATGACATCATTATTTTGATACAATGGGGGTGAGGACAAATACTTCGGACGCGCGGATGGAAACTGCAGAGGGTGGAGAGACAGACTGAGTAAGAAAATCTTGGTTACCACAGCCATAATAGTCGTGTTAAGAATGTGCTGTTATTTGAACTTTGGGATCAATGTTAGTATATGAGCAACTGCGCACCCACCCCTCCCCTTGCGAAAAAGAGATTTCTCTCCTAATCTCTTAATCACAAATAATTGATGGTCATGGGCTGATCAACCTTCTACTTATCAAAAGCGCACCCCTTTCACTGGATTTTACAAGTCCACCTTCACTTTTAGGTTTAAAGTAGATGTATGTACACTCAGAACAGAGATGGTCAGTAATGATTTTCTTTTTTGTAATACTTTATTGATACATATTTTAATTTGTACATATGTATCACTGATAGAGCTGAAAGATAAACCTGTTTAACTTATGATTTTACTCAAAAGTTATAAACCACTCGAATATTGCAATGCTTTGCTGTTGAAAATGTACTAGTTTGTACTCTCCCAGGAATGTTTAAATACAGAACAAGGATATCCTAATAAAGAGCTACCTTGAACTTGAGAATATTGAATTTTTGCTATATTTAATTGTTTTAAATCTCTCTCATGAAAAGCTTATTCAATCAGTAAAGGCAATAAGGATGACTTTCTTCCAGCGTATATCTAGTAAACTGAAATAAAAATACAATAAATTCCTATCAAACAAGGCGAAAACTTCCAAAATATAAGATACAAGCGTGTAAAACGAATCTAACTTAATTACAACTCAAATCGCGATGAAAACATAAAAGGCAAAAAAACTCGCTACATTAAGAGATTCACGCAAACAGTTAATGGCCCAAGCGTTCTCAAACTAAAAGTTGGATGTACACTGGTAGACGCTTAGCGTGATTCTGGCTACTTATCACAAAGCAATTAAAAAGGTACACAGCGCAATAGATTTTCAAGTACCTTTGTCTAATCAAAATAAAAGGATAAACTTACATATTGGTCCCACTTGCACCAAAGATTTCAGAGGTTTTAAGGTTAGAAAGGTAGCAAAGGTCAAGATCCTTTGAATTACTAACTACAACTAAAGAAAGGACGCTAAGGTCGCCATTTATGTGTACGTGGGACGCAAAGAGGACGCTAATGAGTGTCGGGTTTCAAGAACAATAGATAGGTACATCTACACGAATAAGCATTGTAACTATATAAAATCGTAACAAACAAGAAGAAAATCGTTATCAAGGTAGTTAACAATCAAAAAAATTGGCTTTTATCCTTAATAACTTCTATATGGTCTGTCAATATATTGGCAAGTTAGAAAAATTAATTCAGACTGATGACAGTTGGGATAAAATCGCTGAGTTCAACGAAGTCAGCGATGATAATATTAAATTTGTGACTCTTGGTGCCACGAAGAGTCTTCAGCCACTCGGTCACTTGGCGGTTGCATTTCGAAGCCAGAACATCTTTTAAAGTGCTTGTCACGTGTTTAACTATAGTTAAATTTTGTGGCGTGAGGAGAGCTTGTGTTACCTGCAAGGCATCTTCGGAAATACTGGACGCTTCTGACTGTTTGTTGAGAATTTCCAACAGTTGGTTCGTATCATCTGTGTTCGGCCACGGGGAGCAGATTAGATGGGGTGGCCAGAAACAGGGGTAAGTATCGACCACATCATAGTCGTGATAAATAATGATGACCTTCTCTTCGTTTCCCCACATCTCTTGAAGGGTGACATTCGGGCCTTGGCGGCCGGGAGCGCGTAAAATCTTGCTGAACGAAGCATCCAGAGTATCTGCAAGTTTTTTATGAGCAGCTTGATCCATTTTGTAGAAATGATTGAAGTCTAAAATGACAATTTCTTTCGGGTAATTCGCCACAAATCGGTTCACTTCGTCCAAGACTTGATCAATCGTCCAACCAAACAAACCGTGTAAAACACGTATCTCAGAGTTTTTATCTGCGGTTCTGTACGCGACACGGAGATCCAGATAGCGAATGCCCGACCTAAGCTGTTCGTAAATTGTCATGGACTGTGTGACAGACCAATTGTAGACCACAGGCTTTACCAATTTCCCAAACTTACGAATGAGGTTGGGTTCATCGGGACCAATCTCCATGTTTTTATCAAGAGAAAACGTTCCCGAATCGTGAGATCCTGGGATCACTAAATCTTTCAGTTTCTTTTCATTTGGCAATTTTTCCATCCATTGAGAGACGTCGACTGAATTTCCCGCCATAACGTTTTGCCTGGGTAAAGCCACTCTGTGGGGAGGGGTAAGTCAAAGAATAACTACAGAAGAAAAAGAAAAAAAGCAAATCTCAATGAAACATTTTTCATAGGATAGATCCAGCGAATTTAATTATGTTGAAAAAAAAAAAAACTTTCCATGGCTTCAAGTTGCTTTTCCATCCAACCCAATATTTGCAAGAGAAAACATTATGTCATTCAAAAGTATAAATCGAATATCTCTTAAAGCGAATATATCATGTAATCAAATAATAACTTAAAATGGAAAACTATAGCAAATTTTTAAATTTAAAAATCGTGCAAGAAAATCACGCTCATTTTTAAAAATGAAGCAAAGAAGACAAATTGATTCCTAAAATAACTCAGCTTTAGGAATATTTCCAAGTCTTTCCATTTCAGACCATTTCCGCCTTCATCAATTCTCGAAAACAAATTTGACTCAAGCATCTTTGCGTTATACGTCAGACCAAAGAGAAACTTCTTTCGAAATTCAGATTTTACCCACACTAAAATTTATATTACACATACCAATAAGCTTGCTTAGCTTAAAGAACTGGGAAGCTGTGACAAGGATATTATTGACGGTGTGCGTTTCTTTATGTACGACTCGTAAATATCCCCACGTAAATATTTTAAGATGGTTTGCTAAAAGCTTTGTCTTACCTTTAGCTTTGAGCTTCTCTCTCGATATAGACACAATCTGTCACACAACGCTTGAAATCGACTCGAACAACAGCTGTTGGAAAAAACTGATATGAATTCAACTCGATCAACTTAAACTGCTCGATTTCGATTCTCAATCAAATACCTCAAGTTGAAAGTTGCCCTTCAAATCGTCTGTCTCGTACCCGTGCTTCTGGCCCCAAAACTCATTTTTTACAAGTCAACAAGTGAGTTGATCTTTACGGATTTTTAAAGACGCTGCATTTAGTTCGCGTCCGTCGATGCAGTGTTGCTTCGCAATGATGCAATGATGTATTGTTATGCCTAGAGAATTTGGGCCTCGTCTGTCAGATCACGCGATCACAGACGATCATAATAAGTCATTCGCCTTATACCAAAGAATCAAAAGCACTCATCCGGATGACTGAGTGCAACAGAAAAATGCTGTACAACTGTGCGAAAATATGTCTGCAGACATTATCTGTTCAAAAATGCAAAGTTTCCGAGAACGAAACTCGAGGAAAACTGTGAGCATCGAGGAGCAAATCATGTCCAAATTAAAGATAAATTTACGAGCATATTTTTCCGCCAAATAGAGGCTATCGGTGTTTATTATCTTTCAAATATTCGCAAAGCGCGGGAAACTGAATTGTTTACGAACAGCTTATGAGAAATATTGAAAATAACTCTTTGCAGGGTCTAGAATGTTTGCAGAGAAGCGAGGTGGGATATTAAAAAATATTATAACCAAAACTGAAGCCGAACTCAACACGCAGATGTCTCTATTTAAATGACACTCACAAACAACAGACATAATTATCAACAGCCATCTTATTGTTGGTTTAGGTTGAGCCGTTCGTCTGTTCACGCGAATTTAATCTCAGTGAAATATTCCTTGTTCTACATGTCCACATTTTGATCTATATCTGGGTGCAATGCTTGAATTCTGTAGGATATGTACGCGTTTGAAGATCAGAGTGGAACAAAAAACAGGTTTCAAGACCCTCAACAAAGGACGCCAATGGAAACATTTCAATTTAAGGGTGCGAGGTTTACCACTCGTAAGTGATGGAGCTTAATTATGACAAACACGATACGTAATTCGTGTCATGTTTTACTTACACTTTAAGCTGAAGCATACTTAGGCTACCCTTCGCTTGCAATGGTTTCAGTGTGAGGTCTTGAGCGCCAAAACTCTCTAAACTTATGCAGCAAACATCGAATTAACTGAGAACTGACATCGACTTCATTTGGCGATAAGGGTGTACTACGGTTAGTTACGGGATGGAAAATTATAAGCATAAAGTCTCTTTGTTACCTTTGATGGCGTCGCGGAATTACATTCCTCGGAAAAATTTCCGCACAGCCCCATACTTCATTATGCATGCACATCTTATTAATTATGCATTCTACTCTTTGTCTTTGAATACAATAGACAATTCCCTTGGTAATTGAATATATACATTCCTATTTATTACTTACTGCATTAATAAAAGTTCCGCTCTTTCTCTTCCCCATTTCTCTACTATCTATCCTTACTCCCAGGCCCCTCTCAGTCTATTTTTTCTTTTTTTTACGTTACCTGTAGGGTTCGAACTCTCAATCTTCTATCTTCTTCATCAGACTAGCAGTCTATCCTCTATACCATTGTTCTACACGTGTTTGTTGCCAATAAAGGGTAACTTTCAAAATTATATTTCTAATACCTTATTTAAATTCCAAAAATTAACATTGAAATCATTTCCCTCACCTTTAAAACATGTTGGATTTTTCACGAAGAAATGAAATGTTAATCTTTGTTTAATCGAAGTATAAAAGTGCAGCCTTTCTAATAAATTTCATTGCTAATCAGTGGCTTCTTAAAAAATCATCTTCATAATATTAACAGTTATAATTTTATTTCCCTCAATTTATATCGTTTTCTCATCTCCCCTTTTTGGGGGCTGTCCTGGTGTACCGGTACACGGGGGAATTCCTATTGTTTTCATATCCATACATGGAGTTGTGACGCAGTTCGTTAATGTTTCGTTCCGTTGTGTACCGGTACACGAGGACACAACCCGTTTTTGAATCGGTCTTCATACTTCTTCTGCTGTTGGTCCTTCTTCCGTTTGTACGTGTTTGTTTCTTCGTCTTCGTTTTATCATGTCTTGCATGCATAATGAAGTATGGGGCTGTGCGGAAATTTTTCCAAAACTGATATCGGGAAATTCCCTTGTTGTCATTTATAACTCAGCCACTGAGGTTACATCAAATATGAGAACACGTAAAGAACTCTTATTTGTTGAGGAAACTGTTGTCACGCGTGATAGATTACTGTATGAACACTAGCCTCCGTTTGGTGCGAAAATATGCCTAATTCTGATTTAGACTATTCACGCGGAAGCAAAAATTAAAAAATTATTCTATGAGCGCACTCGTTGCCTTTCAGAGCTTTTGAGTAAAGAACTTCAGAATCGTCGTCTAAATTTTCCGCCATAACGTTTTGCCTGGGTAAAGCCACTGTGTGAGGAGGGTTAGTTAATACCCATTGACTCCTACGTGTAACACGTGCCTACCCAAAAGTTAAAATTTTGGAGAAACCGGAAAAGTAAACACAATGCGCAGTAAAGTTTGACAAATCTTTTTTTCCCAAAAACAAGCTCATGTGAAAGAAGACCATTTAAATAACTTACTATCAACGAGGAAAGCAATAGATGCATATTAAGTTTTTACTCTAAAATCAAGATAAAAGATAAAAATCAGTAAATTTTTGCGCACGTGTGCAAAAAAAGTATGCGGATCGGATTTCAAAGTGAATATGCAAATTCATCAGTGTGTGGAGAGATCTCATGTTACATGGAAATTATAAATGAGTAGAAAGACAAAACTGACCAGGGAACGTTTCGGGAAGAAAGCTTTATTCAAAACAGTTCTTGATTTTCTGTTATAACCGAAAAACGTACGAATTTCTTACGTGTGCGAAACCCACGAAGTAGAATTCATCATGCTTAGATCGATGTTTACTTGACTTCACGGCTAGAATATTGCGCAGCGTTGTGTTGAAAATACTGAAAGTTCTACGTTTTAACACAAAATCTTCTATTAAACAATACTTTTTGGACATCTCATTACTCAAACGTGATATTTAACGTGCCTTTGAATCTTCATAATGTCTCTAGGCCTTGCTTGAAGTCCGATAGTTTGGTTTTCGCTTTACGGCCCTAATTCGCATCGCTTTAAAGAATTGTAGTGTTGTCGACTCGAAAACTTATTTTGTCGCCTTTAAGACCGTGATGTCCATTATTTTTCGAGCAGATTATTCCTTAGCATTTTTCCTTTTCATTTTGTGTTCCAGAAGGTCTAAAATGGTGGGAAAGGAACAGAAAATCCGACTTGAAAATATTGAAAGTCGGCCGCGCGTACGCCATTTCTTTGTAGTTGATCATTTCTTGTGAACGCATATAATGACGCCTCTGTACTACCCCCTAAAGTTATCAAAATAACTGCGCAAAAAACGGATTCTGATTGGTTTATAGATCCTCTAACAACAGAGGAAGTTTGGAGACAAAATTGTGCTTAGTAGGGGAGATAGGGGGGAAAGCGTCTCTCGCGCAAGTCCCCCACGCGGCACGGGCGGTTACGGGCGGTTTAGGTGTCAATGGGTTAAGCAAAAATTTGAGGCTAATGATATAAAATAAATACTTTAAATTAAAAAAACCCAGCTAAAATTCAAGTATTCAATGAAATTTATTTAGAAGCTTAATTTAAGGCTTACATATAAAATATTTTTGATTAATTATTAACATCAATGTGTGGTAATATTAGGATGGAATTTGATTTATTTTTCTTTTCTTGAAAACTTCTTACGGATTAATCCTCAATTACAGCTATTCATATAAAATAGTTCTAATCAATCATTAAATTTGGTTTGACACAAATTGTGAATAAAATCTGTTGATTCTTTTCCATAAAATACAATATCTTAAGTTATATTTGAAAACCAAGCACTCTTGATAGATAGATAGATAGATAGTTTAATCTCAAATGCATTTGCAGCCCGAGGGCTGAATTACACATTTTTACAATCCAAGAAATTTAAAATTTAAAATTCAAAAACCTAATTACACGTCTTATCATACCAGCAATTTACAATATAATAACATGATAGTAAATTAAATAAAATACATTAGCTATAAATGTAAACTAATTAAAATAAATTTAAATTAATTAAAAGTATCTACATCATCATTATCATCATCATTACTATAATCATCACGCGTGCCGTAACAAAAATAAAGGATATCGTATCGATAAAAATCTAGCCATTAAACCTCCTTGCCATAG